TCCAGCCACTGGACAGATGTCCTTATTGACACGTGTATTATTTAGTCTGTGCTCTAATTCGATGAGAAACGCGCTGTGTGCCGCAGATGAGCAGATTTAATTTGAAATTATAAAAAAAAGGTAAGCCTGAAACTATTATAAGCGAACATTTCTTCAAATTTTTTTAAATATGATGATCATCATTTCGTACAACGCAGCTTTAAAAGGATGGCGTTAATTTGCATCGATAACAAATTAAATGTTCTGACATGACGACCGCATGGCAAGCGCCCGTGTGTCTTTACTTACGTTTAAGCTTAAATATTTGTTTGACTGTTATTTTAGGTGCAATAAGCCTCACAACGAGTCACGGCTTGCTACCACTGCATACGTATTCAAGAAGATATCTTGGTTACATTTTTTGTGTATCATATAAACAAAAACAAACACGGTCAAAATTTGTTTTTCGTAGACCCTTTAGTTTTCGAAAACAGTTCCTACTGTGCCCATTGGATTATACGGCCCTGACAAGAGGGGGTGTATGTGGGGGGAAGAGTTGATATTATTTACCGCACGTTGACACAATGATTGGGGCGTGCAACAACTCATTTAGCCAGAGAGTAGCACTGGTGCGTAGCTCATGTGGGAAAGCAGCTTTCCAAGGAGTTGGTTGTTGCCACAGGTGCTAATGGTTAATCTGCGTGAGCCAAACTGGACTGACAAAACAGACGTGAACGAACCCGTGGAATGAATGCGACGCTTGGCTGCGCAGCGCGGGGGATGGACCCATGCTGTTAATTATTAATGGGCCTTCCAGGGTGCCATCCCGTCCAGTATTGAACTGTGGCTCACCGGACATCACACGAGCAGGAGTGGGGGGCATTGACTGGTGTCGGGACGGCTCAGGAGGCATCTGAACTAAAAACTAAACTATTTATTAAACTAAACTATTTGTTTTTATTTTACCAGGTAAGGCCCACTGAGCTATGCAGCTCTTTTTCAGAAGCGACCTGGCCACAAATGATTGCTCAACGAAGTGGCTTATCACGTGGATATTTATAGCAGCCAAATACTTTGCACGTGTGTTGATTCTATATGTGGAGGGGGAAACCCAGAGGACACGGATAAAAGTCCACACGACCACGGGGACAACATGAAAACTCCAAATATAGAGGGATCAAACCCACGACTTCTTGTATACCATGCGAAGGAGTTAACATCTGGCTTAATCAAAACACATGTTTGGAAACGTGGAGGGCAAAACCTCGAGGACCCAGACAAAAATCTACATGACCACGGGGAGAGAATGTGCAAACTCCAAATATGCAACAGGCGTTGGGGTCGGGTCCGGTTCGAACCTACGACCTCCTCCATACCAGGCGAGGTAGTTAGCAACTCGCTACTGTGACGCCCATCTAGCTGGCTTTTGCAGGGGTCGTTTTTGTGTTGGTTGCATCTTCATTTCCCAGCGTACACCCAGCAGCAGTGTGAATTGGTACACCACGGACAGTGGATATGTAGGTGACGTGCGATGGGGTAAATTGTTGGTGCTCCCATGTTTCCCAAGACAATTGGCCAGCATGGAAGAGGACGCCAAACGCAACTCTTGCAGGGCTGCACCTTTACCTTTTTTGTTGCCTCACAATCTCGTACAATTGTACAAGATGCTATATTGGGCACGGCTTATCTCGTAATATTGATTCAGTGCGGCCACAGTGAGTAATCTAATGGGGTTTTAATCGCCAATATGGGATGTGGTCAATCGAGCTTATAAAGAACATATTAAATAATGCGTCCATCGAATTGCGTGCACATTGTTTGACCACAGTTCCTTTCTCTTCCACGTACACGATCATGGTCCAGATGTTTCGTGACCCCCAATTAATTGATCTCTAACATGGTTTTTCCTTCGCATATTCACTCCTGTTCAAAATAAAACCCATACACAAAAAAAAATATTAAGCGTCATATAACTGAACGGGGGATCACACGACATCTGGACCACCCTGTACAGGACATTAGCGTATTTGATTGCCATTTATATATGCAGAGGGTCTCCTTTGTGAGAAAGCAGATTTGTTTAGTCGAATGAGTCCTACCTGATTTTAAATAAGAGGTCTGTTTGAAATAATTTCACCGCGTGAATAAGTCATTTTGCAAAGGGCTGCTATAATTCGAAAGACATCGAAATAAAAAAAGACTCTATCAGTGTGTGAAAAACACACACACCTTTCATAAGGAAGGACGCCGTGACTTTTCAAAACGACTATAAATACGCACCGTAAATGTTTATCAGCATCTCCTGAGCAACATCGCTCTGGCCTGTGCCGCTGGGGGGTTGATTAATTATTGGCCGTGCAGGATAAACAAAAGCGTCAGCAGAGTCGTCGTGTGCACAGCCGTGGAGAGCCGACAACGCAGCAAGGGCGCGGGTCCATTGTGCAGTTTTTTTCCCTTCCCAACTTGACTTCTTCTTCATCTTCTCTCTGTTCTGCCCGTGCACGTGGTCCTTATCTGTGTTTCACCTGATTGTGCCGTAAAGTTAATCCCGCTAAGGTGAAGTGTAACAGTGGCATTTTTGTTTTGTCCACAATTATCAAAGGCATCTAAGCGCGCAAATAAACATGGGCAGATGCACGCTTGCAATTGGTTTGTGAGACACAACGAGGACTATTAAACATACACTAAACTATTATATTCACCACTAAGCTATTAGATATTTTTCAGAGCTACCTTAGCACCACGTTACAGCTCATCGAAGTGGCTTGTATCATGACATGTGGGAATTTACAGTCACCGCCAAATAATCGAAACGCAATGTTTGTAAATGTGGAAGGCCCAGATAAAAATCCACGCGGCCACGGGGGGGAGAACGTACAAACTCCAAATATACAGCAGCAGGCGTCAGGGTTGGGGTCAAACCCACGACCTCGTGCATACAAGGCGAGGGAGATAAACCTGCACCACGGCGCCTTATGGATTAAAGAACAAATTAGAGACATATTAAATGTAAAATAAAAATAAACAAATTGGTGCACTTGGGCATGATGACCAATGGTCGAGACGAAGACCAGATTGGCAGTTAAAGGAGGGAAACACGTGTTAGAGTGTGTCCACCATGGAGACGGAGCGATGAACTCGGCTCGTGAAGGTGTGAGGTGGATTGTTATATAACAGGACACAATTCTTTCCTTCCATGTTGCCCTGTCTTCCATTGCTCTCTTGATATATTTTTAAACCAGGTAATAACCCTAAAACGTGTACCCGTATTCTCCAAGGAGACTGTTTTTTGTCCTACTGCACGTTTTTTCCTGGGTTTATGTAAGCAGCTGAGCGAGCGCTCTTGACTGTGACTGGCCTGGAGTCTTGGCGGTGAAGCTACTTCCACCAGATCAGCATTTGCCCGAGAAGTTTTTTTTTTGCTGAAAATAGCTCCTTGTGAAATTGCTTACATTGCAAGGAATCTATTTTTACTGCAGAGTTAAAAATAGACCTTGCCACTTACAGCTTTTTTGTGCCGTTGCAATGCGGTGTCCTAAAATTTTCCTTTGCAGAAAGCCGCATTACGTGCACATCCCCTAGCTGCTTGTACCTTCCGCTTAATATTTTCAAATTGAGTTGTATGAATCACACTCATCTGAATTGATATGCTGTGCAGTAGACTCATAATTTAAATATATACAGATTCCTCTCTTTCCCAGAGACTGATCATCTATACCGTATTCTTATTATTTTGCTCACTTAAAAATATTAAATTTGCGTGTGACCGTTCAGCCCAATCTCATAATGCGGGTGTATTTCACTACGGCATATGAATGACCGTGACCCCAAAAAATGTAGTTATTTTCTTTCACGATTTGAAAGTTTATTCGTGCCTAACATGTATTTCCCCCGCCCTGAAATGTATAATAATTGCGTGAGTGGAAATGCTCTGTGATCATAAATCCAAACTGATCGGCACAAGTGCCCTTCCATGCCACCTTTTGTTCCTCGCTGTGTTCACACGTGCACAGCGCAGCATATGGTAAATTGCCGTGAAACCATTTTGGCACGATGCTGTAAAGCACAACTCCTTCATATTGCCTACCGGCGAGCACACAAAAGTATACAGTGTCCAACACCCAGTCGGCGTCTTCTAAGTGCACACAGATGCTCGGAAATTGAGCAGTAATTGAGACGGCAGATGTCGGGAGCTTTAAAGTTGCGATGCATAGTATTCCCTCGGTGTCTTGCTGCATCCGTGTCCTCTGCATCTCAACACAAATCCATCTCCGCGATGCCTCCCCAAATATTGCGAAATTGTCGCCACCCCTCGTTTGCATATAAACGGGCACCTTCACTCCAGGTTGCAGCCAAATCTGTCATCGTTTTTTTAATTAGCGGTTTGCGATAGATCAATACAAGTATGTGCTCTCACATTTGGTGTTGTGAAGATGTTATTACATGAGTTTCACCCCTCTAAACCATGGCCATCCCTCTGCTGTGGTGTTGGCATCATGCTTTGAGACAGTCCCAAGCGAATGCCATCATCTCAGGCGTGGTCGTTTCGAATGCTACTGTAATGTGCTATTGTAAGGTCATGCAAGATTTTCAGATTAAAAGTACATACACGAAATATATTGCCAACATTTCAACAGTGCAACTCGTCTAATTATTATTCTTTATGATTGAATGATACCTATAAGGACACCCTCTTTAAATATAGTCCAGTTATTCCCTACTTTACATGACAGTAACTTTTCATCTGGCTTCAGATTCAGTAGGCTACAAATTTCGTCCTAGGTTTTCCAATCTTATTTGCCGTGTGCAGGAGGATTCAGACTCAAGCTCTATTTTAGCCGATAAGGCAATGCTAAGCAGCGGTTTTACTCAGACGTCCATTGAGTAGTGGTTTCATCATCAGCACACATTTGTCAGTTTATAAATATTCTACAGGTGCCTTCTTACTAATCTGCCACCTTATAAGCCCACGTTGCACTGTGTGCTAATGCCGAGCCATTGGTTGTATGTTATCTCTGCAGGTGAGGTGGGCCCTATCCTGATGTCGCCCGACAGCCAGTCGCAGTTCATCCCGCTCAGCGACGTGCTGTGTGCCGCCATCAGCCACCTCAACTCCAAGCAGCAGGCGGTCACTCAAGACTCGCTGCTCAAGCACCTAGCCCACAAGTTTCCAGGTAATGATGACCAGATGCCTCAACAGCCGGGAGATCCACGGAAAAGGGCAAAAGTGTACGTACGTGTGGAAACTAGCCGATGGCTTGCACACATTTATTTTGAAAAAATTTCTGCCAGTATCTATGTATGTTGAACTTCTTTCACACAGTCCGTGTGTATGATGAACTTCTTTTATACCATACGCAGCCAACCGTGCTAATCAGAGGTATGTGGGAAGGACGACAAAATAAACACACGCAAAAAAAAACCCGACGTATAATCTTAGCAGCTGACATTTCGGTTGACATTTCTGTGTGCATTTCAGGCGTTCCAGTTCCGAGCAGGGAGATCCTACACAACATGCTGAGCAGCTTGATCAAGGAGCGCAAGATCTACCACACGGGGGAAGGCTACTTCATCGTGACGCCACAGACCTACTACATCACGCCCTCGCTCATCCGTGACGAAAACAAGTGGGTGAGGCCGGAGGGGGACAACCAAGCCACCCCATTTCCAGAGGTGACTGTGTGCCACGACCTGCCGGAGAAAGACGCGCAGCCATCACGGGCTCATTGCCGCTCGTGCCAGTGCTTCCTGGAAAGTGGGTACGTCGTGGAAAGGTCTCGCTGCGACAAACAGGAAGGCGGCCATGCTCACGATCCCAAAGATGCAAAGCCGCCCCAACTGCTGCGCGTCGTGTCCGCGAATTCTGGCAAGAGCAAGAAGAATGACAAGAGCGCTGCCCAAGCCAACAAAGACTCAAAGCAGCAGCACTCCGCCGCTGTCAATCATGCCGAGTCCGGTAGAAAGGTTGAAGGCAGATCTGCGCTCGAAAAGGACCCGAAAGTTTCCCACCAGAGTGTTCACGTCACCTTCTGTAACGATAAGGGCAAAAAGTTGGAAAAGGGAGTGCAAAATGATTGCAAAGATGTGAAAGGTGTGCCAGTCGCAGTGGTGGCAGTCCCTTGCACAGAAAAGATGAAGATGCCAGAGGTAACTGTGGGACGACCAGAGAAGGAAAAGGATGGAGAAAAGCTGATGAAGAAAATCAGCCTGAGACTGTTTCGGAGGAGCTCCCAGCGGAAAGAGAAGGTCCTGCAGAAGGAACTCGTGACATTCTCCGCCCAGTTCCCGCCGGAGGAATGGCCCGTCCGGGATGAGGACTCTGCAGAGAACCTCCCGAGAGACGTGGAGCACCAGATAATCCGGCGCATCAACCCCGATCTGACGGTGCAGAACCTGATGGTGCACACGGCGCTCATGCAGCGCGTGCCAACGGAAGGGCAGCAGGCGATGCGCAGCACGGGCACTTGCACCGAGCTTCCGCAGTCACGCTCGAGGGTCAAGGTTCGCAGCCACTCGAAGAGGGTGCACACGAGCTCGCGGGCGTACAGCAAGGGGGGACACCTGCCTCGCAGGCGGCTGAAGGCTTCGTCGAGAAGCAGCCTTGACGAGGCAAATCAGCAGAACGGGAAGAGAGCCACGAGAAGGCGGCACTCGCAAGCGCCCGGAGAGAAGGCCATCTTGAGGAACGGCAACAATGAGGGCCCGTCAGAAGCGTGGCAGGCAGTGGAGGAGGTCAAGCAGACTGCTGCTGCTTGTCAGCACGAAGAGTTTGCGGGGGTTAATCAAGGGGACCTGAGAACGTTTGATGCAAAAGAACAATTGGAGAGGAGCGATCCCTCCAAAGTTATTGGCAGTGAGCAGAATGTGATCACGTGGCCTAAGAATGCGAACGCATGCCAACCGGAAAGGTTAAAGTTTAGGTGGAGGGCTGTGGAACACACGAAATCCACTGGGAGCTCGAGCACGGATCCGCATTCCCCGCAGGTTCCAAGCGAGCAAGCATCCCTGCATCGCCGCGTCCGGCACAGGGAGCAGGATAGTGACCTCTTTAAGAGCGTCTCTAGAATGCCGACCATATTGAGCCCCAGGCTGGAGCCTGCCAGGGTCAGGACTGAGGACCAGGCATTGACACAAAACCCACGACTGTCAGATCCGGTTTACATGCAGGAATTCGGACAGCCGCAGCAGCCCGCCGCCCAGGAGCTGATGCGCGCGGGTCGAGCGCACTGCCGGGTCACTTCCGACCGGCACACGCTGGATGGCAGCTGCGATTCTGCGAATGGGCCTTTTCACTCTCAGTCGGTATCATTGTCAGCCTTTCCGCAGAGCAGGGATTGCCCCTACGGTGATCACCCACGTGGCATGAGCACAGCGGATTACTTCAACTACAACGAGTCGCGGGAGACCGTCCTGTGCGCGCCGGCGGCAGCGTCGGGAAGGGCGTTCGCGGACTGCAACTCGAATCGCCTGAAGCACGAGAAGCCTGAGAGGGAGTGCGGCAAACAGAGGAGGCAGCCGGAGAAACTCCCGGCGCAAAACCCGCACTTGAGTGGAGCCCTCGACAGAGCCAAGGCCGAATTCGAGGTGCCGCTGCCGAAGAGCGACGCCTGCGCCGGGAAGTCGGCGAGGCCCGAGCAGAGGGAGAGGGCGAAGCAGCAAGATGCTCACTTCCTCACCCAGGACCTGCGCTCGATGAGCGAGAGCGAAGGCATGACCGACGACGACTACTTGCTCTACACGCAGGAGGTGCCAGACGACAGCGAGGGCAGCTCGCTCTGCATCAACGACGAGGACGAGGACGATGGGGATCTGAGCCGCCTGAGCATCCCGCCGTTCAGTTGCGGCCCGGCGAGTGAGCAGTTCCCACCCCTGGATAACAGCGTCAATGGCGCCAACGGCGTCCCTCCTGATGCATACGCCCACAGTATGCAGTACGGGCTCTTCCGCTATAACTACAACCAGAAGAACCAGCGGAGTTCCAGTGAGGAAGCGTGGAATGGAAACAGCAAGGGCAGCACTCAAACCCTGGAGGTGGGAATTGACAGCATTGATCCACAGCAACGTCCCGGCAGCGGGAGCAAGGGGGGCGCAGGCACTTCCAAACAACGCTCGCTTGAAGACAGCAGCCTGAGCGCCGACTGGGACAACAACGAGAAGGGGAATTGGAAGCAGATACAGCAACAGCAGCAGCACCAGCAACATCAGCAGGGCTCCATCCCCTACTCGCACGCGGCGGACGAATCGACCACGATGCTGGAGGACGGCACCGGCGCGGTGGAGGGGAGCATCTTCGACTACAGTCCGGGTTCGGAGGGTGACTCGTGCGGAGAAGCGGCGCACGACGAGGAGATCTCAGGCATCTTCGCCTGGCGCGGGGTCGGCGGTGCTGGCGGTGGTGGTGGTGGCGGCGGCGGCGGTGGCGGCGTCCGGGACCCGGAGCGGGGCCTCCCTCACAAGTTTGCACGCGGCGTGGATAGCGCGCTGGAGGAGGAGGCTGCAGAGGCAGAGCTGCAGCAGCGGTTCGAGGGCGCCCTGACCATCGCGAGCCCGGACCCGAGCGTGACGAGCACGGCGGACAGCGGCGTGCCGCCCAGCCGCCTCGACCACACGGACATGAGCAGCGTGACGGGCGACAGCGGCTTCAACTCGCCCAGGTAGGGGGGCGGGGGGCCTGCTGCCCCACGGGGCTAGTTAGGTCTCGAGAGACACAGAGAGACAGAGGGTCGGACCTCTCACGTGGCTCCCATTAAAATCTTCGGTCTCCTAAAGGGCCACTGCAGGACAATAGAACAGAGGGCAGGGATGGCGGTAACATTTCCCAAAGGGTAGTGGAGGCAGTTGGTGTGGAGTAGTGATGCGGGAGTCGACACACTGGGCTATGAGTCAAGCGGCCTGAGCTTGATTCCTGGCCACGGCTAAGATTAGTGGTGAGTGATATTTGAACCGGTCCTGCTCCCTCTCCCACCCCACTTCATGAACTGGCATTGAACACCGTGGTGGAGTATGGGAAAATAACTCCCATGACCGACATATACGTTTGTATTATGTTGAAATTCTTTCACGCTGTACATAGCCAACCGTGCTGATTGGAGGTGCGGGGGAAGGACAACAAACTAAACACATAAAGCAGTTCATGACTAGTGGAGGTCTCCACTTGTCAGTGGATTGACAAAGGATGCGAAGGAGCTGGAAATGTTTTGACATGCACGCTTCCCAGTCATAACCAGCCTGTGCTTTGTCATACAAAATTAACTTAATCTATCAAACGCTCACATAGGGTATGGCGGCTGATTTATTCATTCGTTCGTTTCTGAATCCGCTTGTCCTGGTGAGGGTCGTGGTGGCAGCATGTTGAGTCGTGCAGTCCAAACTTCCCTTTCCTTGGCGACAGACTCTAGCTCTTTCTGGGGAATTGCCAGGCGTTCCCAGGCCAGCTGAGTGACATAGTCCTGCCAGCGTGTCCTGGGCCGGCCCCGGGGTCTTCGCCCAGTGGCACGTGCTGCCCGGTAGAGTTCCAGGGGGAGTCTATCGGGGGGGCATCCTTACCAGTGTGCCCGAATCACCTCAACTGGCTCCTCTCAATCTGGAGGAGCATCGGCTCGACTCTGAGGCTCTCCCGGATTACCAAGCTCCTCACCCGATCATGGACAGTGAGCCCGGCAACCTTGTGGAGAAACCTAATTTCGGCCGCTTGTTCCCGTAATCTCATCCTTTCGGTCGTTACCCAAAGCTCATGGCCATAGGTGAGGGTGGGAACATAGCTCGACATGTAAACCGAGAGCTTTGTTCGAGAACTCAGTTTCCATTTCACTACCACGGAACGGTACAGCACCCGCATCACTGCAGATGCCGCACCGATCCGCCGGCCGATCTCCTGCTCCCACTTACCATCACTTGCGAAAGAGACCCTGAGGTACTTAAACTCCTCTACTAAGGGCAGCTGTTCCCCCCTGACCTCGTATTTTCCTTCACTGTGCTCGACAACCAGTCCACACCACATTTTTCTAAAAGAAAACGATTTTCTACAAGGTTAATAATTTTCTCCGTGCTTTATATATGTAATAACACGCTAGAGACGGCTTGTAGAATCGGTCCTTTTATTTTACTTCTTGCAGTTCACAAACACTCCCCGTTGCTGGCAGGCAACGGGAAGCTGGCAGACAGCCATCAGAGACACACCACCACATGGCACCCGGAGCGCCACTCGCGCGTGGCCCCTCTCTCTCTTCGTTTCGTGTCTGACCCCGTGTCTCTCCTCTCTCCTCTTATTTAATGCTTGGGTCACGTGGTACACTCCAGCCAATCCTCAATAGCCTGCGCCGAATGTTCCAGATCCCCCATCAACTCCCGGGACCACGCCAAGACCAGCGAAACCAATCACCTAGCTGACATCCCGTGATCACGCCGAGGCCATGCTCCCAGGCTCTCCCCCCATTGGCTGTAAAGCGGGACCGGCAAAGCCGATCACCACGTGAATCCGACATAGGCTCTTATTACATATATATAAAAGTTGATGTTAAAATACGTATCTTATCGGCATGCTTAGACAAAAGAAACGTTCCCCTGGATATGTGTTGATTTAAACGTTACTTATATATGTATATTTCTGGTGGTTTAAACTTTACACGCACAATATACACATACACATGCGGGGTGGTCACAAATATGTAACGGCTATTAAGAGTGTGTGCACTTTAGCATATTATATATATTTTTTAACTATCAATACAAAACACAAATCATCTATTCTAGCAGTGCATAAAAATGGGATTTGAAAATAAGAGAGAATTATAGCCAATGTGAGTTTTTGGATAACCTAAAATCATCGTAACGTCTCATGTACATGATACATGAAACACGAGTATAATATTGTTCCAAATTGTATTAATTCACTGGTCAATATTTTTTACGTGAATGTTAAACGTGAGCGCCTTGAACGTGGTGTAATGAATATGGGCACGAACCATGAGCGTCCCAATCTCTGATGTTGCTCGTCAATAAATGGGTCTGCTTGCCATTGCAGGACCCGAGAGAGCTTGGCATCCAACACCTCAAGCCTGGCCGATGGTGTGAAGCGGCATGGGCAGCTGGGCCTGTCAGATGGCAGGAACGGTGTTACGCTGGCCGAGCAGCAGCAGCATAAAACCGCGAGGTTGCAACCAACGAACCCCATGCAGCACAGCTCCGCGCTTCCTCCCGCAGCGAGGACGAGTCACTTCAGCGGCCTCGTCGCCACGAACGCCAAGTTCGGCTGCGGCCAGGCGCTGCAAAACGTGCCTGGCGACATGAGTCACAGCGACTGCGCTAGCCTGCCGCGGCACACGCCTGGCAAAACGAGCGCGGACGAAATGCACGCCGCGCAGAAAATCAAGCAGAGCGTGCGCGGCCCCCCGGTCACTCAGCAAGGCAGGCACCCTCCTTTTCCGGTCTCTTCCTCGGAAACGGACCGCTCGAATTCCTTCTCCAGCCTCGCTGCAGCCGAAGCCTCGCGCTCCGTGCAGTTCGCAGAGGTGGCGAGGTCCGGGGCGGATCGGTGCACTTACTCGGCCGCGTACAAGGGACAGGCCCCATTCGGCGACAAGGACACTGATGGCGAGAGCCGAGACAGGCCACTGTTTCCGCTCACTCCTGCAATAAACGTGTGATTCGACCGCTGAAGCCCAGTGGCAATCAAAGCTGCCTGTTGGTGCAGCAATATCGGGCCGGTCGGCAATGGCTTTGTGGTGCATGCAGGCAGTTTTGTTTCCAAATGTCCACGTGGGACATCAAGACTGGCCTTCATTTAAACAGTGAGCTTTGGGTTATTTTTTTTTTACACAGGTTTTTTCCTGATTTTAGGATAAATTCATTCGCAGGTAGTCAACATGTGGACCTGTATAGTTAATTCTCAATATTTATTTTTTGTAACCCCTCCTGCTATGCGTGTGGCTTTCCAAGGAAACTCGTGCGTGAGCGTCGTTGTGCTTTGTGTTTTGCCTGCGCGGTGTGTGTATGCGTGTGCGCGTGTGAATGAGTACCTGCGTGACGTTGAATCGAGTTTAATGTGTGCATTCGCTTCGGTGGAAAAGTGCTCATTGCTACCATTGCCCAATTAAAATACGGTGACATTTATTGTAAAATTGAACTGTTTGCTCTTATTCTGGATTTGCATGTTCCTTGCAAAGAAACAAAAAAAGTTCCAATTCTCAATACCCCACGGGACGTGTGTTGAACAAAATCCCAAGCGCTGTGCATTTACTGAGCTTGCGCATATATTCCAAGTTCGTGCGAAAAGTATTTCCTAAGCATACACACGTTGTTAATGTCATAACTGAACGATCATTACATTAAATAGTGTTTGGCATATTACTTGTACATACTATTTACGCTTGTTAATCATGGTTAGATATTGTTGCCATTGTTCCCCAACTCATCTGTCCATGATGAGATACCTCCACCCCACATCCGTTTTTACCTGCTTCTATCGATTATTAAAATATAGGTACTCTTCCTAGTACCTATCGATTATTAAAATATAGGTACTCTTTCTAGTGCCACTGTCTCCGGAGGTAAGAGCCAAGGGATAGTTGGACAAGTATAGCTCCAATTGTGCATGTGTGTAAGACCAGTGCAGTGGCAAATCAACAGCTGCCAAATATACAATGTTACAAAATAAGTAATGATGTCAAGTAGCCTTACGGTACCGTCGTAATTTTGAGCTTGAAATAGGCTGTGTCATAACTGCGTGCAAGCTGCGGGATACGTAAAAGAAGAACAGAAAAATAATGTTTCAAGGAACGCGTAGAGCGAACAGCAACGAAGCGACCAGGCACAGACGCCGTCCTGTTCACAACCACCTCCGTCGTCTAAAAAGACCACTCACTGGGCGGGATTGATCCGTGTACTGTGCACGGTGGATTAACTTGAAACAAAATGGAACGCTTTGCGGCGTGGGCGAAACACGCAACACGCTCGAGCCACCGTCCTGAGCAACAATGTGGCGCTGAAGAAAAGTTCAATCGGAACCGGCTCGCAGGAGACAAACCTGCGAATTGGACTACCTCCGGCCCCACTTAAAATCGATGCCGACGTAAATGGTGCATAACAATGAAGGATATGTGTTGGCTACGTGCGTTGTTATATTTGGCGTGGGTTTTTTAAATTTCTCCATAAGCAAAATCAGCACGTGAGACATTTGTGTTACATTTTTGCAACGATTATTTTGTTTCAACTGATAAGTCTGTGGATTATTATTTTATGTTAGTACAGTACATTGCTTTCAGAGTTGTTGTATTAGCTTGACCTTATTTTATGAGACTAAATGTTAAGCTGTAATGGATGTGTACCATATTTATCTGCTCATCACTCTTTTGTAATAAACTTAATGGCTTATACCTGACAACAGTTCGTTGATATTTCCATCGCCGTTGAATCTTACGTTGGGGCTTTCCACTACTCGCAGCAGTCGTGAACACATTCCTGCGGAGGGAGCTGGTAGGAACGTTGGGTTGCTCGGTCAATGGCCAGGGTCAACGGCGGCGTGGTGTATTCCGCAAATATGCCTGACTGTGAGGGCGGGCACAAGCCAGCGTGAGTAGGTTAAACGTTGACTTTTATAAGGGCACCACGGGGTGACCAGCCCCTCCCCACCCAGCCCCTCCCCACCCAGCCCCTCCCCACCCTCTCCACCCAGCCCCTCCCCACCCAGCCCCTCCCCACCCTCCCCTCCCCAACCAGCCCCTCCCTGCACGACGGACGGACACAATAATCCCCTGTGGGCTGGTGGAATCAGTGGGTTCCTACCAGTAAAACCCCTCTCTATATCAACACAGATTGAAGGAGGGATTCCAAGATTTCCCGACGAGAGACGCAGCATGTTTGTTCCTAGCATCGCTGGCAAACAACAGGCACCATATCTCTCGCTCCCTTACACACGTTTCCCAGTCCAGGTACTCGAAAGGAATTCACAGCAAAGAAAAATTGGCCCCACCTGCGATTAATTAATGTTCAAAATCTCAATTTCTACTTTTGAGTGATCAACTTTCAAAGACGGCTAATAACATAATCTTAACCAGCTGGCCACTAGAAACCGTACTCTCTAGATTATTAAGATGCAACATTTTTTTCCACATCTTTAAAAGCAAAAGTTGGGAGGGCGTCTTACAATCCAGTATGCACGTGGTTGTGACTTGATGTGTAGAACTTTATTATCACCGAGAACAGGTTTTGGAATGAGGCATAAGCAATTAGGACATAACACTTATCTTGAGAATACGGTACCCCACCCCCTCCCCGCCTCCCCCCAAAGTCATCCATCCACCTTCCCCCATAACCTTCCCGTCACGATACCTTTCCCCAAAAAAAGCAAGAATTGCCATCAATTAAAAGCTAAACTCGCAACCTTTTTTTCACATGCCTGCAAAAGTTGTGCCGAGTAACGTGCCAAAACTTTAAAGCTTGCAAATGGAGAGCAGATTTGTACTCCTCTGCCCAGCCCCCCGTGGTTATGCACTTAGGCCAATTGTCAACACGTCTGCCGAGGGCGGTTCCTTGCATGAGCCGCGAACCCAGCGACACTCTTAGGCGTGTGTCTGTGTGCATTTTGCAGGGCGGCACCGCTGCTCAAATGTGGGGCAGCAGACCCCTGATTATCTAAAACCCGCAGACAAAACCATTAAACACATTCCTGCGGAGGGAGCTGGTAGGAACGTTGGGTTGCTCGGTCAATGGCCAGGGTCAACGGCGGCGTGGTCTATTCCGCAAATATACCCGACTATGAGGGCGGGCACAAGCCGGCGTGAGTAGGTTAAACATTGACTTTTATAAGGGCACCAGGGGGTGACCAGCCCCTCCCCACCCAGCCCCACCCCTCCCACCCCCCACCCAACCCCACCCTCCACACCCAGCCCCTCCCCACCCTCCCCACCCAGCCCCTCCCTCCCCACCCAGCCCCACCCTCCCCACCCAGCCCCTCCCTCCACACCCAGCCCCTCCCTGCACGACGGACACAATAATCCCCTGTGGGCTTATGTAACCGGGAGGTTCCTACCAGTAAAATATATATCTGTATAATTTGAGTCTCGGTGAAATAATCTTCATATAAGAGTATACTGTGTATATATATCATATGCACTGAAGTGAATCGTGCCATTGCATACTCATGTTTACTGCATTAAATATCAAATTGGGCAAAATGTAGAGGACCTGTTTCAATATATCACAAACAGTTTAGTAACGCAAGAACACAGCTTCATGCATCTTATTTGTTTTACACTAAAAATTTTAAAGTTTAAATACAATGTTTGCAACTCCTATATATAAAAAGTATAATAATAAAAAAAATATGAATATTTACATCCCTTTGTCAAGTCATGCTGGATGAAGGCCTATTCCACACTATTGGTCATGGGGAGTTGTTTTGACGATACTTTACTGTGCCGGTCAGTGTCAGTTGGTCAAGTGGAGGCAACCAGGACCGATTTGCGGATATCACTTGCTACTCATGCTGGCCATGGCCAGGTATCTCTGGGTTCAAGGCACAGTGCGCTTACCACTGCACCTCCACTCCCCCGTATGACAACACTTTAATAGTACTGTCATATAAAATAACTTGCATAATTTAAACTTTGCAGCACCAATGTGTTGAGTACATTTAGTTTATAATTTGGCTTTTGATGGCAGGATCACCACTGTTATAACCACAAAACACTCATAGCAAGCGACCCCACACAGACTTTGGAGTGTTGATGCAGGCAGCCTTTGCCAACACTGAATGGCAGGGTCCTAAAATAGGATCATATGAACACAAACCCGGATTCTTTTCAGTGCTATTCACAACACTGGGGCACTTCAGCCTCCACGAGAAGTCTAAAAATATAATATTCTTAGCCCGTCCTCCCTTGTTTGAAATAACAGGCATCAAATGTTTCTGAAAGTGCCTGCGCTTACCTTGCTTGCATCCTAGGATACGGCAGGCCGGGAAAGGGCCCAACCAAACACAGCTGTTTGTCCCATTAAGTCTCAAGATAAGTAAGTAAAGGTCAAAGTTTGCGGTGGGGGGGGGGGGGAGATTTTAGTGCTCCGTCTGGTCAAAAATATTTACTCAAGCAAAGTTACCATCATCATTCTCCGATTACTGCACGTACATGTGTGTTTACAACCACACGTACAGCGTTTTTCGTCAGACCACTGCTGGATGAGCACGTCACCATCAAATGCGGGTTGTGGAGAGTTATTTGACCATACTTTACCATACTGGTCAGTGTAGGGCGGTCAAGGCAGGGAGCACAACAGACGTGGCAGCATCGACGATCGATGCAACAATAGATTTAACTTTTTACGACACTGCCCACTATGTTAGGCTAACAGCCTGAAACGCCTGCTATGCATGGTGGTCACCCATCCAAGCACGATCTTCTGAGATCTGACGATATCGGGCATATTCTTGATTTGGTCACAGGCTCGTTGCCGAAGTCTTCTAGTCACAGTATCGCCAGTAACGTTAGACGGACGTTTGATTTTAAACCGGAAGAATCCGTTAAGCGATGAAGGTCACTTTCACAGGTGTCCTGCATGTGTGTATGATTCTACGTTACCTGTTAGCACAATTATCTGGCTTGCATCGCTGTTCATCTGTCTGTTAGCCCTTTTAATATGTCCATCATTTCAAACACCTTGCGACTACTAAAATAACTTGAAAGATTTCGATTTAAAGCTTTCGTGACTGCAGGGATTCATCTTCTTAGTTCTTTCGGTAAAGTCACGTAGAAGGGAAGTAATAAAATAATAAAAATAAAACATAATAAAACAATTCTCACGACGTTTCGGCCACGACGCAAGCAGCCGTCCTCAGGTGAAAACCAGGTCCGTCGAGGCGACAGAGTCTGAATGAAACAGCACACGAGCTTGGAGCATATATATAAGCTGGGCGCATTGACAAAGGAATTTGCATATCAAAAGGAATTTAGCATATTTATGGGAAATGCAGGAATGTGATTAGTACTGCATATGCATGTGCATTATGCAGGATTAACAGCATCAAAGGGAGCTGCAGTTACTGCTGCTGCAGCAGTTGCTGCTGCAGCAGTTGCTGCTGCTGCAGTTGCCGAAAGAACCAAGAAGATAACTTGAAAGAGGCACTGGGTCCATAAATAAATGATTGGTCAGCTGCGATTAGAACTTCTCAATCTTTGACAAACGTCACAAGACTGTATATGTTCGTATGCCGTTCAACAGTGCTGTCATACCTTTGTCCTTATCTTGGGGCCATGTGAAAGGTCTTTGTTAGACTACTGAATACCCTCTGAGCACATTGGCTGAAATCTACTGAATAGCGCTTGCAAGCACCCGCTGGCAGAAGGCTGAACTGTCATGGTGCAGCTCGCCAGATGCTTTAAACAATGGCCTGTGGTTTTAAATGTTTGTATAGAATTTTAATGCCTTCATTGTACTTTTACAAAGTGTAGCAGTTTTTCATTTCAAAGGTAGGAGACACGGGGGAATTTCTCACCGCTCCATACACTGGTGCTTAAACATAAACAACTGGCTATAAAAAATATATTTCTGTAAATCCTAAAACGTTGTTTCTCTTGGCAGTGTGATACCGTAAACACAGTTTATACATGTCTAAGAGCTTCAGACAGACCTTTTGATGGTACGGTATTTATATACCCTTTTATTTTAAGTAACTAAAATTATAAATTCTCTTTGACTCTTCACGTGCAGACAACAGTAGGCCATTTTAATCACATTGTGGTTTCCTCAAATAAAAATAAATGGTACGTTAATAAATAAATATATATATTTTTAACCGGTGGAAGTAAATTTACCCAGCCATGTCGCCAAATTACTTCCTGAAACCTGCTGTGGAATCTCAGCAGAAATTTTAGGATTTTGTAGCCTGGTAGTTTTATGCAATTAGGTTAATCTCAAACGTCACAATTCCCCTATGCACTCCAATGGTTTCCTTTGGGCTTGGTGTGCGATGTTGACTGCACATGCCCAGCACTTTAGGGACCCAGGCACCACAAATGGCCATTAAAGAAGCAAAACAAAACTGGAACCATCACAGGTAAGTAAGCATTGTTTCATCCCAGGTGTGTATTTCTGTATTATACCTAAAGACAAAAGAAACTAACGCGTAAGCTGAAGCTGTTCTGTGGCCATAGCTTAGGTTTCTTAACAGCATATCGCGTCTCTTCACGAGTCTTAATAATGCAGCGGCTGGTGTGAACTCAGCAGTCGCGTACGTATGTACAGTATGTACAGTGTGTATGCACAGCCCTTTTGTCAATCCACTGCTGGACGACGACCCTCTCCATGCCATTCGGGTCAATTTTATTTTTCTAACCATACATGAATTGGTCAATGTGGATTGATCAAGGCAGGGAGCATAGATATGGGAATGTAGTACAGGGCATTGGGCAAGGTTTGATGTTTCTGTATTGCCCTCTACTGCCCACATAGCCCCACAGTAGCCTTTAACACCTGTTGTCTGCACGGTGGTTACCCATCCAAGCACTCTACAGGCTCAAGCCTGCCTCGCTTCTGAGGTCTGATGAGACCAGGTGTGCTCGGGGGTTATAAGGTCACGGGTAGGTCCACTTCAACAATGTTGGTTCATTGTGGCACTTTAAACAATAGCGCTCATGCACAGGTGCTCGATGTAATGTTAACATCACAGAACCATGAGATATTGCATTGTCTTGGTGAGCCCTTCATTCAACGGCGGAATGATCATGGCTGATGATTATGTCACTGTACTCATGTATATGTTGTAAAGCAAAGGCTAAAACAGCTTCAACAGATGGTTAACTCACTTAAAAATTTGCTTAAGGAATTACAAAAAACATAATAAGTCCTGGGTCAGAGATTTTATGGTTTGTTCTCAGACTTTTAAGGCACTTGACAAAACACACCTTTCAGACTCACCATGATAATAATGATGCTGTACATCTAGGGGGTCGTATTTCTGACGCTGCTGCGACGTGAATTAATTCCTTTGACAAATATCAAGGAAATCAGACCTGGGCCTACCTCCGTGCCCATTATTGCAGTGTGTCTCTCAATATGCCACCATTGTGCTGGTGGCTGTTCCTGCCCTCGCTGTATCACAGCAACTTGTGCCGTCCGTGCTCTCTTGAGCTTGCGGCGGCTTGTAACTGGAGAGCCAAAGGTGCATTAATGTGTGCGCTCAAGCCTGTCATCAATATACATTTCTTGCCCACTCGCTGAAGTGACCTTTGTTTGATTCGGGTTGCCAGCTTGACTCCCATCTCAATGTGGGAAAATCTTTTTTTAAGAATGCCCCTAATATGGTACAGTATTGTCAGTATGTAAAATGTCGGGGTTTGTTTTTTTCTCTCTCTCTTTGCCGTTCAATGTGCTTTTGAGATCCACTGTATGTTGTTCGGAATGGAATTAATTTCCTGCAGAAGCTCTTATCACGTGGCGCGAAACATCGGACATCATTCCGTATTCAAAATACGCGGTACTCCTGGAAAGCACAGCGGAGAGAGCAAGCGAGCTATGCTTGCAAAACCTTAGCAGTGTGTGGTTTTTGTCTGTTTGAGGATATCCTTCTGTCTTAGAAAAAGGATATCAATTGTGATGGGATTGTCCGTGGTGGAGAGGCACGTTTATGAGCCCATGGATAATTGTAAATCCAAACCCTTAACTTCCTGCAACGAAACCGCTAATGTGGGGTTTAGTGTAAGGTGTAACGTGGTGTTAATCTACCAACATCCCTTACGACGATCCACAAGTCTGCATTTGTAGATTTCATAGTGTGGACTTCCGTCAAATATGACACTGGACTGTACTTGGGGTTAAACTAACAAACGGTGGTGTTGAACTATTTTGCATGAGATTTGATCAAATGGTCACTGCAATACATTCCACCGAAAATCTGGTGATTCTAGGGAGTCTTTCTCACGAAGTTGGGCAGTCCTGCTGAAGAGCTGGTGAGCTCTCATAACCTCATGCAGCGTTGCTATCACATTATCGTCAGCCATGACCAATCCACCGCAGGACGAGGGCCTCCCCCCACGCTGTCGGAATTTTCTCACGATCCTGCGCCGTAACAAACAATCCATCTAGCACCTGTGCACGAGCTACGTAGTAATCCCGTCGTCCTCTCGAATGCAATTCTCTCCCCTTGAAGCGCGCCAGTTTTTTTAAGCCGACGGCTAGACGCCGGGCCAGCCAAAACCGCCGTCCTCACCGCACTGGTTTGTGCTGATTCGAAAATGTCACCGATCCGAGTTCCACTGAACTTAACCGCGCCTCAATGTTCATGGAGAAGGTCGCACCGTCTTGGATTGGGGATTGCTAACGGCCCATACTCATTGCGGGACTTGCGCAGCTGCCCTCGGGGCTGATATTTGGATTCCATCCCTCGTTAGTTCGACGCGCTGAAATTACACGCACGAAAACTCCGGTCTGATTATCGCCAGGTGCAAGCGGATTGCTCTGGCTGGCAACTCCCATGTCTGCTGGGAATGCTGTGTGTGTGTTTTTTTTATTGCCTTTCCTTTTGCTGTTCCCACAGCCTCATAAATCCAGGCCATTCCAAGTAAAACATTGGACTTCCCCTTCAAACTTCCTCGTCATATTTACCTTCAGAGTGATCCAAATTCAACACATTACACATGTGCGAATTATGTATGCGCTTTATTAAAATGAACCCAATTTTATTTTCTTCGAACCAACGAAGGGAGAGCCGGTGTCATTGTTTATGCTCAAAATTATTAAGAAAAATGTTGCTGGTTATGTGTTTTTTTTTATTTGATCACAACACGAAAACAGCCAACTTCAGTGGATCCTGAGACCTGAATAAACTAGCAGGGACATTTTCCAATGAAATACCAAGTAAAAATTCTACCCAGATATATAAATGTAATACTTCTTCTTGGTTCTTTCGGTAAAGTCACGTAGAAGGGAAATAATAAAAAATAATAAAAATAAAACATAATAAAATAATTCTCACGACGTTTCGGCCACAACGCAAGCAGCCGTCCTCAGGTGAAGAATGAAACACCACCAAGCTTGGCAACGTATATTTAAGCTGGGTTGGAAGGGGAAGAAGAGCGCCTTGACAAAATAATTTGCATATCAAGAGGAATTTAGCATATTTATGGGAAATGCGTAGGAGGTGGGCGGGGGGTTTCACGTCGTGAGAATTATTTTATTATGTTTTATTTTTATTATTTTTTATTATTTCCCTTCTACGTGACTTTACCGAAAGAACCAAGAAGATGAATCTCTGCAGTCACAAAAGCTTTAAATCGAAATTTAAACTGTAATACATTACGTGAATGCAGAAAGCACCATCGGTTGTGCTCACCGAACTTAAAGTGACCCAAGCTTCATGCGCGACGCAGTACCTTGTTCCTGGAATTCCAACCCGGCGAGCCCTTTGAAAGGTGCCGTTTAATTCTTGCAAAGTCTCTTTTCATTACGTCGTTGAAGTTGTTGTAAAAGATGAAAAAAGTGCGAAATACATTGACTTCAAATACCAAGAAATCGTTCTGTCATGCAATGCTTCAATGGTGACACAGACCATCACTGCTCACTTGAGCATTTATTTTCATTGGCTGTTTTAATGTGTCCAAGTTTTAAATGATATCATAAGGCAAGTAAAGCATAAGTGATGCATGCATCATTAATAGGTTAACACAACACAGAGAAATGGTGTCAAGATAAATTCAATCCCATGCAAAGCAATCTGCACTATGTCTTTACATGTTTACCTTGTTCAGTGAGGAAAAGCCTTTAATCAAACTATGCTGTTATTATAAATAAGAAATGCCGCTCCTAAAATGGATAAGGATATTTTTGAGAACCTTTTTTTAAATACCCCAATTTCATCCCATTGGGCTATCCGCATCATGTCATGAGACCAAGTATCTCTTCTGATCTCTCAGAGCCATACACTCCTTCGTGTTAGTGGCTAGCCCGTGGAAGTAGATATCGCAGAACTACTGAGATCCGTTCAAGTGACCCTGCAGTCCGCACAGTAGTGGAGGCGGTGGTTGCGAATGCCCCGCTACTCAGCACTGCTCAGACAGAAATGTTGCAAAACTCTGACCCAGTGGGCGTCCAGGTGCCATAACCCTGCCTTGCAAGAAGCTGGTAGATCGAACGTGGACATCATTTGTTGGTTCTGTACGGGATAGAATGTTACCCCCCTTTGCACACGTGGGTTTTCTCCGGGTACTTCCATTTGCCCCCGGGGACATGTAAACACTCATGATTGATTGGTCCATAACACTTTTATATGTAGAGGACCGCAGAGCGTGGTAGGGGGGGGGGGGGGGGTTTGGCGCTGGATTACCGTCTGGTTGCCTTTCGTGCTTGTCTAAGATTCCTGACGTCTGTGAGCGAATATTGTGCGCGTTACCAGAGGAGGAATTCTTTTTGATTGTGAAGGGGCAGCACCTTTTCCCACGCTCTGCCACTGAGAGCAATATTTGTCACATGGCTAGTCAAAACCGATATTCTATCTTCTCTGAGCTGGAATGTAGCCAAATTTAAGTGCACAAGCACATTTTATGTGATGGGGGGGGGGGGTAGTTTGGTGAAGTCATTGGTGGCTGGGCTGAGACCATTGAGAATCCATTTGAGAACCCGGTTTAACCACAAGTCGCTGCCTGGATTCAAACCCAGAATCTCAGCAGAGTGCGCTTAGTGCTGTGACCTCGTGAGCCACCCAGCGACCTCACCGTTGTAAGCCGATTGCGTCAACACGGCCTCAAAAAGGGTCTAATGTGGAAGATAGATTGGCTTATGTAGATAAACCATGAGCATATTTCATTTGATTGTTATTGTTATCGCTACATGTGTTTATCCATTGATAACATCAAACACTTCGAGTGGCAAACAGATGAGATGGAAATGTCACTAAAGTACCACATCGGTAAAACTATAGGATCGCTACAAATGACCTTTGGGAATGTTCCACTGATTACTAGAGATGCACCTTTGGCTTGGTTTGTAATTGGATCGACCTGATTTACTCAAGCAAAAAAATATAAAGAGTTGTTGAATTAGACCCGCAGAGCTTTACCCTTTTACCCGGTAAAAAGGATAAATTACCTTACCTTGCCGAGGCCTAGCTGTGAGGTAGCTAGAAAATTGTCAATGGGCCCTCCCTCTCAAAGCTTGTGCGCGTTATCCCGCCTCGAGCACGGTCGGTTTCCTCCTCCCGCGTGAAGCAAAATATGCATCGTTTTGATGGCAATAGGAAAATAGTCCAATGCAGAATTTCTCTTGAAAAAAAGCATGCAGACTCCACAAGACTTTTTAGTTTTTATAAATAAAGGAATGTTTGGTAATTGACAGCAACAAAATAACTTCACGTATTTTTGTGTATGCTATTTAATTGTGAACATATTATAACATGTATTGTTATGCAATACATGTAAATCCTGTTCTAAATGATCCAGGATCCGATCGAAGGACCAGTCCAGATCATATCCAGGTAAAAACGTGGATTCATTTGGATGGGTTCACAATGTGATCATGGTCCAGATCCTCAATTCAAACACGTGGTTGTGATGAATTACAGTGGACTGGAACCATGCACTCTCAGTACACAACATTCAGGCATCTAACGATGCGTTTTTTTATATTAGGACATTAAACATATCACAACGTACGTGGGAAATGTTGTCTTAACTGAGGCTAGAAGTGGGTCTTATTGCACCAACACAGGACAGCTCGTTTGTTATCAGCATTAATCTGTAAGCATTTACTTCTCGTTCAACTGATATCCGTATGGTCATGCTGGTGGTGGTTTGGTATGGTCAACATACACACAACTGTACAATATCTTAAAATAAATAAAATGAATGGGCAGCATACGAAGTGCAGCCATGCTCGGAAATTATTGCACCAAAATTCCTCGTCAATCTTTGGGGGCCTGTGGGTGGCAACAAACTGTTTTTGTGCGGCGTCTTGCGATGCATTTGTTTAGATGTTGTACGAATCCAAAATTGATTAAGTAATTGTATCGTCCGTGCCTTTATGCGTTATGCAGACACAGTCAGTTGTGAAATAAGTTACTGAAAAAGCTACCGGAATATGCACTCTGTTTGACACGGTCAATTTTTCTGTCTCGAATCAGAACACAATGGTATTATTAGTATGCTTGAAACGATCTAATAAATCGAGATGCAGATGCATGCTTGCATATTCCTGTATGTTTACACCTGTGTATCTTCTTGCATGTGTGAACTTTGCATGTGGATGGAGCCATTCTTCGACATGCACAGTACGTAACTTGGTGTATATGCTCTCTGCTGGACGTGTGATAAAATATAATGCATTACGTTTCAATAATAAAGCTTATTCGAAGGCAATTGCATTAAACGTTATTTCAGGGCACGTTCCGTGGCATATGGCTGTCATTTCAGTGACGTGGAGGTGGGATAGGTGGATCATGCAACAGGATGGCAACGATGGGTGTGCGTGACACCAGAATGGAGGGCAATGGGAGGGGGTGGAGGAGGGGGGCTTACACGCGAGGCAGCACAGCGAGTGCGTTTTTTGGCCTGACATGTTTGTGTTTCCCTCTACACGTGTGCGTTTTGCCTGCGCCATTCGGTTTACTCTCTCTCTCTTCTTGTGCAAAAAAAAAAAACTCCAGTCGCCCCAAGTAGGGGCCCCGTGTAAATCAAAGGGTTGATGATGTCGTGGGGATCTACTGTGTACATGCACTTAAAATACAGATTATGTTGATGAAGCGCTGTGAAGAGGCCATTTTATTTGTAAAATTAGGTGTAAGAGTAATTGTATTCTCTTTATGCCTCCACGTGCGAAACACTCCCTAAAAAGGAATTAGCATATACCCAAAACGCAGGCCCCCTTCTGAAAAGGTCTTGAGACGCAGGCTTTCCTGGATTATGAAAACACATTAATATAATTAACTATTTCACAGAGATTAAGGAATTCAATACAGTGGAACTCCTCTTATTCACGTATATATGTTTATTGAACTTCTTTCGCACCGTTTGTAGCCGACCGTGCTAATCCACGGTGCTGTAGGGAATGGACATCGTTGGATCCTGTTATCCGCGATGTTATCCGTGAATTTAGCCACTTACAATCACAGATAATAGCATTCATTTGCCGATGAGCTCCACTTATCCATGAAAAATGTGTGGCTAATAGGAATCCATTCCTCAACGCAGGATGGGAACAAACCACCCAGGGTGATTGTAACGAACAGGAACAACCGAGGCACGGACAATACACGAGTTTTCCCAGGTCCTAGAGATCTCACGGATGACAGGAGTCACAGGTGCAATAAGGCCACGCGTAAGAGGAGTTCTAATGTTCAGTGATGAGTCTCACTCAACACAAGACGATTGGTAGCTGACCCATTGACAAAGTATTGATTCCGTTCGGACTTGACAGCACCCTACTGGGTTGCTGCCCACACATGATCCGTGGTGGCCACAGCGGAGGAAAGGGTATTTTCGGTGGTGCACCCTTCCACGCTCTTCCCCTGCGGACGCATTCTCTGCGTCAGCTGGAATTTTTCCAGCTCCCGTACCGCTTCCTCGGCTTTAGACTCCACAATCTGTGGTGGCACACAACGGTGGTGGTGGTGGGTTGGGGGAAATGCCGTGAGCCCGCGTTTGCCGTCGCCAAATTTGTTACCGAAATCGGCGATGAAAATATTTCGTCCAATTAAGTTTTCTTTTGTTCAGTCAACGACGACCAGGACTGGAACACAATCATCAAGTGTGGCAATGGCCACAGCTATGGCGACCCACAATAACCTCAATATGACTGACCGATGATGAGATGAAATTAACTATTCTGAATGAACATGAACTATAAGACAATTTAGCGATGCTATATAAGAGACAGTGGTTGTACCGAGAAATACTAACAATGATAATTTACTCTTTACCAATTAACAACTTTCTTGCCGCTTTCACGCTCGCGTTGTTCATTGCGAGATCTTCAATATTTTTTTCCCGAATGGATTTAGGATTTTAGTGGTTTCAGAGAAATTGTTATCTGCTCTTTTTAACCCCCCCACCGACATTCAATAATGCACTGTCCATGACGATTTTGGTTGCCACTTTACAAGAACTGTACGAAAATATACTGAAATAAAATCATTGCTATTTCTACAGGAGAGCTGTTTTGGGCTTGAACACCATCTCACCTGGCATACAAACATGAGGGTACACACGCATGCATGCATTCATACGCACGCACTATACAATATCCGGAATTACTTTAGTTGATGCTACACACAACACCAACCTACACTAAACACGCCCGTGCAAAATATTGCAAAAATTCCAAGACGGCAGGCTTGAAAGCAAAACAGGCTGATTGCTCGCTTGATGATAACAAGGCCATTCCATTTATATTTAATACACAGCCATCACTCATGCTCTGTCATTCTTGGGATTATGCCCACTGTACCTGGCTACTGTCAATGCTGATCTTGCTCCTCATGATTTCCTCCATGTAGTCAAAGTCTGGTAGAGGCATGTGGAACCCAAACTTGCCGTTCAGCCAGTACGTCAGCTGGCTACCTTTCCCCTGGGACACGCCACACGGTGAGCATGGCACACTAATCACAAGTGTGTCGATGTGCAAAATGAGCACTCAGGTTGTGGTCATTGCTGCTGGTGTTTCTGTGATGTAAATTCCACATTCCTATGGTAGGGAATATATGCATGGTGTGCAAATACCTTTAATAAATGCTGTGACAGCGGTCAATCACACTTTTTCTCAGATTGCTCAACATTTCACACGTGTTCATAACATTTTAAATCCAAAATGCAGAGAATGAGGCTTTGCAATACGCTTATACTTTACGGTAAGGAATTTGTAACTCTTCTGTTTTCAACCCTTTTTCAATACCAAATAGATGCGTGTATGTAGTGCATCCGTGCGTGTGTGTATGTAATAATAATACTACTACAAAGGGGATTAAAACAAGTGATAATGTTTAAAGTATCTGATTTCTCGAAGCTAATACGATCACTTGAACAAGCGATCAAAGCAAAATGATCTCAAGGAAATGCACTGATATGCACAGGGCATCTTTTAACAATGGTCACTCACAGCAAGCTCCATTACACTGGGTGAATGAGTGCTCTTAGGTTGAGGTGTATGAAAGGTTTGTGTGCATCGTTTTGCTTATTGAAAACCCAAATCAGATGTGATGCCTGGTTGCCCCAGATTAAGCGCATTCACTCTGCAAGGGAAGTATGCTCTTATAATATCTGGCTCACGCTCCATGAAAACATTGGACCACCCAGGCAGGAGAGACCACGGCTTGCTTGCATGGTGTGTTTATAGCATAGCATTGTCCGTGCACGTCATTAACTTTTGTATCGCCAGGGAATTCTAATCTAAGGGTGGCGATCAAGATACATATTTCTTTACTTTTAAACATGTGCAGAGAAGTATTATTTACAGAAGGGTTTTCTTGTCTTGCCAGATTCTTGCACGTTATATTACATTAGCAACCTGCATTTTTGTTCAGCTGTAAGCCATACCAGGCAATATGAAATTCAATGAACAGCAATGTGAACCCTGATCTGTTCAATCTCCAGTCTACCTCATCTTCCCAGTTCATCTGGCCCTTTGAGAAAGTTTGGAAAATAGTCGGAGACAAGTTATGTCTCGACAAGGAAATGCTTGCTTTCATATTCAGCGGGTGTGGGTTTCCCTGGACTTTGTTTTATCACCATCAACCACCGAGGCCGCATGTTCTTTGAGCACGACCCACTTTTTTACGGCCATCACCATTGCCATAATTTCTTAGTGAGAGTAATGCACCTACAGAAAACTTTATGGAATACCACTGGATGTTGACATTTATAGCTGTTAAATCAATGATAAATGTGTGTTTTTAACTTAGGCAGCCTTATGGCCTTAGAAAAAACGCAGTGGCCACATTTTAAGTGGTAATTTAGTGGCCCCATTTTACTCTTGAGGCCATACAACTTTCTGAGAAACGAACGATAGTCAATATCCACATCCATGCACATACCTTCAGTTGGATTGCTCCCCTCTCAACCAGTTCGTAACCTCCAATCGATTTCAAGAGAACCGCGGTTGATTCAGAAACGTGGATGCGCAGAGCTGTCAGTTTTAAAGGACAAATAAGAGTTAGCGTACCATCTGTGAACTGTGTGCGCACATACTTCAATGTGTCTCCGCTAATGTTTTTTCCCCCCGCCAAACCGCTCTGTTTAAAATAAAAAAGAATGAATCACAACAAAAAATATATTTGTAGGTTTTTTTCTTTATAATAAGCCACTTGGCATACATCGGTACACCGATGTCTTATTTTGGGCACGTTGCGGTGTAAAAAAAACAATTTCCATAAAGCGTGCGCATATTTTGTAAACCCCTCACTGGGCTCACTGCCTCTTCTCATCTAAGGCGAATGCTAACAGGTATCAGGGTTTGCGTTTACATTTCAACGGCAAAATAATCAGCCCAATGTAAAGTGTTCCTCTATTTTCTCACATTCCTATTCAGTCAGCACGAACTTATAAACAAGGAATTTGGAGTTAAAGGAGCAAAACTTAATTGCAATTCCAGACCGAGTACAAAGCACGGTTCACAAATATACATACGGTATACGTATACGTGTGTGTTGCCCGCACTTGTCTTTCCATTCATAATGGGGGGGGGGGGGTATTTTATGTAGCCCAGGACAAAAATGTTCAAAAATGTTTGTGTTGGCTGTAATGCATACTGTTATAAAGTCAGATTTTAGTGTGTGGCTTTAGCTTGCTCCATGTTCATTTGCCTCATCAGGGTTATGTTACAAAATTGGCTTCACGGACCCTCGGCTCTATTAATTACTAACTTCCCGAGTGCCTCGGCTTAATTCCTACAATCAAGGCTCTGTTTCTGGTGATTCCAAGTCAGGGTTCCGTAATTACAGGACTGTGACAAGGAGGACACATAATATGCAATGGAGAGCAGGACTTCTCCATTGCCTTGTCAATGTACCGTAAATTAATTACTTCATTAGAGTAACAAACACTTTATTATAATAACACTTTATTATTTATTATAAACATTTACCATCAAACCCAAGAGCTATTCATGAAGACAGCAGTGGCATCTATTAGAATGTTAACTTATGTACGGTGTTTGCTCACTCTGGAAGACAGAGATCAACTCATAGGCGCGCGGAGGAACCACAGACGAGTGGAAAGGTGGCAGTGAGCTGGCAAAAAAACATTTGCCCAGGCTCTGCAGTCCTCTATATATTAAGATGTGTTCAGCCAATTAATGCGTGTTTTTTTCATGTGGGAGGAAACTGGAGCACCCAGAGGAAAACACATACATTTTGAAGGGACAACACTCTATCCCGCACAGATGGAACAGATGGAGTTAAGTCAACATTTCCCTGTACCGCCTTCTCCTGGAAAGCCAGGGCATGGCAGCTCTGTAGATGCCCAAAGGAAGGGAGTTTCACAGCATTTGCGTGATTCACCAACCCTCTCCACCACCAACGTCTGTGCACGTCTAAAACCGAACCTTATTAACATGGGTATATTGTGTCTGTGAAAAGCTGCGTTTACAAAGAAGTCTGGAGGATATTTTCCTCACTCGATATTCCTCGGGAGGCTTCATACGAGTGCCGTTCACATTGTTCACAGAGCTCTGTGAAGTTAGCACGCGCATATATTGTTTTCCCCGCAGCTCTGAGAGGGCCTAAAAATGCTCAAAAGCGAGTGCCTGCTGCAAGAATGCAGCCACTAATGTCATGGAACCATGCACACTCAAGCAGCCCAGCCACGAAGTGCACGCACACTGCCAAGTTGAGAATTGATGCCGCAGTTCGGTCAATGCTTTCTTTGTGCTGCAAATTATCGTCGGACCTGGCTGCAAGAGATTCTTTACCAAAGCATCAAAGTGGAAATTAATTAAAGTTGAATTTGAACCGGAGGCTCAGAGATGCCAACACGGTTGTCTGACTGAGGGGATGCACAAACCACCCAGATGCACTTTTAATTACTCTCTTGAAATAAAATTGTTTTTTTTTCTTGTCCGTGTCGAATAAATGTGATATTTTGTGTGAAATTTACATTGTTAAATTATTCCATTTTGTCAGTGACTTGCAGTGATTGTAAGTAACCCTAACACAAAGGTGAGTTATGTATCTGTTGTATTTCACAGTTATAGACCTTGCAATTTTGAGATGATAGAATTTGACCACCTGCCACTCGACTTATTGGCATAAACAATTGTTACGAATAAACCCACTTGTTAATCATTTATATTTTCCTATAAATATTATCTGGCCTGAAGTCATTCAAGGATCACTTAATTTCAATGACAAAACAAATATTAATGATCTCCCAAATAATGCATCGATGTATCAATTATAATTGCTTCTTATGCTTACGATCAATATGTGCATCGAAATGCATGCATAAGACCTGACGTATTTCGATTTTTATTTGCTGCATTTAATGGGTTTTTTGTCAGCCCTGCAGCCAGTAGAGGCGTTACCATTCACGCCTGTGTTAAACAAGAATGTTGAATTGAATCGTGACCCTGAATCACGATGGTTCACCGTATCGCCGCGGTGATTCTGTAAATTACGCGACATGGGGAAATCTAAACGGTGTAAATGTTGACGAATGGAAACGGCTGCTACGACATTGGTTGTGCTCTGCTCACGGTAACCGGTGCTCTCCATGCGTGAGGCCACGTTGACGGTGTCTCCGAAGAGGCAGTACCTGGGCATGGTGTTCCCCACCACTCCTGCCACCACCGAACCTGACGGCATTAAAACGGCAAGGTACACACATCGCACTCAAGTAAAGCACTTATCAGCACAATATCCGCCGTGGGAAATCCCAGATTTTGTTTAAGTGATGAAAAGTTGTTCTGTCCCAGGTGCGATAAGTTACAATGCATGCTAAAGCCAGTGAGGATGCATCATTGCATCCACCCTTAACACTCCTATATTGGTCCCAATTAGTGAGTGGTGTAGCTATCAAGTGTGCAGGAAGTGCAACTGCACTGAGACCCACAAGCCGAAGGGGCCCGGGTGCTGAGCTACGAACAGGGGCTCAGGCAAACGGGGGGGGGGGGGGGACCTGTTTCATTAATTTCACCAGGGCCCATGCTAACCATGTTACGCCACTGGCTCATGCTCTTGGGATGGACCTCAATGGAGACTCATTCTCATTACCCATAGTGCCGTCTCTCCGGGGTGAGCTTTCAGGTTGCACTGTATGTTCCTTCGTCAGACGTAATGCCGGACAACATGCGACACAACCCGAAAACAAATCGGAGAGTTGGTCAGCAAAGGTGACTCGTGACTGCTAATGGGAGGCCAGGCATTACCATTGCCTCCTTCTCCTCTTTGCTATAATCAGCTCAATTACCGCTGTTGACGCCGATGCGAATTTTGAGCTGTTCCTTGGGAAGGTGGCGGATGCGGAAGTTTATGATGGAGCTCAGAAAGTGCAGGGACATGATGGAGATCTCCTCCACGTGCCGCACGCCGTTGCGCACGGGCAGGCCGCTCGCCACCATGTACGCGTCCCCGATGGTCTCCACCTGCGGCGGCGGGGGGGGGGGGGGATAATCCGATTGAGGTCGGTTCACCGGCCGGTGCCCGATGCGCTGGAGGGCAGCGCAACATGTTTTGACTGCGTTTTAGGCGGACGGGTTGTGCGGTGGCCAAGAGGTTTGGAGTGTGCAGCAATGGCCTCACTTCACAAACGATTGGTCAAATATTCTACGCTGTAGGACCTTCACGAAAAAGAGCCTTGTAATTCAGGGGTGCTATCCTTGGCCGAACAAAGGGCGTTATTGTCCCTTTTGTATCAATAGTAATAATATGTCCACCCATAATACTTAGTGGGAGTCTGAGGAGACCTTGTTCCTGGCCAACGCTGACATTTCGTGGCGAGTAATATCAGAAGCGGTCCGGGGTCTCCCCTAAGTTTACTCGGTCTAAAAATGAGTAACCCGGTGAAGTGTGTAAACATTATCACTGGGGAGATGAGGGTGGGTGGGCATGGTGCTGGCCACGGCACACCCTCGCGTGCCATCTCAACCTTGACAGTTCCTCTTCAGCAGCACGTGCTTTTCACAGTCTGCAAAGCTTATATGGGAGATCTTTGTGTGTGTGTGTGTCTGTTATAATGATTCCCGAACAATGAATGAGACATCTTCTTGGTTCTTTCGGTAAAGTCACGTAGAAGGGAAGTAATAAAATAATAAAAATAAAACATAATAAAACAATTCTCACGACGTTTCGGCCACAACGCAAGCAGCCGTCCTCAGGTGAAAACCAGGTCCGTCGAGGCGACAGAGTCTGAATGAAACAGCACACGGGCTTGGAGCATATATATAAGCTGGGCGCATTGACAAAGGAATTTGCATATCAACAGGAATTTAGCATATTTATGGGAAATGCAGGAATGTAATTAGTACTGCATATGCATGTGCATTATGCAGGATTAACAGCATCAAAGGGAGCTGCAGTTACTGCTGATGCTGTTAATCCTGCATAATGCACATGCATATGCAGTACTAATTACATTCCTGCATTTCCCATAAATATGCTAAATTCCTGTTGATATGCAAATTCCTTTGTCAATGCGCCCAGCTTATATATATGCTCCAAGCCCGTGTGCTGTTTCATTCAGACTCTGTCGCCTCGACGGACCTGGTTTTCACCTGAGGACGGCTGCTTGCGTTGTGGCCGAAACGTCGTGAGAATTGTTTTATTATGTTTTATTTTTATTATTTTATTACTTCCCTTCTACGTGACTTTACCGAAAGAACCAAGAAGATGAATCCCTGCAGTCACGAAAGCTTTAAATCGAAAAATGAATGAGACCTTGTAGACATCGTATTCCCTGATGATGTCATCGAGGAGGTTGTAGAGGTCGTTGAGGAGGGTGATGACCTCCAGTGGGCTGCTGATGGCGCTCATGGCCGTGAAGCCCACGATGTCGCAGAAGAAGATGGTCACCTGCTCAAAGTGCTCAGGCTGCACGGTCTTGCCGGCCTTCAGCTGTTCCACAACAACACTGGCGCAAAGGGAGGGACCCCACAACACTGTGAGCCATGCGCAGCGCCAACCTTTTACCATCTTCTTGGTTCTTTCGGTAAAGTCACAGACCTGGTCTTCACCTGAGGACGGCTGCTTGCGTTGTGGCCGAAACGTCGTGAGAATTATTTTATTATGTTTTTTTTTTCCATTCTACGTGACTTTACCGAAAGAACCAAGAAGATGAATCCCTGCTGTCACGAAAGCTTTAAATCGAAACCTTTTACCACTTAAGTCGTCATCATCGTCATAAGTCATCGTCATGAGTCATAGTCAATCCAGCGCTCGATGAAGGTTTTCCCAAACTGCCGTCACCTCTCGCTATCTTGCCGTGTGATGTTGTATACTTTACAAGGGGCTAAGTGACCCCTTGGCAGATGGGGAATAGAGGCCATTATGGCAGCAGGCCCAGGGCTGAGGCGATCCCGTATGTTTCCTAGTAGATCTTAAGTTGGGAAAAAATAACCACCGTTTGTGTGGAGATGTTATAGACGCAGGGACCAGAACACGAGGCAGCGTCCTTCAGCAAACAGAAGGCAAGGGTTTGCATCCCCGGCTCTGATTACCCTGCTGGGTTTTTTTTTATCCAACGCACTTAGCTGCAGCGTCCGTCCACTGAGCAATGCCATTTGTTACCTAAATAATGCACAGTAAGCGGTGTAGCGGTGACACGGTGGTTGGTACACGGCGCTATGAACCTGAATTTGAGTGACAGCCACGGCGGTGAGTGATACCTGAACTAGCCCTGTGCTGTCCCTTCACTAACTTGCACCGGCCAGCAGCGCAGTGATGTTTAGAACAAAAACCCCAGTGACCAGCACGCTATGTGGAGATTAGAGTCAAAATATTTAGGCTTGAGGCATCCGATGAGCTATGAAGCCCTTTTTCACAGATGTGCAGTAGGGGCCGCTGAGAAAGTTCCAAGAACAAACAATACAAAAAAACCCTTCATCCAGCAGTGGATTGAGAACGGGTTATATTATTATAATTTAATATACAACACCTTTTATTTTAACAGACTATAGCCAAGCGGAGGGTGGGGCGGGGGGGGGTAACATAACCCTTATTTCCCTACCCCCACAAAGCAAGGATGCCACCTATGCTGAGTGAATAATGGGAAACAGATGCCAGCTCTGTGAGACTTGAAAAGTGTGAAAAGCAATTTCACAAAATATGTACATTTTCATGCAAGTGTGCTCAGCCACCTTCCACTGAAAATGTGCATGTTTGACAGTAACCTACAACACGTTACATGTAAAACAAACTGAAGTATTACTGGCATATTGTCCAGCCACCATATGTAAATGTGAGATATTTGGCGTTCGGTTTGAGAAGGTTGATTTTATCTTTAACAGACTCCCAAAAGCTTTCTGCTCAAACGCTTTGTAAATATACACTGCGTCTCATAAAATGGTAAGTGTTGCCGATAACCAATTGAATTTGGCGCTGTTTTAAGACTGCCAGTTATAGTTTTTTTACACGTCTCAAAATGTTAAGCAATTTTTTTTATGAAAGCACGCGACAGATAAAATCTGCCGTGCTCCTTTTTCATTGTCATCAGCCGTATTCTATTCACTGCTGGACGAAGGCCTCCCAATGCCATTGCCACAACTCATCTTACTCCCACACGTGAGTTAATCTCGACACTCCCATCACCCATTGTAGTGACACGTCAACCATTCTAGCGACGTGTCCAACCCCAGCTATGTGATCTGTATTTTATTTTGTTCTCTGATGCATGCATTCCTGATAATTGTTTTTTTTACCCTTCTATCTGGCAACAAAACTGACACCTTTTTACAAGGAGTCATGTTTGCATAGACCGCAATACCTGCTGTCATAATACAAACAAAAGACACAACTCTGATAATGTGCACTGTCCTTGAAGTTGATTGGTCCACACCCGAGACAGCTTTCCTTAGAGCCTAGTCTCACATGGGTTGGACCAGATGACGCCAAAAGGCGTCATCATATTTTTACTGGCAAATGAGGTTCCCATAGTGTGCATGCATTCCTCTTACTCTCTCTCACTAAAGTTCGCAGGATGCTTCTGGATGTACTTTTTGAGATTGCATTAAAGATTATTTGTCAGTTTCCAATCCCTCTATATCATCGTAGAAAATGTGAACTGATTGAAAACAAACGTTCTTCTTCAGGCAAACTGTTCGGTCACTTTTCCCGCTCAAATTCCATTTTTCAAAAGGAGTTCAACCTGCTCTAGCTTGCTTATTGGTTTCACCATTTAGATCCTGATCCACCATAACTAACTAGCCGATATCGACTTCTTCTGTCGTGTTTCCCAGTTGCGTCCCTCCAATAATGATATTGCTTGAAAAACTCATTGTACATGACTTTTGTTTTGACCATAATTAACTTTACCCTAACTTTGCACCCTTATTGATGAGGAATTTTCATGATTTCAAGAGTGCATTTGCATTAGTTGTTATGATCACGATGTGATCAACACATCTGAGATGTTAAGACTACCTCAATTAATTTAGATGCTTTTAATTCTCCAATGTAATATTTGTAAAATCTATTTTAATTCACCGTGAATAGCCTTGGTAAGAGTTTTCATCCGTGCCTGACCCGTGTTTTAAACTGTAGTTTGTTACTTTCTTCATGCAATCTCACTGTCGGTGGTTCATCATTCCAAATGTCTGTTAATACGTTCTATACATTTGTTCATGAGGAAGCTGGGTCAGTCGTTGCATCAATGTTACGAGACCTATGCATCGTGGAATTGCATCTCCATCATTCCTATCATTTACAACGGGGCGATCGCGCTGATGTGAAGAATTGCAGGCTCATCAGTCTGCCATCACACATGCCGTTTATAACTTGTTTTATGAAGCTCATAGACAACCAATTAATGCACTATTTCTAGGCGAACCAACAACGACTGCAGCCTGGATTTATGATAGGTATCGTATACCATGAAACGCACACGCACAGTACTATGAGTCTGATTCTCAAAAATAGAAAAATGTTGAATAGAATTTTGCGGTAAAAATAATGGGCAAAGCGTCTAAATCCCACCTCCACCCCCGTCTCTGTCCATCCAGCAGTATCGATCGATATACCATAGTTTGCCAATCAGCACGTGGTGTGTGACGGGGTAAAGTGTGGGGTATTTCGACCTCTTCCAAGACTCATGGACAGCATGGCGGACAGAGTAGGATAAAATATCGTTTAAAAAGGGCTCTCTAGAGCTCCCTCTAGTTTAGGGGCCGTCCATAAATGACGTCACGCGATTTTGGACGATTTTTTACGATTTTTGACCCCCCCCCTTCGTCACACGACGTCACAAAAAGTCAGACCCCCCCTCAAATATGATGTCACAAAGCTTTGCCCCCCCCCCCAAATAATATAATACATGCTTCAAATCGCTTTAAACTATTGTCATTGTAGTGCTTATTTAATGTGGCGTTGCACTCTGATGTTGTAGGAGAAAACATTTATTAAAACGTCTATTTAATTAAGCAGAACGTGTTGTCTATATTTATTTAAAGTTGCGCATTTTTATGTGACGTCACATTCATCACCCCCCCCCCCCCCCTCGTCACACATCGTCACAAATGCCTGACCCCCCCTCCCAGGTGCGTGACGTTATTTATGGACGGCCCCTTAGATCTTTCCGCCGAAAGTGGCATGAACAAGTAGTTTCAGGGCTGCACAGCTTATATATACCGTGAAAGTGCATTTGATTCAGTAGCAACTTTCCGTTTTACGACAGCATTTCTGCTATGACCTGCAAAGCGTGCACCTTTTATGTACCATGCACCATGCACGTGTGTTGAACTTCTCTCGCACTGCACGTAACCAGTCGTGTGAATCGGAAGTGCGCGTGTGAAGGAGAACGAACTATAGCCGGTACATCTTCTTGGTTCTTTCGGTAAAGTCACGTAGAAGGAAAATAATAAAACAATAAAAATAAAACATAATAAAATAATTCTCACGACGTTTCGGCCACAACGCAAGCAGCCGTCTTCAGGTGGAGAACAGGTCTGTCGAGAAGGCAGACCTGTCGAGAAGGCAGACCTGTTCTCCACCTGAAACCGGCTGCTTGCGTTGTGGCCGAAATGTCGTGAGAATTATTTTATTATGTTTTATTATTTTATTATTTTCCTTCTACGTGACTTTACCGAAAGAACCAATAAGATGAATCCCTGCAGTCACGAAAGCTTTAAATCGAACTATAGCCGGTACCTCGGCAGCAGGCTGGACAGCAGACGATCCGTCTTCTTTTTCTCACTCTCCAGCTGGGCCGTGCGGTCTTCCACCACCTCCTCCAGGTGGTTGGCGTACTTCTCCAACTTTGAAACCATGTTGTCCAAAATGCTCCTGTGTCTACCACGCCCCAGCATCAAGTACCCAGTACGTAAAAGATGCACAGGATAACTTTTAGACTTGGATACAGACGTCGTTACCATGCACGTACATATGTTGAACTTCTTTTGCACCGTACGTAGCCAACCGCGCTTATCGGAGGTGCGGTTTAAAGACAACAAACTAAACACAAAAAGCTGTTCTAAAGAAATGCGTTTACATTCTATATTCAAAAGTGCCTAGCTCCAGTGGATTCTGCCTACACACAACCTGAGATGCACCATATCATTTCTGTGTACGATGCCGAGAGCGCATATTAGATTTGGAGAACATTCCTTCACGATGCTTCATGAACCTCAAACAATATAATTCTTCTTTCACATTGAACGACGATGGCGTTTCAATTTGATGTCGATGAATGCAAAAGCTTTTAAATCGTCGTCTCCTACCTCATCTACTATCTATCTTGTGTATATTTACCGATTTACATAATTAATGTATACAGTTTAAATTATCTCACATCTAACTCATGGGGTTATTTGCTGTGTTGTTAGTTGCTTCTGTATTTTATAAACTTTCGCAACCAAGGTCTCCTTTGAAAAAGATACTCAGTCTTAATGGGCCATCCCCTGGTTATCAAGAAAGTTTTTTTTTTACGATTAAACGTACTAAACACAACATCTCACCGCAAATCCTATGCATCTCAACTGAAATCACAGAAAAGGTGGGGGGGACACAAACCGCCGTTGACAATAGTGAATGAAACTGCAGTGGCTTGGACATGTGACACAAAGAGGGCGACAGCCCAACACTATCTTAGAGGACCTGGTAAAAGAATATAAAAGGAGAGGATGACGCAACATCGAGTGGATGACAAATGTGATAACATGGACAGATAAACCGGCACAACACCTCACAACAAAGGCTGCGGTGGACAAAGACTGCAGAGAGAGTTGTTGACAGCCGAGGCATCAGCGGCGCATCTGCCACGATTGTGTTTCAGCGAGAGACGACGATGACGGTGATGATTACAATGAAGACAGCCACTACTGGAAGTGCGGTGGAGCCTGCGCTGTTGGAGAATCAATGTCAAATCAAGATTAATGCCAATACCCTTCAGGGCTGGCGGAGCGCAGCATGCGTGCGATGGAGTGGAAGTCGGGCCGGCGGTCGGGAGATTCGTCCCAGCAACGCTGGATCAGGGCCTGAATGCGCGGCTCGCAGCGCTCCGTGAGCAGGGGCCGTAGAGGAGGCGAGCATTTCCCCTCCCGCACCTGGTCGATTATTTCTGGAGCGCCGTCACATCGAGCCATGAGCGACCACGGAGAGTCAGACACAATGAGTTGGACAGTGAGCATAATCTTCTCCCATTCCCAGAACCCAGGAGTGCTGAGTTCAGACTTTGGTTTGTAGAATTGCTGTAACGCCCCCCCCCCACTCCTCTCTTATTACGGTTCGTGCCTTTTACCAAGCTCGTGTCAAATAAAAAAAAAAGATCTCCCGCGTAGCCGACGAAGACTTTTTTGGAAAAGATTGTTATGAGCGAGAACACATCTTGGCTGGTCAACGAACAGAGACGGTCATGGCATCGCGGCACTTTCAGACGCGCTTCTGCGGCCGTCTGGAACGCTCTTCCTTACGATATTAGGAAGCCACTGGAGCTATGCACTTTTAAATCATCTAGATTGAAAACTCATTTCTTTAGAACTGCTTTTTGTGTTTAGTTTGTTGTCCTTCGCCGCACCTTCGATAAGCACGCTTGGCTATGGCAGGCTCAGGATTGGTTCACATATAATTTGCCGCTGATGTTACCTGTGGCCGGGAATCAAACCCAGATTCGTATCGCAATGTGCTGGCCACTATGGAAATTCACTGCTGAACCAAAAATAACTCTGTATTGAGCTTAACAATGCCGAAGTGCTTAGAGAAAAGAACTACGAAGTGCATACCGTATTCATAAACGTCTTTGTGTAATAAATTGTTTCGAGTGAAATGAGCGCACTGCACGGTGTTGAACGGCGCACAAATGCACCTACATCCTTGTCGTGTACCCTGCAAGTACACGGCCATGTGAACCATTGTCTGGGGAAACCAAAGCTGCAACGATCTGACCGAATCGTCATGATCCCGGCCAACACGTGACTAAAGTTATACCTCCTTTATGGCCCTCGGACTCCGGGGCTGTGGAGCCAGCACTCCGTGTTCTTTCAGCTCAATGTGAAAGGACCAACTGCGTCTAGGTGTGATATCATTCATGAATTGTCCACTGCACGCAATGTAGACGTCATCTGTTGACATGAGACCCTTATTTCAGATGGCCACACAGGGTGTTTCCAGGTAGCCGGATTATGACCTTGTCCGTTACTCACGTCACCCACAAAAAATGTTTCTTGTGTATGTGGCGCTCTGCGCGAAAGCAATTTGCTAAACGGCGTGCGTTGAGCACCTTTGGGCTCCATCTCGACGCCGACGTAGGGCCCCTCGTCCTCGTGGTAGATCATCTCGCGCATGAGCACGCCGAAGCTGAACACGTCCCCCTTGGGGGTGCCGTTCACCGGGAAGATCTCCATGCGGAGCAGCTCCGGTGATGTCCAGAACAGCTCTGAGAGCACAACCACACGGGGCAGTCGCTTCGTCGTGTGTTTGAGTTCAGTAATGGGGGGGGGGGGGGGGGGGGTCTGGTTGTTGTTGCAAGATAGAGTGACGATTGCATTGCAGTGGTGTATTACAAAGAGGGGAAGGAAGGAAGGTTTAGCATCTCCGATTAGCACGGTTGAGTTACATACGATGGGGAAGGTCAACATGCATGCATATGTAGTGGTGGTATTGACGTGCGCCGGCAGTGATGGATCACGGGGCGCGGGGTTGGGCACGCGGTGTGGGCGTGGCATGGACGCGCGCGCCGGTGGTGAGGCGCGCTCACACAAGCCGGGAAAAGAGGATCGTAGCGAGTGCGCAGTGATTGGTCAGATAAGTGAGTACTCTCAGCGACGTCCGCAGGAGGGGTATAAAGGGGGACGCGCGAGAGCACTCGTGGTCAGTGTTAACCAGTTGAAGACCGAAGACGGGGTGGAGGAGGTAGGGGCCCTGTGTGGCTCGGAGCCGAGACTGGGGGGACCGTAGTCCGACGCCCGTGTGGGTCGGGACGGTGGTACCCAGAGCCGAGACGGGCACCCCGGCTGGGTGTGTCCCGGAAGGCTACAGGGCGTAAGAGCCCGTGTCAGTACAGCTGAGTGGGTGTTGGTCACCCGTGTAGCTGAGTGGGTGTTAGTCACCCGTGTAGCTGAGTGGGTGTTGGTCACCCGTGTAGCTGAGTGGGTGTTAGTCACCCGTGTAGCTGAGTGGGTGTTGGTCACCCGTGTAGCTGAGTGGGTGTTGGTCACCCGTGTAGCTAAGTGGGTGTTGGTCACCCGTGTAACGAAGTTGTAGCTGAGTGGGTGTCCGTCACCCGTGTAGCTAAGTGGGTGTTGGTCACCCGTGTAACGAAGTAGGGTGTTAGTCATCCGTGTAACTACAAGTTGGTGAAAATAAAGAGTGTGCTACCCGTGAAGTCGTCTCCTGCCGAGTTACTACTTTACACATACATAATGTTCATGGCGATGAAAGAAGGAAACATTTTTGGGACTTGTAATTAGACAAGGAGGACCTGGTCAGTACGGTTTTGTGAAGGCAGGCAGAACAGATGCAGGAGCACAGAAGCACAGTACAATGACAGATTTCGATTTAAGGCTCACGACGTATCCACGCAGCCTGTGACAACTGCAATTCATGGTGGTCGCCCATTCAAGCAATATCCAGGCTCAAATATGCTGAGCTTCTAAGATCTGATGAGATAATACGCATTCTGGGTGATTTAAGTCTTACACAATCCAACGTAAATTGACTTTAAATAATTATTGCTTATTACATTCTGTATCTGTCCTTTTCTGAAGTGTTTAGTATGGCGTTACAAGTTTGTCTAGAGAGCCCCGTCTGGAGGGTATTGGGCTTGCTCTGCTGCCCTGGCCAAATGTCCTGGAAGAGATTTCAGTTTCATTTATTAGGTATATATCCCTATGAGCCATGTGGCTCTTGACTCGGGTGCAACCGCAACAAACAAAAACATGAACAAGAAACATCTTAAAGTGTCTACACGCAACAGAAAAACCCAGGAAAAAAACTGCAAAGTCTTGCGAGTACCGACACTTTACCCCACGCAGTGCCGGACTAAACTAGTGCGGGGCCTGTTGCATATATTATAAAGGGACCCTCTACATTAAAAAGAACACGTAAATATTAAAACACATATGTTTAATTTGCATAGTAAAGTAATTGTATTTTTTTTCATTTGCTATACAGCCCAATAATGCGACAAATCGCTAACCTTTAACACCCAGTCGTTCATCAAAGTTGAAGGGCGGTATGGTACTATAGCAATAGAGCAAGTGCAGAATCACTGAACCGGAATTGATAGCTTTAAAGAATTTCGCGCGGGGCCCTTGAAAGTGCGGGGCCTGTAGCATTTGCTAGTTTTGCTACTAGGATAATCCGGCACTGACCCCACGGCATTCCAGCTGCCGATTGACTAACTGCGGTGTCACCCATTTCCACTGCTGTGTGGACACGTGACAGCGGAGCTTTGTTAGACAGCGGGGCAGCAACTCTCACTCTCTTGATTGTTGACGTCCATGATCTTCCCCTTCTTCCCGTGGCGGAATTCCCAGATGCCGAAGCCGGTGAGCTTGATCTGCAGGCGGCTGTCCAGCAGGCAGGTGGACGGCTTGAGGTTCCCGTGGGATTTTATGGGACTCTTGTGCAGGAATATCATGCCCTGAGAGCAAATTGGCAGGTACGCACCGCACCGCACACACACACGCACACACAAGCTTGAGGGATGAGTCAAAGTCATCGTTGCCATGTGATTTGCTTCAACCGATGTAAGCCGAATTTAGGACTGTTTATACATGCGAATCAATTGCCCTCCATGTTACAATAATTACGTTGCATGTTGCAGCAATTATTAAGTCATTCCCTCGATTATAATCAAGGGAATTACTTTCGAGTGTTATTGATTACGTAGCTCTGTGACACTAATTATACACGCTCAAATGGATAACTGTGATGTAGGATCTTCAGCAGTGAAGTTCACAATGTACGCAGACTACGTTGATGTGACAATAATTAAAAATGAGAGCAGGTTTGGGTTTTAGTTTGGACTTTATTCGATCTGTTACACGATTGGTCCCATTTAGTTATGTTTTCTGGCTATTTTACAAAGGGAAATCGGTGGTGCGTGAGCACAGCAGCAATCGTTTTGCTACGAACGAGGATGAAGCCTCATCCTTTAGTCTGTATTCAAATGCATGTATGAGGAATGACATCTGGAAAAAATACGTTTCCGCACTCAGACTTCTTACGTTTACAATGTCATAAGCAAAGGAGGTCTTGAACATCAAGTCCAGCTCAAAATCAGAAGTCTTCAGCACATCCTGAACACAGGGACATTGTCAACAATTATCAACACTGTTTTTGGATATCTGAAATTCTGCATTAATGGTTGCCACCCTTTCTAAAACAAACCCAAACAATTTTTTTACAGTCAACCTGGGTCTGTCAAAAACTGTGCAGTGCAGTAACATTGCAATAACGTTCAAGATAATAGCACCAGATATCGGCACAAATAAAATTTCTGCCAAACCTGGGACAGGTGGCAACCCTCGCTCTTTGTCAAAGTAACTTATTAATTACGTCTTTGCTTTCCTGCATTAACTTGAGCCATCGAGCAACACGTGAGTAGAAATTACTTCTTAAGTAATTCCCAAACGTGTACACCAACGTTTTAAACGCTTTTTGTTCCTTTTTGAAGTTTGCGGCCTGCCCCGTTTCCTCACAGAACTGCTCTTGTATCTATGAATCAGCGAGCCTAAAAGCTTGTAAAACAAGGTAACATTCTCCCCGGTTAAACGATAGCTTGTTTTACAAGCCTCAAATAAGTGCTAATGCCTCCTTTTTGTAAAGAGACCACACGCACGCACGCACGGCGTGTGGCGTGAGATGTTTACGACGGCACGCTAAACGAGCCACGACTGGTGGCTGGATGTCGTCAGGGATATGATTCACGGTAATTCCTCTCAATAGTTAAACAAGTAAACAGATGGTGTGTTGCTCCAAACCCATACAGGGTGGTCCAGAGGTATCGTGACCCCCCCCCCCTCCCCAATGAATTGACTCGAAACATTTTTGATTTTGTATATTAATTCTAGATTTGAAGCTTTCGTGACTGCAAGGATTCATATTCTTAGGTTTTTTCTGGTAAAGTCACGTAGGTAAAAACATCAAAATTAATGAAAAAAAAATGTGTTGCCTCCGAAACGTCGGGATTTTTTGTTTTATTTTATTTTATTTTCATTAATTTTGATGTTTTTACCTACGTGACTTTACCGAAAAAACCTAAGAATTTGTATATTAATTTCAGTTTTAAATAAACCTTGCTTTAAAGAAATATATTAAGTCTCAGAGAATGAATTAGGGGTCACAAGACATCTGCATCACCCTGTATTTCGGAAAATGTCAACTACCACATTTCTAGCCTTCGTTATGGGCAGCGCATGAGAGCAGGCGACGATGCACTGAGTTGCCACCAGACGGCGTGCAAGGTGCTATGAGTTTATTTCCATCATGCCTCGCTCTCCAATTGTTTACACCCTTGGTAATTTACAGCACGTTATTTGAATTAACACCTCTGCAAAGTTTGCCAATGCAAGCTTGGTTGTGTTTCTGTTTTTCGGCATTAAATATTTAACACGTAGTCGGGCTTTCACGACCCATATCCATAATAGAGGGTTTGTTTTGGGTGAGCTCGCAGAAATAGAAATATGTCGTTAAATCCATCACCACCCGAACTAGGTGTGCTGAACTAGTAACTAATTAGCATGTTTTGTATACGTGACAAATCTTACTAATTGACTCTGCCGGGTAGTGGTAGGTGTAATGACACATTTATATTTATGAGATCTAACCCCCCCCCAAAAAACCTCCCCTATTATGGAGCATTAAATCTTGTTGGAGAGATGTGTATTTTTCATGCACAGCGCCTAAGTGTTATCGAAGATTAGAGTCGTAAGGAGCAATGCATTAAAAATTTGTGCAATAGCGCAGCTGCGTTGGCTCAATGCAGAGCTGTTCATAAAGCGGAATACAGCCTATATGCTAAAATGAGGCCTTATATACAGTAGCATCTAAACACGACCACACGTCAAGACGCTGGACAATAACAGTGGCATATTTAACAGAGAGAAAGCATTCGTGACTGCAGGGATTCATATTCTTGGTTCTTTCGGTAAAGTCACGTAGAAGGGAAACAATGAAATAATAAAAATAATAAATTTAATAATTAAAATACAAAATTTATATTCATTATTTTATTGTTTCCCTTCTACGTGACTTTACCGAAAGAACCAAGAATATAGAGAGAAAGCAGTCAAACATAGATGGAGAGGGGGGGGGGAGAAAGTATTGCGTTTGGATTTGAACAGAAGCAGGGAGTTGACAGCACGGATTGGCAGGGGGAATGGCTTTCCAGATTACGAGGGAAACACAAGAGAAGGAGTGAAGGTAGAGACTGAGCGGTAATAACCTTGAGGCTTCCCTTGCGGCAGTATTGCGTCACGATACAAATGTTGGGCATCTCCACGCAAACGCCAAAAAACACCACCAGGTTCTCATGACGAAGTTCCCGGAGCTGTTAAAACGGGAGTTATGAAGAACGGGTCTTCTTTTGAAGATGTCAAACACTTGTTCTTCAAAGCAACAAAAAAGTTAAATCACATTGGCGAGTGTGTGTTTAGCTCGATTCCAAAGAACACAGGATGAGATGTTACTATCCTTTGTGCAAGCACTTCCAAGAGTTCATGAACAGTGAGCCTGGTGAAATTTGGGGAGCGCATCGTCAGTAGTGACCCTTTGGTTCCTAGGGTGTTTCGGCCTTTAGCTCGGTATTAAGCCAAAGCTCTTCAACGTTTTTTAGTCTTTGAGCTCTTTTCTTTTTTTTTTAATCTCAACGAGCATTTGCAAAGAATGTCACTTCTCAACAAATTGTTGCTGACCGTCAAGTGTTGCGAAACATCGTCAGATTAAGCGCTATGGTGATGCAGTCATACATTTAACAATTTGTAACAAACAAAAAAAGAAAACCTTTGTTTCGCCTGCCATGGAGGATTTTTTTTGTTACATCAAATGACTTTTCCAGGAAGAGAAGGTTGAGAGCCTTATTTTTGTTGCCTGGGCTTGAGTGCCCCAAGGTCAGCGATTTTTGCTTTGACAGCGGGAATGTGTAAAGTTCTCACATCTCACGACATCGTGGTTCAACGCTGTCCGTATCGTGTATCTGCAAGGTAGCAACGGTGTCAGGGTGTGTTCGGTCCCACGTTAACAAAAAAAGGATACCATCTGCAGCTCCTTCAGCAAGGTCTTGCTCTTGAGGTCAGGAGGTCGGGTCCTCTGCAGAAACTTGAGAGCGACTTGGTTTCCCTGAACACCGCACGTGATTGTCATTATATTAACCTGCTATTCATCGGCGACGTAGGTCAGCTATTAACAGATTCTACAGATTGTGTCGGATTTCCCACTGAGTGCGTGCTCCCGTATGTAGAAAGTAGTAAGACACTTAGATTATCAGTGACACTGCTTGTCTGTAACAGATAAAACTATCTTGTGACTTAAAGCAATTCAGCAGTGTTAGTGATAACAAAAACATCTGTAATGTTTAGCTATTTACATTGAGTATAAATTTGAGGATAGAGTGGTACTTTTAACACCATGCATTTTTTTGATTAGATGTAAATCAATTCTGATTACTGTATAAAGAATACAAAGTAACCCACTGAGTGTTGTAATGTGAATGCTGATGCCAGCTCATTCAAACAATGACCATATTGTGAAACTCACGCTTAAAGTATTTGTGGAGACCAGTTCATGCAATCAATGCTAAGATTACAGGAATGTGAGCAGACATCGGAATTGGCAATACAAATACGTTCACTGAAATGCTGAACCGATCCTCGGCAGATATTATATTTCAATCATAATGGGGGGACGAAACAGAGCAAAGCCCAGTCTTAGGGGTGCTGGGGTGGCGAGATGTTAACTACCTTGCCTGGTGTACAGGAGGTTGGGGGTTCGATCCTGACCCTGATGCCTGTACATTTGGAGTTTGCATGTCTCTCTCTCTCCATGGTCGTGTGGATTTTCCTCTGGGACTTCCGGTTTTCCCCTCCACATTTAGAATCATGCGTTTAGAGTATTTGGCAGATATACATTTCCACATGATAAGCCACTTCGTTGCGCTATCATCATTAGTGACCAGGTCGCGTAGATAAAAACAGCTATATAGCTCAGTGGGTCTTACCTGGTATAAATAAAAACTGTTTAATAGTTTAGTTTGCATTGGTGATGCGGGACGACTTTGAGCTTCACTGGCCTGGTAGATGCCGAGAGGCGTGAACATCTTCTCCCTGCCGAGCACTCCATGGTGAGCATTGCTCTGGTTGCTTGAGAGTTGTTCTCCTGACTTGTAGCTTCCATTTTCCAGCGGAGTTTGCAGTGAGCAGGACGCCGCGTTCCCTTGCTGAAGCAGGACACGTGTGTGAAAGCCCGTGCAAAAGTACAGCGCTCACTTGCTACGCGCAGAAATCTGAATGCTAATGTGTTACCCTTTGCACGCGGTCATGGCATGTGTTGGTGTAAAATCAAACGATTGATATACTGTGAAAATGGAATGATAATACTATACATATTCATCCACATCACATTTTTCATGTTTATAAACCACGAACAAATTACTAATCCTGTCGTATCATTACTATTTAACACTTTATTTTGAATTTGCATGCAATTGGATTTAGCACTCCGTCTACAGCTTATATGTTCCTCATCGACGAATTCACCTTGGCAATGGTCTTTTGAGATGACAGCACAAATATGACAGTGATTATTCGTTAAGTGCCTTAGGTCAGTGCATAAACCGCTTCCTATTCGAACAGGAATCCAAATAACATTTTCACTTAAGTTCCATGCAACTGACCACTGTTGTATGCTTAGTGGGGTGACACGGCCCAGGGGTAGCACGTTGGCCACTTGTTGCAGAGGCTCGTGGTTCGAATCCAGCTGCCGCCCTGGTTAATTTCGCAGGTGTCATTAATTGTAAAAATACGCGCCATCTGCTGCACAGTGGACGTAACATCGTTTGTAAAAGTAGGCCGTCGGCATGCTGGCGTTGTGGTCCAAATTTGCCAAATTCGAAAAATGACCCGCAAACTACTCCATTGGGATTATACGGAGCAATCATCGCCCCATCCCCCCACCTTTACTGGCAGTTTACAGTCCAGAGGCTGTGTCACCTTGCACCCACAGGGACAGCAAACACTTGAAATCCCATCTTAAATTCGTTGAGATGAGAAGTAAAGCGTTCGGAGATGCCCTGGCGTATATAGGGTGCTATATCCAAAAAAATCATGATCATTACTTCAACTAATAAAAATAATACACCGTACCTTGCTTGTGCTGACCATGACGATCTCCTCGATGTTAATTTTCCACCACGTGAAGTCCTTGCCGCCCTGAAGGAGGTGTCTCTGCACTATGAGGTACAGTATGTAGGCAACGGAGCCCACGATGACCAGAGAGGAGATGGTGCCGACCAGCACGAGCGCCAGGTCTGGCTCGTCCAACACAGGCAGGGAGGAAAGGTCGTGAGGTCAACTAGAGTTAACAACGTTCAAAATCCAAGCAAAAATGGGTTGTGTTTTTTTTTATTATTTTTGTCAGTGTATTGAACCCAGTCTCATAGCTGAGTATGCTAACCACTGGGCCACTGCTCCATCGCGATAAACAATGATCAATAACGAGATATTTACTGATAACAATGTAATTCATGGCATATGTTAGTAGAACACAATATCATATCGCTCACTTGGGTAAAAAATGTGTTTTGTTGACTGGAGCTATGGTGTGGAAAAGTTATCTTTCAAGGTAGGGAGTTAAACCCAAGTCCTTCGCATGTTAAATTAAACTGCTTCTTGTCTTATCTTCGATGTTCTTTGCTGCAATGTCTTTTTCCTAATTAACTTTAACACGACCCCACCTGCCAATCATCGCTCTCTAATCGATTCACGTCTCTGCCCACCCCGCACCCCCAGTCTGTTAGCCCCCCCTCACTTTATGTAATATTGTGGCGGCACCCATGGATGAGAGTGACATAAAATCGGTGGCTTACTGTACGGGGTCTCCTGGCAGAGTTCTCCAAGGAAGCCACATATTGGCATGTCATTCGGAGGCCCTCCCTCTGGCCATACCATCTTCTGGTATTCTGGGGTAAAACTGAGCAACGGCACGTTTTGGTTACACAGTACAGCAAAAGCAAAAACACGTCTGGGGTACAAGAGTGTGATTTGTGTTCTCCTAAATTGGTCGGGTCATTTGCAGGCATGGCATATATTTGGAATGCGTGCCAAATTCAAGTGTAATTTTTCCAATTAGGTAAAATCAACAGTGGACTCTCCACTTGTGATTGATTCAAATGCATAGGCCCCTCTGTCAGCTCAGATCATTCACAAACGTGAACAATGCACCGACGGGATTTCTAAACACTTAAAACGGCAGGTCACACAAAAAACGAATTCCAACATTTGCGGGTTGACCCTCGTGACAAATACTTTTTGAAAGGAGGCAAACAAAACGTGAAAATATCGTACCTGATGCTTCTCTGGAAAGTGTCGAACACCATTACGGGCAGGAACTGGCTGATGTTGCCCTTCTTCTGCAGGTTGAACACAGCGTAATCTAGGAAGCGCTCTCCGTTAACATCAATGTTTACCTGTCCCGACACACCTGAAGAAAGAATTATGTGCAGTACTGTATTCAGTGTCCCGACGTGTAAATGACCCTTGGGTGCTGCTTTTGTGTTGCCACCTGTACTGCGTTTTCCAAAGATGGCCCTCTGTTTGTGGAAGCTGTCCTGGGAAACATGTAAGTCTTCCCAGAAGATCAAACATCAAAGATTATGCTTAATTTTAGTTACACACAGTTTTCGCGTCTTTTTCCTCCTCACATGGCATGTCCAAGTTTTTGTTCTACCTCGGAGGTGGTAACCCTAGTGCTGCTGCTGCTGCTGCTGCACATTCATTGGCAGTCCTGAGCCAGAAGTGAGAAGTCTCTGTTCTTATGGTGGGGGTTAGTCTGCCAACTGCTCCAGTTGAGCTGTCACTAAGTGGTGTTCACTGGGTGGTTCATAGTTTTATGAACCCCGGTGAGATGATGAGGCTGGGTCAAAACGGGCCCAAGGGGGTTGAACTCTTGACATTATGATTGGAAGCATTGCTGCTGCAACCTAAGCATATCAAGGAAGAATACGTATCCCTGAACATATTTATATAACTATACTGTATCTCCATAACAAATTTCATTTTTCCGTCACAGAACGAGTAATTTGTTATCAAACATAGTCCACTGAGAGCCCATTCTGACTGAAAGGACCCAAGGACTATGGTATTGATTAAGAGCTACGGACAATCGTTGACCTTTGACCTAGAAAAAACATTTTTATCCCCCTGACAAAGAAAACGTGTCACCATTCGACTTGCAGCAAGGGGTGCGCTCCCTGGTGGACAAGGCATCAGATCGAACAAGTGACAGGATGGTGGAGGGCAACGCCTAACACGGTTTCAGGTGCCTCTTGAGGTCCCTCTTGGTAGACAGTTTCATTCACAATTGTCGTAAAGAACAGATATCACCACGTGTTATAGATGTGCTGCTAATGGCTTCGGTGTGTGTATATATAGTATATATATAAACCAAAATGTCATGGGAAGTAGAATTTCCAATCTTAATTACAGCCACAAGCAGTGTTGCCAACTCCGTTAAGATAAATGTCGCCAAAAAGGATCCTCAAAAAGCCACTGGATGTTGCTAGTTAGACCTTCTAAATGTATCGAAAATGTCACGATACAATTGACCTTTTATTAGATATAGTAAATAGATACAGGATCTGCAACATACACCTGCAATCGCTCGCAAATTTGCTTAATGCCCTCGTCCCAGAAAGTTGCTAAATTCGTCATTAGGCCCTTTGCAAAATTACATTGCAAGGGGAAGAAGAAAAAATCCGCGAGATCTAGCGAAAAAATCATTAAGTTGACAAAATTGCGCTTTTGCGGCCTTCTGGAACGCTCCTTCCGATATTAAATTCAAAACTAATTTCTTAAGAACTGCTTTTTGTGTTTAGTTTGTTGTCCTTCCCCCACACCTCCAATTAGCGCTCAAAAGAAATTCAACATGCATACATACATTATGGCGAGGCTAGCAGGGAGGTCACACGAAGCTCACCATAGAACTTGACCTTGGTGGAGCCCTTGATGGTCCTGACAATCGCCCGCCCGTCGCGGGGGTTGCCGCCATGCCTCAGCAACTCGCGTACGGCCATGGCGTACAGGACGGCTGCGTCGTGCAGGTACGCGGCGTAAGGGCTCACCTGCGGTGGTAGCAGCCGCAGCGGCGTCCGCGTTAGACGTACACCTCAAAGGAAACGGCAACGTCGTTTTTATAAAGCGTGGGCTACACCCATTTCAAATCTTTAAAACAGCCTGCCTTAGCAGCTTTTCCCCCCCTCTTTTTTCTCCTGATGACGATTGCTTGTGTTGCGTCGTGATATTATTTTTATTCACTTTATTTTTATTTTCATTATTTTATTGTTCTATTTACGTGACTTTACCGAAAGACCGAAAGAATATGAATTCCTGCAGTCATGAAAGCTTTAAGTCAAGGACTTTTTTAGGGTCGAGGAAAAGCGGAGTGTCGTTGCAGTGCCCGTCTGTATCAGAATCAGAATAATTATATGTACTGGAGGAATCCGATGAGCTATGAAGCTCATTTACACAGATGTCCAGTAGTGGTGAAAATTCCACATTCCTATGGTGGGGGCCAAAGTGCAATAAGACCAATTTATCCATCAATTGTCACACTATGGTAAATTGGAAGCAATTATAATGTGCACTCAATAGTGATGTTTTGGAGGTGTATTTTTCAAAAACACTATTTTTGTGAACACTCATCATACATTATGTTTCCTTGAGTTTTCCGGGGACAATTTTATACAAATTATTACAATTGAAAAAAAACTAATCATACAAACCGAATTGTACAATTCACCATAGAAATCAGGTACACAGCATAACATTAAAATGTACAAACTTAAACATGTAATTAGGATTAAAAACGATGCCCAACATCAGGTGGCCAGCTGGCTCAGAGTCAGTTCCTTGTCACCCCCATCGATGGCACCTCCGATTAGCAAGGTTGGCTACGTACGGTGCGAAAGACGTTCAGCATACACATTGAGATCCTGGGTTCAAATATGAGCAGCCATCCATATTTAAACTGGATTCTCAAGTCTTCTGAATTGATGGGTGTCAGCTGGTCACTAATGACTGCACCAAAAAAATATCAAAATAAAATATTCACCCAATTTATAGCTAAATTGTACCTTGGAGAGTTAAAAGTATTTGATTGATTGTCACGTAACAAACACCAATCTCATAGCACAGTGTGTGTGCAAGTGTGTTTGAAGGGTTTTCAGATGTTCTATAAACATCTGTTACACAGCTGTTCTTGGACACATGGAGTCGCGCTGCTGTGCGATTTCTGATTGGATTCTCTACGTCATAACATGACATTTGCGGTGCACAGGAAAACAACTCAGAAAAAGTAAAGACATTTAAAAAATACCTAATTGATAAATGCATTGGAAGTCAATTAATTTTAAGACATTTACAGAGAGTATATTTCCCTAAAGGCTAAATAGAATGTATCAGAGAGTTCGAGTGTCAAATTGCGGTCAATTACATCATGGCCATCATAACAACATTGCCTGATTGCCTAATTCAATAGAGATACATCCATCATACGTTGGTCGACAATGCGTGCCCTTTTCACGCAACAAAGTCATTCACTCCTCATCCTCTTCCACAATGTCCCCACAACCCTCCCCATCCCTTCTCCCAACACTTCAGCCCCGTGAGTGCGACAGACCTCCTTGTCGCTCGTCAGGTTGCTGTAAAAGGGCGGCCCGAGGAGACGGCGCCGCACCTCCTGCAGGAAGATCTCGTAGTCGGAAGAGCCGTACGCCTTGATCGTGAAGAGCATCACGGGTTCCAGCGCCTGCAGAGTCTGTGTGTCCATCCGATCGGCTGCCACCGACTTCCAGAAGCTATCCTGCCGGGGGTGTTTGGAGCGGTGGGGGGGCATGGCACTGGTTTGTAGTCATCGATTAAAGCCACTGCGGTGGTACAGAGGGGCCTGCGGTGGGCAACGCGGTGGCGAGATGTTAACTACCTCGCTTGGTATACACGCGGTCGTGGGTTCGATCCGGTGCCGGATTATCCTAGCAGCAAAAGTAGCTGCTACATATGCTATGGGCCCCGCAACTTTCAAGGGCCCCGCGCTAAATGCTTTCAAGCTATCAATTCCGGTTTAGTGATTCTGCACTTGCTCTATTACTATAGTACTACACTGCCTTCAACTTTTATAAACGACTGGGTGTTTAAGGTTAGCGATTTGTCGTATTATCTGGGTTTATAGAAAATAAAAAATACAATTACTTTACTATGCAAGTAAAAAACAAAATTGTATATTGACGTTTTTTTTTATTTAGGGCCCCTTTATAACATATGCTAAAGGTCCCGCACTAGCTTCATCAGGCACTGGTTCGACCCAATCCTGACGACTGCTGTATATTTGTAGTTTGCGGTGTCTCTCTCCGTGGGCGCGTGGATTTTCCCCTCCGCATTTAGAATTAACGTGCGTTCAGAGTATTTGGCTGCAAATAAATGTCCACATGATAAGGCACTTTTGTTGAGCTATCATTTGTGGCCAGGTTGCTTCTGAAAAAGAGCTATTTAGACCTCAGTAAACCTTACCTGGTGGAATAAATAAGGTATATAGTTTAGTTGTATAGATCGCGCGTAACGAATTGTTTCAAATTAACGTTGAACTAGCGGGTAATGAAAGATGATGCAATGCTCGCCTTTGTGAACGGCCTAATTGGGCTCCGGCACGCCACAGCGAACCTGTGTGTCCGGATCGCTCACCGCTGACTTTAATTTAACGATTTTACATCGATGGGAGACAGACGCTGCGCACATTTCACTCGTCGAGCAAACTCGCACTTTCCGAGTGGCCGTCCCCACTTCATTCGTTGCTTTTCATTTGGAAGACGTAAATAAAAGGGGCCACGCGTAAACGTCGCCTCGAACACCGCGGCCACTTTCGCTCGCACAACCTTGAGTCCGCGTCCGACACCGGGGCCTACGTTTACGACGCAGCTGATGTAACGTGAGCCCTTGAGCAGGCGGCCCGCCAAGGTTGGCAGGGGAAACCGGGATTGAACAAACGCTCGAAGAGAGTCCACGCAGCAGGCAACTGGCTAAAAAGGCAATGCGCCAGGAACAACATGTTTCAGAAACGCTTACGTGAGCAAGCTTGATTAAAGCCCCAGCAAAATATTGCTCCGAAAATGTGGGTCTACCGCACTGGCGCGCACAATGATTGAGCTGCCATTATGAAGCGTGTGACCTTTCCACGTGCGCTCGCTTAGACATTCCTGCGTTTGGTGGAAGTTTAACTCGATTAAGGCACAAATGTAGCCCGGAGTGTAAATTTCACTGGCCGTCCCATCGGCGACTCCCCACGGCAGATGTGAAGATAGACGTGGTTTTTTCGTGTGTGTGTGTGTGTGCTGGCATCGTGACAGGGCTTCGTTGAGCCGAGGCTACCAAGAAGCAGACTCCCGCCGACAGTTGTAGTTTTCTGATAGGCGGAAGAAAACGCAACATATTCAACAAAAAACACTGCCTTAATTAGGTAAATATATATTCTTGGGTCCTTCGGTAAAGCCACGTAGATACATAAAATAAAAATAAATTATTATTTGATCTATCTATGTGACTTTATTATAAAATAATACATTATTTTTTATTGCTTTTTTATTATTTGATTTATCTATGTGGCTTTACCGAAAGACCCAAGAATATGAATTCCTGCAGTCACGAAAGCTTTACGTCAAGGTAAATATATCTCATAGGTGACATTTCAGGCATTGGCCAAGATGATATCTTCGCTATGAAGAGGGGACATTATCATGATACGTTTTGGCTTCTTTATGGCAGTATAATTGACGAGTGCATCGAGTTGATTTTCGTCATTGTTTTGAGAGGTAAATGGATGAGACCACTACTTGAGTGTAGTTTTTAAGTGTTGTGATTACTTAGTATGTACGGGGAAGGGGGGGTTATAAATGTGTTTGTAACCATATTGAAGGCAGTTGGTGATTGATCATTACATTGTAATGCAGCATACATTTGCTGAGCACCATTACTGAGGGTGCAAAGTGTATTTGCATCCCTCATACAGAGAATGACTACAGTCATTGAATGACAACAGTCATTCTTTAGTAAAATTGTCTAAAGTATTTTAATACCTCTTGTTTACCCAGGAATTATTACATGTTTTGCTCATACTCTTTGGTTCTTTCGGTAAAGTCACGTAGGTAGAAACATAATATATCACGACGTTTCGATCGCAACACAAGCAATCGTCGTCAGGTTGGACAATCACGGCAAGAAAAAACTGCTGAAGACGATTGCTTGTGTTGCGATCGAAACGTCGTGATCTATTATTAAATCCTTTATATTAAGTTCGCTTGCTTGCTTGCTTGCGTGCTTGCTTGCTTACGACCGTGCAAATCTTTCGGTCGTTTTTTAACCCACTTCCCGTGATCCAATCGAGCTGACATTTTGCACACAGACTCGTTGTGCGGGACAATTAATGTTCGTGAAAATTTTTTTCCAAAATTTTACACTGTTTAGGGAAAACAAATTAAATATTGAATTACCAATTGCTTAATACTGGCAGACAATCATCTGACCCATAGGTGGCAGCCATCTCAAGCCAGAGGATGAGAGGACTCTAGCCGCCACGCATATAAAGGATTTATAGTGAAAAACTTTTTTTTACGGGTTATACTTGTTTTTCTACCTACGTGACTTTACCGAAAGAACCAAAGAGTACGGATCCCTGCAGTCACGAAAGCTTCAACTCAAGAATGTTTTGCTCATTTCATTTGCGGATGTTTGGCTTCATGTGGGAGAACATAGCGCAGACAAACACTTCAAAGCGCCACACAGATTCAAGAATCCACGGCTGTACCACCATCTCCTGACCATCTCACAGCCAAAGCCAACCATACCTGGTTTTCTCAGACAATCCCCCATGCCCAGCTGCTGAGTTATGATGAGGTTTGGCACATTAAGGGCGATTTGGTTTGTATGAAAACAAAGTGCACAGCATTGCCACATATGTACCCAACCGATGTAAGGTTGCCGACAGCTGCTCTCTGTGTGTCCACTCACCTCAAATTGCTGCACAACCAGGAAGATGAATTTTCCCATGGCAAGTCCCAGAGACTGGGCCTCCAGAAGGACCTCTCGAGCCTCTTCCGATCCGCATATCAGGATCACAACTGCAACGCGTGAAACAGCAGGCCTTACAATCAGCCACGTAGGCAACTGGGATTTAAAATACTCTCCTGGTTCAACTGCCCAGTAGGAATTGTTTTAATGCTGCAGAGTGTTGGTGTCACATGTGACTCATTGACATGCGTACAGTGCTTCTGAATTTTAAATGAGTGCATCACGTCAATTCAATTTGTCGGCCCGGGTATTGTGTTTTTTTCGCCTAAACCTAAAATGCACTTTATCTGATGGTCACGCTGAGCTCTAGGTTTACCACTTGTCCTAGTTCTTACAGCTTTTATTCACCACTCAAGACGTTCTTGTGAGATATTCTACTTGCCATGATACATTCTGATAAGACAGCTTTCTTTGGGAAAGCGAGTGTGGACCAATCAACTTCAAGGACAGTGCATACATTATCAGAGTTATGTTTTTTGTTTGCATTATGACTGCAGGTATTGTGGTCTATGCAAACATGACTCCTCGTAAAAAAAGGTGTCAGTTTTGTTGCCAGATTAAAGGGTAAAAAACCAATTATCATATTTCTTTACTGGCAAATGAGGTACCAATGATGATACATTCTGTTTATTTTTGTTTATCTCAAATATTGCCAATGTTACTAAGCCCAGCAAGCTTAGTTCGAATCCCGGCTACGGTTAACGTGAGTTGGTGAGTGATCTCTGAACCTTCCTGGGCCATCCATCTTCACCAGCCCCTCACTGACCAGCACAATGAAGCATGGTCAACCAGCCCTCAAGACCGACACAGCACTGGGAGGCTAAAGATGACTTTGTCTTCAAGTAATTCGTTTATTTAATCAGCCGACATGATTTGCTAAAACCTGCACATGGTCGAAATTAGTAAGAGGTTGATCATTATAATTAAAATTGAGTGGGTGAGGAAACACAGGAAATGAGACATTGACTCCATTATTACTTTAACGAATGCATGCAATTTTGTGAATTATATCAATCGTCATTAGATTACAATTACTGTACACTATACTGGGTTGCAAATGACAAAAAATATTATAAAGATAAATATATATAGATATTTAATGTGGGTTTTATTAATGTCAATTTTAAACAATTTACTATCGTTTTTCTTACATGTTTCTGCTTCTCATTTTGCCAATACCAATCAGAGTATGAATTTAACCCACGAAAACGTTCAGTTCGTTCTACTGGGGAACAAAACACACACAAGTTGACCGGTGACATGCTCTCTTACTCACTCCTGGCTTTTGTGGAAATATCCAGCAGGTTCTGTCGGTGAAGGACAGTGTTGGACGTGTCGTACTTGATGCGCGCCGTGATGGTGACGGAGCGCGCCAACTCCCGCTCCACGCTCGCCCACAGCTCGTCAATGTTGGCCCACGTGCTGTTCTGAGCCGTGCCACCCAGCATCGCGGCTCGCGTCCACCCAAAGTGGCGCATGGTGGCCTCCAGCATCTGGCCCATGCGCTGCAGTGGTGACATGATGCGGACGTACGTGTCGTAGACGGCGGAGCTGTCCATGCGCTGGGTGTGGCCCACGAAACCCAGCATCGGCACGTTCCACTTAGCGGCCAGGAGGCCAGTCACCTGAAGGAGACCATGCACAGAGCGATGGTGTGAACAGAAAAATTGCAGCAGTTCCTCCAAAGAAAGCTAAGCGCCCGGTTATGCTCCCAGTCGCACCTTGAGATCAGTGAATGCTGACCTGTTGGTAAATCCTCAAAATAATTTAACATCAGGAGGGGCGAGGACCTTTCGTTGGTGATGCTCTCTGCCTTTGGAACTCTGTCCCAAGTCACAGCAATAATTTTGGCACAGTTTCAATAATGATTTAAAGTTACATTTAAAAACATTTGCATTAGCTTATCTTCAAACTGGATGAATTGGCCAAGGGTTCTTAAGACAGGGTTTTATTTTTAAGAACCATGAGATGCCTTACATGAAGAGTGCTTTATAAAAGCATAATTTATTACAAATATAACCTATCCAATAAAAATACACAAATGGAAATTATGCTAAAAAGTGATTCATGCAAAATTGTGTAAAAATAATACAAATATGTTTTTCATGTTTTAATAATTGATTTTGCTTTGGGAAAGTGGTCAGTCATCAACTTAGTCAAACATAATCGAGCCACTGTTGGATGAAGGCCTTATATCTGAAGAATTCAAACTTGTAGAATTTTATAAAAAATGTAGGCAATTACATTGGTCTTCTTGGTGAGACGCTGTCTTTCTGACAGACCTGTTCTTCACCTGAGGACGGCTGCTTGCGTTGTGGCCGAAACGTCGTGAGAATTGTATTTTATTATGTTTTATTTTTATTTTTTTATTATTTCCCTTCTACGTGACTTTATCGAAAGAACCAAGAAGACGAATCCCTGCAGTCACGAAAGCTTTAAATCGAAAAATTACATTGGTATTCTATGGTTCTTTCCGTAGATAGAAAAAATAATAACAATAAAATAAAAATGAAAATAAAGTTCCTGATGACGACCGCTTGTGTTGCGATCGAAACATCGTGATATTTATTGTTATCAATGTTCTTCTATCTACGTGACTTTATCGAAAGAACCATAGAATATGAATTCCTACAGTCACGAAAGTTTTAAGTCGAAAAATTACATTGGTACCGAGGTGGAGAAATTATACATTTTGTATTGAGGTGAGGAACGCGAAATTCTAGCCATCAGAGACATGGATGCAATGAATATATTTTCAAACTGGAGTCTCGGATATGTAAGTGGAGGTGCCCAAATGGTGAAATTAGAAAGGAGACTTGAATCTCAAGGACAAATCCCAGATCGTCAAGAATGTATCTGTCCTTGAGACATTTGAACACAGGAAGCAATTGCAGGGGAATTACACTTCAATAATAGCCAAAGAGAGAGCAAAGATAATTCTTCGCAAAATACAGATAGTTAGGATGAAAAATCTAGGTCAGGAGGCGGGCAATTTTAGACTAACTCAAAGCAACAACTTCAAATGCCTCGAGGAGGAAAATTATTAAATGGATGTCACCACTTTAAATAATGAAATAACTAGCATAGTCATGGAAATTTCATTTAAAGTTGGGGGAGAGGTCAAACAAAATCAGAAAACGAATTATCTGAAATCACAAATACACGTTGAGGAAGAAGAGAGCGATATACAAAAAGATGGAGATGCTAAACACTCAGAACATTGTAAAATTTATAGGAAAATAATAAGATGACAAATCAGAGAACACAGCACTGCTCGCATTAATTCAACACATCATAGTTGGAAATATGAACATGAAAGCTTAATGGTTAGCAATCCACAAATTATAGCACTTAGGGGGAAAACATGTCACCAAATATATCATAAGCAGTTTAAGCACCCATGGCGATAACAGTCTAAGAAATGATGATTCTACCTGTCATGCTTGCACATGTGCAGTTGTACTCTACTGATGCAAACCGCGTTGACTCCCTTGTTCTGCTAAATCACCTGTAAATGCAATTTCTATTCACTCCGTTAGATTTGTCTAGGTTACTCAGATTTTTCTTTCTGAACATCAAATTGCACTTCCATTATACAATCATGTTTGCTCCATTTCAGTATTCGAGTAAAGTACATATGGAGTTTTTATTGTTATTAAAAAAGTATCGAGCAGATGCAATCCTACCCTTTGTAGGCAAGAGTTGATGGAACGCCAGACGGATTTGAGAAACCCATACCCACTGAGCTGCAAGGTAGCCAGGAAATATTAAATAAGCAAGTGGTTTTGTGAACCCTTGTTTGAATTTTTCAGTGTTATCCCCTCATCATTTTTCGTATATTAAACCCCGGTACTCTAGTTTCCTTCTATATGCGAAACTCTGCAATTTTAAAATAAAATTGGCCAATCCTCTCCGTACGGAATCTTAAGAAAGTGAATCTTGAGACGCAGGCTTTCCTGGTTAAATAATTGCAGATGCGCTTTTGCGGCCACCTGGAAACCTGGAACGCTCTTCCTTCCGATAATTATAAATAATAGGAAGCCACTGGCGCTATACACTCTTAAATCTAGATTCAAAACCCATTTCTTTACAGCTGCTTTTTGTGTTTAGTTTTGTTGTCCTTCCCCGCACCTCCGGTTAGCACGATTGGCTACGTACGGTGCGAAATAATTTGAACACGCACACAAATGACATTCCTCAACAATGTTACTCCCGCTTTCTCTCGGTCACTTGCACGGCGGGCAGCACGATGGCATGAGTATGGACACACGGTGAGCAAGCTCACCTCGGACGCCTCGGCACACACCGGTCCCAGGAGCGCGATGATGCCCTTCTCTCGCACCTGTGTCACAAAGGAGTCGAGGGACACCTTGGCGTCGCACGCGCAGTCGGCGTACGTGAACGCGAACGTGTGGTTGGGCATGAAGGTGGGGTTCGAGTTGAGGGAATCGAACGCGATCTGCAAGGCCGCCCCGAGTCGCATCACGCTGAATGGGTTGGAGAGAGCCCGAGGGGCCTGCAGACCAATTAGAAAGCGCTCGGCCACGGTGCCTAGCGCACCCATCAGGATCAGCGTCAGTATCCTCGCTCGTGTCGCCATTGTCAGCGGTGAGCCTGTGCTGCCAAACCTCTTGAACAGAAGACGTCTTTTAGCGCCTTGTGACGTCCTCGCACCTCTCGAAAGCTAGCCTAGCACACAAATGCCATTTAACCAGTTGCAATTAGTCGTGTCCTAACAGGTTAACGGCAGAGATTGTTCCAGTCGTGTGCAGTTTCTCCGCACGTCTAGAGCATTTGTGGCAACGGGGGCACAAAATCTGTTTTTCTTGCACAAATTCCAACTGCAGATGAAGTGTACATCGAATCGATGGCGTTGACCTTCAGAATGTTACGATGTCCTTTAAAAAAGGCAACGCAGGTTATTTCGCTTTTGAATTCGCAGTCATTAAGTTACTTTAGTGGCAAAAATGCATTCTGCTTATTTAGCAGTGCGACTTCGAAGCAGTGCTTATAAAAAGGGAAGGGAAAAATGTCCGTGCACCTTGGTCATGAGGCTACCACTTGTACTTATAGCGGCTCTCTCCTCTCCAGGGGAACACCGCAGGTATTATTTAGTCCCAGGTGAATGTAGCATGGGCTCTTTTGCTCTATTGCCCCGTCCTGTGCGCCACAATCAGCACTAATCCCACCTGGCCTAGAGTTCCGTTAATTGCTGTTAGGGCAAGTTCTCACCTTTTCAGTGCAGTATTTCTGAGAACTCGGAAGCTTGTTAAGATACGTGTGAGGCTGACAGGAAACTCGACGAACAGCGTATGGAAATAGCAGTCCACCATTTCTTTGAAAAAATATTGGTAACCATTCACGATATGGCACATTTATTGTCACCATAACGTGAGGTTGGTGTTAATTTTAGTGTACAATTTTATAGCCATGTTTCTGTATAAGTAGTCAGTATTACTACTATTACATGAACATTACTTAAAATAATTGCACACTATGGCAAAAACAATTCGGCATTTTTTGTTATGGAAATGTGGCTGGTTTATTTAAACATGCTCGCCATCGATCTGTTTAAAACTACACGGCCAAAATAAGTACCAGAATGAGCAAAAGTCATGAAATATAACATAATCCCCTTCAAAAATCTAAGCCTGGTTATTAAGAGGGCTTGACCTGATCTGGAGCGCGGACAAAATGCTGAGATACCTTTTGAGACGTAATCTAAACTCTATATATACACACAAACCATTGTAACACAACCAAAATTGTAATTTATAAAGAAGTATATTTAATATTCTAACAGCCAAAAAAATACTCTCTATTTTTTAAATAACCTATTTTTGCTTTATGCAGCAGATATTTTGTATTGTATAATAATTTCACGTGGCCCAGAGTGAACCAATGGCACCACAGTCTGAACACAGCAAGTGTGCACAGACTGCCTCCCAGAGTGATGATAATTGACAAAATACATTTGTGGAGCTTTAATGGAAAACACGGAAACAGTCCGGGATCACTACAAGCAATACGAGCATGGGCAGGTCAGTTCGACCTTTTGGCAAAAGAGCATCCTATCAGGATCACGCAGAGTGATAATGGCGTTCAGATATAACGCCGGCAGAGCAGGACTTTCTAGAGAAGCATTGTTACAATACGGTGTAATACAAATGCACAGACATGGATTTTTCCTTAATATCATTTATTTTGTTCAGTACACATATGTTAATTTGACCACTTACCCTATGCTTGTTCAAACATAACCAAACTAACTATTCAGTCGGCTAGCATGATTTATGCAATTGTCAGACTTTTAAAAAGTTAACCATTCAGAGACACATGAAACATTGTCACTTTTGCATAAGAGTAATCTGGGTTGAAGCAAGTTACTTTAATTGCACGAAATATTAAATAGAAACTATATCAGGGTAACAAATTACACAATTACCGATGGGTACATAGCAAACACTCTGCATTGAGGAAAGTATGACATTAACTTACACTGGGAATTCATAGGGTTAGTGGTGGTATTGTGAAGGATAGAATTTAATATTTCTTATTATTGTCCTCACTACAATTTCAATCACATGCGGAATACTGTAACCGGAAAGTCCCATACGTGATGGTGAGCCATCTCAATTTTCTTCGTCCGATTTAATGATTTTCATGATCGTAATCTATTGTCAATCTCCTGTTGGATGAAGAGCACTACTATTCTGACGCCAGCACCATTGATGCTAAGATTTTACAATCCTTGTAGCATATTGTAGTTAGATTAATATTCATAATAATCAGCTATGGTTAATCCACTAAATGGAGGCCTGATTTTTGTTATCTAAAAACAATTAAATAGAGCAAAACACAGCACTAAGATGAAATAATACAATCTTGTACGTACATTTTCTAACTTAAAATTTGTCTTTAACGATATGATATGGCCAATTTAAGCTTAATTTAAGTATGCTTTAATTGGATATAAGCTTGCTTTTTTCCTGAAATTCAGTGAAGATTATAAAGAAAATAAACATAATCCACTTAAATCATGGATAAGGAAACCATGGTGATGGACTTAAGCTGGTGTTCTTCACATTCGTTGAGAGTATGCAAGCGTAGAGGCAAATTACATTGAATAAGGCATGCTCTGCAATAATGCTGGATTGAACTCTACCATCAAAAGTGAAAGTGATTTCCTTTTCAAATGAGCATTGAGTGGTGATTATCTCCTGTTTACAACCCTGAGCCAGTGGTGTAAATCTGCATTCCTATGGCCGGGACAAGTCTATCTGTAGCATGACCACTCTTGGCTTGCCCATAATGTGGTCCTTTCATCACTGACCCTGGAGGGACGATGGACTTAGTTAACCATGACCAGGAGTTGAACTTGCATCCTTACAGTTGCAATTCGCTCGGTTTGCCGCTGAACCACCTGGCTTGCTTCGTGACAAAGTAACGATGTGTTTTCTTTACTGTGATTAGAGAGAAGACATTTTGACGTTTCAGTCATCTGGCATTTTCTTCGGGATTTGGCCAATTGACTTTTAAGGCCGCTTGGCTGCAAGGTCAATATTTAAATATTTTATTTTCAGTGAAACACCCTCAACTCACCGTTATTCCATGTGTAGTGACATAGAATCGGTCACGTAGCAGCATAGCGCTGACTGCTGGCAGGGAAGGGGATCTGCAGCTTGCAGCAGCCCTGACTGACAGCAGGTCACGTGATAGACCAGAGAGAGGGATGTAGGGGAAATGTCATAGAAGGGGCACGTCGAGAACTCGCTAGTAGGTTCCAGAAAGGGGGCGTGGCCTTGGGGGCGGAGCCAGGCCACGCTGACAGTATAAAAGGGGCCCCGGGAGGGGACCTCGGGGCTGTCGTTTGGAGTGGGATCCCCCGTCGTCATTGCTGCTGAAGATCGTCGCCATCGTCGCTGTCGTCGTCATTTGATATTGCGCTGCTCAGCGGTAGTTGGCTGTGTCGGTTCAGCGCCGTCAGTGTCAGACTGCTAGCGTTGTGTGTAGGCTAGCAACTTACGTAGAGTTGTATATAAACGATTGAGAAGAGTGTGTACCAGCGTAGTGTTGTGTATTGTGCAAAGGGTGCTCGGTTGAATAAAAGAACTGCCTCCAAGAATAGCGTCTCCGAGTTAAGTCACTACACGTGTATAATGCTGCCGTGGTGTGTAACGGCTAGCGCAATGGGCTTGTAATCCAAACGTCGCTGGTGCTGTCTACTGTCATAAAAGTTGAAAACAATGGTCACGTGTCTTAGATCTCCCTGCCTTTGTCCGCCCAGCAGTATAAATGGGTGCACCATAGACAGTTGATCGGCAGGTCATGTGTGATGGGGTAAAGTGTGGGTACTGCTATCTGTTCCAAGATGTCTGGTCTGATACCCTTAAAATAGCCGAAATGTTTTGAATTGTCAAATTTTGGGGTTGGGATCCAATCTGATAAAATATTTTTTTCTTTACCGTTGTCGTGCACTGTGCAGCATATTTAGTGACTTTAGGGGAGGTCACGGGAACTACATGCAACATTTGAATCAAAGATACTTAATCTCACGTGCAATTAAGTGCATATATTGGGATTGTCTGAATGTATTAGACTCAATTGTTCAATGAATATTTACCAGCCTTAGCATACGTTTTCATTTTTTTGCCGTATCAACACCAATATTTTAAAGACTTTATGACTTACATTTGCTTATTTAATTGTCTAAGTTATTTTGTCATAACGTTGTTTTTGTTGTTATAGTTGCAGGATAACAATTGGTTGGAGGTGTTTGCTGCACTGCAGCCCAGAGACCGAAATCTTTCCAGCCGTCCAACCGAAGCGGCCCCAACTTCATCTTCTTGGTTCTTTCGGTAAAGTCACGTAGAATGGAAATAATAAAATAATAAAATTTCAACATAATAAAATTATTCTCACGACGTTTCGGCCACAACGCAAGCAGCCATCCTCAGGTGAAGAACAGGTCTGTCGAGAAGACAGACTCTGCCGTGGTGTGTAACGGCTAGCACAATGGGCTTGTAATCGACAGACCTGTTCTTCACCTGAGGACGGCTGCTTGCGTTGTGGCCGAAACGTCGTGAGAATTATTTTACTATGTTTTATTTTTATTATTTTATTATTTCCATTCTACATGACTTTACCGAAAGAACCAAGAAGAGGAATCCCTGCAGTCACGAAAGCTTTAAATCGAAAAATAAAACGTCCCCAACTTATTTCGCCAAAATTGACTAAATGTCGCCCCGCAGAGAAACAGTTCTCAGCATCTCCCAACATAACACAAGCACACGCGGTTATGTTCTCGTCTACTTGTGTTGGGTGGCTTGGTGGCGAGATGTTGACTACCTCGCCTAGTATACAGGAGGTGGGTTCGATGCTGACCCTGACGCCTGCAGTATATTTGGAGTTTGTATGTTCTCCCTCCCCGTGGTCGAGTGGAATTTTCTCCGGTTGCTCCGGGTTTTCCCTCCACATTTAGAAGCATGCATTTAGAGTGTTTGGCTGCCATAAATTTCCACATGATAAGCCACATTGTTGAATTATCACTGGTAGCCAGGTCATTTCTCAAAAAGAGCTGTATAGCTCAGTGGGCCTTACCTGGTAAAATAAAAAAAAGTTAAAAAAATGTATTAATTACAAACAAATATAGTATTAAGTATCGTCTTGTTTATTAAATTCTCACAGGTTTTCACGACTCTTGACGCTGATGTTGTGTCAGCATGAAATGCCGACGTAATTGTAGCTGTACCTGCATTTTATAATTACCTGTGCTAGCAAATTTTGGAAGGATGTCCTGTTATACGCCATACAATTAGTGTACACGCAACTCCAGCCTTTAATGAGCCAATGCTATTTTTATAACTTAACCATCTAAAGCCAATGCCTAGATTTGAATTTACAAATACATTTCAGCATCTGGAACATGGGATGCCACATGTGCAATGACAGGGTGAGATGGACACAACGGGTACATGCAAACAATCACCAACAACCTTGACTATTAAACTCGTTTGTTCAAAAGATATTGGTACAATTATATACCTGCATATTTTTAGGTTTTTTCGGTAAAGTCACGTAGGTAAAACATCAAAATTTTCATTAATTTTGATGTTTTACCTACGTGACTTTACCGAAAAAAACCTAAGAATATGATTCCTTGCAGTCACGAAAGCTTCAAATCTAGAATTATATACCTGCATTTCTTGACAGTGTTGATCTTCATTTATAAAAAAAAAAGTATAAAATACCTATAATAAAGAAATAAAATTCCCTCCGTTTGCAATATGTAATATTTGAATGTTGCTTTTTAACACCGAAGCGGTAGGTGTTTTTGCCGGTGACAGTAACAATGCTAAGAACAAGCGATTTTCCGTTGCTCAATGCTTGTCACGGCTGTTGCTTCAGAGGTATTAACGAGTGCTGCATTTTACTTTATTCTCTATAACACCTCTTTCTGCCAATCACGCCTATCTGAATTGGTTTCAATAGACTTTCAATTATAGGAGCAACTTCGCAAAACCAAATGTATACATTTAAAGAGAAAAATACCTAACTTTTCTGGCAATTTATATTCCATTTGGTTTGTAATCGCAGGTGGAGTTTGTCAATGTTAGCGTGAATACAACTAAGTTTGCAAGTACAGTAATGACATGAACACAACGTCAATGAAATATGGCATCATACATCAAATCATTGGGTGAGTTTCCAGAACAAGGAGAACACATTTTGTTTTGTGTGGCCATTAATGGATATTAGTTGTTGAGGGCATTAATGGGACACATTGTTTTTTTTCCCATGCAGCATAACACTTTAAACGTATTGATTTATACGTGTATGTAGCCTGCAGCAACAAAAAACACTGCGTCCTGTGCAACTCGGTCAGTGTCCCTCCCTACTGAGAGCGATTCTTTGTGATGGCTATTCATTGAAATGTTGGCGAAAAAAAATTCCCCAAGGCTATAATTAGCGGTCACGAAGTTATGTTAATTATATATTATAAATGACATGCCTTGCAAGGGTAGTACACATGTAACATGAATATGTAACTGACATAGAATGATTAAATAACTCGCTTTCAAAAAAATCCAGAATACTACAGCACCCTTTTGTAGGGAATTACATCTGCTTACATTCATCTCTATGTCGTGTGATTACTCAGCCATATGTCCTGTGTTATGTGTGCAATAAAGTATTGTCACGAGCTGACCAGCTGGATACATTGACACATAGAGTCGCATTGGGATAATGGCATATCAGGATGTTGTCAATGCTTTTCACTCTTTGTCTGATACTTCATGCTTCAAAAAACTAGACTTACATCTTTTCGGTTCTTTCGGTAAAGTCACGTAGAAGGGAAATAATAAAATTATATAAATATAAAACAATAAAAATTCTCACGACGTTTCGATTGCAACACAAGCAATCATCATCAGGTGTGAAATCCACAGAAAGAACATTTTCTTGATGATGATTGCTTGTGTTGCAGTCGAAACGTCGTGAGAATTTTTATTGTTTTATATTAATATTATTTTATTATATCCCCTCTACGTGACTTTACCGAAAGAAGCAAGAATATGAATCCCTGCAGTCACGAAAGCTTTAAATCAAAATTGAGACTTACATCATCACAGACCTTGCGAATTCGTTGTAGTCAACCTTAGCAAGTATCGCATGCAATTAATGTGGCTTCTTATCACGTGTTGGAAACCTGACATAGATGCTGATTGCAGTGTAATATCAAGGGGCAGCTAGCAGGCCAAGAACTTGCCAGCTATAAGCCTATAACTCTATTTCCAATGGTCAATAACTATCGACTACGTCTTTCTGTTGCCATCTTGTGAGCGTAACTACACGTGTTTTATCCACTGCAAGGGACATTAATCCTGCTGTACTGTCTATTTTCTTGTGGCTATAAAAAAATCCCAAGGCTCTCCTCTCGGATGTTAAAGCCAACTTGTTCATTCTCAAATAAAAAAAAAGACAGCTGATCATACAAGCACTCTGTCACTCTTCTGAGATAACATTGTGCAGGTGGATTGCTTTAATGGCCAATTAAGCCAGCTCAATATACACACATGGCAAGCTCAGGATTGAATGTGGTTGAGAGTGAGATTATGTGAATTGCCCCGGCTTACTTAGAAGAGACAGACAGGTTCCCTCTTGGCTGTATTTAAAGTTGTTGTGTCAACACCGGATCTCAGTACAAAGAACATCTGGGAGAGAACGTTTCTTACTGAAGCTAAAACAAGAACAATGTTTATTATTTATTTCATGAAGGTTACATTTCTATTGAACTGTTAAAATTAATTCCTGGCTGTTGATATTTATATCCAGGAGATAATCGTTTCACTATTTAAAATATGAAAGATTTTGTAAATTAATTCAAATATATTTGAAACGTCATAGTAACTGATCATTCCTCAATGATCGCACATGTGTGCGTCTTCCTTACTTCGCACCGCTGAAGTAGACTCAGAACAACAAATACAATTTCACATCCAGGTGGTCAAGCCAGACAATTGCGTCAGGAGCAGCGGAGTGCATCGCTGTGATGTCTCCTTCGTATTCGTGGATCGGGCATCGCGTCGTTATACGTTGTACGCTCTGTTCTGGATGACCACAGTCGCACACTCGAAATATTTGAATTTTCCATTTGTGCATCAGGTATCTGGATCTGCCATGGTGTGTGTGTGTGTGTTGGGTCTTTCACAACAGCTGCGTTGGGTCTTTCATTGAGCACACACGTGAGCTAAATTATATTTGTACAATTTATGTGTTTTTTTCTGATATGCCTACGATTGCTGCAACTTTCTTTTTTTACAATTGCTTCGTTGTGTATGAACTTTAATCACGCATTGTTTCCTCTACTCTCTGTTATATTCACAGCGACAGCGGAGAGCACAGCAGCAAACACGACCTCGCGCATTTTTGTTCACAGCAAGTTCAAATGGACGACGTGTACTGAAAATACACGGGCGAAGTCACGTGTCACATTTTTTAAATGTCCCTTTTCCCAGGATGATGAATTTATAACGTTTGCTATGTATGTGGTAAGTGGCAAACCGGATATAATTGCTACAATTGTAAAACGCCAGCGGGGATGGCTACTTACGGTGCAAAAGAAGTTCAACATACATCTAAGAAAAAACGAGCAATAACTCAATTCAGAGTGGGTGAAGCATTCCCGTTTGAGGGTCAGTCACATTTCTTCTTGTTGTCCTTCCTCCGCACCTCCGATTAGCACGGTTGGCTACGTGCGGTGCGAAAGAAGTTCAACACGCACACACTGATGCCCTATGGCGCCCTTTCTTGAAAACATTATCTACTTGCACTGTGGGTTTGCTTTGCCTATATTTCAAAGAGGGAACTCGATCCCAGTGTTTTATATATAATAATTTGTGCACGCTCTATAACCATCCAGGCACTTGACGAATACATATAATCTTAGTACCTCAACGTAATTGCCACAATCGTGCTGAGCATGTGACATTTCTGACACAAAGTGAAAGGCCCTACCTCTGGTGGAGGCTATGACTAGTACTATAGCCTGACGTAGTACTTGACTAATTAATATAATGTTTTACTGAAAATTGTCATCCAGTACCTTGGAGGCTTTGTAGTAGGAAGATCATACAGACACTGTTACACTTCCAAACCCACTGGACTGTGAGCTATCCAGGAGATGAACCTGTTTGTCCAAACGTTTGCTCATTATCATCATCAGCCATAATTAATCCACACTTGAACGATGGTCTTCCCTGGCCGTCAATTTCACTCACAGTCCTGCGATGCCAAAGAGACGATGTTATCACTCGAAATCCACGGTGGGCTACCCAGCCCTTGTTATCTGCTGAAATACGTGGGGGGGGGGGGGGGGGGGTTCCAACACACAAAAAGCTCATTTCAATAATATTCTGGAGGCTCAATGAGATGTTCTTGAAAGAAAATACATCACATTTTTTTATTATTTATTCTATTTTATAAACCACCAACTCTCAACCCAAACGGTTTTTTTTTTCATCTTCATTCATTTTCGAGGTACTGCACATGGGGGTTAAATACCAGAATCCGACACAGAAAAAAAACACGTCTGAAACTTCTAGACATTACTACTTACTGCCGAGCAATGCAATCACTTAAGCCTGCAGGCTTAACGCTGCCTTCTATGATGCCAGGGCTAAGCACCAGGTGTTTTTACTTGCACGCATGTCAAGTTGACCGTAGCTCAGTCTAGGGTTATAATCTATAAAGGCAGCTCTTAACCAAATCACAATGGCTGCACCTCAAAACATCGTGCTTAAAAAGAGCCTAAACAGTGGCCAATAAATTACTTTACAGATGCACAACAATTGCGTGGCTAACAATTTTTTGTTAGTTTTGGAGCGCAACTCAAACCGTCCCGAGACCTGGCCACGTGCACCGCAACCTGCATCTCAGTCAAACGCGTGTTTCAACGCACGACTCCTTTTTCGTTTTGGTCCCCCGTGAAAACGCCCTACTGTGTCGTTGCCCACACACTGCTGGCCTGGGTCACGGGGGACGGACGCTGCCCCTTGGGGCCGTGCTTGTCCCCGGTGGCGCCGTGCGGGGGAATGCGGTTCGCCGTAGCGCCCATGCTCTGCTTGGCCCGAAAAGCGGCCACGTCCTTAGCGAACTCCTCCGTCCAGTTCTCCGTGATCTGCAGTGGCCAGACACCCACAGCAAGTGACAGGATTCGACGTGAAGCGAGTCACGTCGAGAGATCAATCCGGCGCGCTCGTTGGTTTCAATGTCTCCCTCGCCAGCGGTCAGCCGCCTACTTATCACTCCTCTATTGCTGTGACCATTGGTAACTGTTCCCATGAATCTCCGCCCATGTTGAGAACTCGGTCTAGCATACTCACTGTTTCATCTCATCCATGTTCTGTTCAACCACCACACTGCAGGTCAAAGCGCACTCTCTCTCTCTCTCGCCTTCTTTGCAGAACTTAGGAATTCCCTACTATCGTCTCTTTTCTCCCAGGTTATTAAATCTTGCTCTATTCGAGAAACATATTCAGTATTATCTACTGTGCCTCCAATAGTGCTGTTTGTTGCCGTCTGCGTGTTATTATTGGCCTTGGGGTCTGTGTTCAGCAGCAGTTATTTATTTGGAAACAAGGTAAGAATCGTCAGAGGTGGTCAGTCACACTCTGAGATGCACCCAGACCATCTGAAGCTTTTTTTCAGTTTTATCGTTCTATTTGAAACCATTAATTCTGCTCTCAACTGAGCACCCGATGATTAATTTCAAACATCTACTCGGTACATATACCTACTTTGAGTGGATGTGCAAATACTTTATGTTTTGGCTCATTTAGCTTGTTAAAAACACTGTCAACAATTTAAGTATGCGTCCAGGACACATTATTGTCTTCATACTATAATGTATGACCAAAATCAAAGTGTGGCTCATTGTGGTAAAAAAAGGCCAAGCTTTTGACTCACGTCAATGACAATACGCATTTCTTAAGAAATGTTGTAATATCACATTTCTTTTTTCCTGCACGTTAACTACATCACTTACATCGGAGCTGTATTAATACCGCAATGTTGTCTAGCAGGTAACTCTGAGCGATGTCAACGGTTAGTGTGTACACTTTCGTTTTAATTGCCACTCGTATGGATAATTTGCGACTAAACACAATCAAAAGGAACGATCTACATGAAATCTCTCGTACTGTGCCATGGGCTTCTTTTACAGAGTTGGCGCTTTACCTGATTGCTTTCAACAGTGCCCTTGTTCTTCAGAATTTCTCCCGTGTGGAAGAATTCAGGAAGAGGCATCTGGAAACCAGCCTTTCCCTTCAGCCAGTACGTCAACTGATTGCCTTTCCCCTAACACACAGGACACGGGCAGAGCGAACAATCGATCAAAGTGCACGGACACCATGGAAGGCTGTGAGAGGTGATTGATGAATCACATATGACTCCAAGGTTCACTGGCTGAGTTGAAAGTCTAATCGTGAAAAGTCTGTTGCTTGGATCGCATGGTCACCCTCATCATGATGTCGTTGGAAGGTGGTATATTGTAGAATGTTCCTTATTTCTGTGCACGTTAAAGGTCTTGCAATAAACAAGAATTAAATTCAGCCCTCAATGGGAGCTCAGGTGAGCTCCTCTAAGGGGTAATTTGGTCTACTCTTCCAAGCAGGTCAGACATCTTGGAAGAGTATCCACACTGTACCCCACCACACGTGACCAGCTGATCAACTAACTGTGGTTTACCCCTTTATACTGCTGGGTGGGGGAAATTTAAGAAACTTGCAACATTGTTTTTGAAAGTCTTAAATGCAATTCCAGTGTTCTAACAATTAAACCATATCAGTCCCTGCTATATACTACGCAATAATCCGGTGTGTGTCCTCTTTTTGGCACTTTCAGTAAAGTCACGTAGAAGGGAAATAATAAAATAATAATAATAAAACATAATAAAATAAAAATTTCGATGTAAAGCTTTCGTGACTGCAGGAATTCATCTTTTTCGTTCTAGAAATAATAAAATAATAAAAATAAAACATAATAACATTCAGACTCTGTCTCCTCGACAGACCTGCTCTCCACCTGAGGACGGCTGCTTGCGTTGTAGCCGAAACGTCGTGATAATTATTTTATTATGTTTTATTTTTATTATTTTATTATTTCCATTCTACGTGACTTTACCGAAAGAACCAAGAAGAAAAATAAAAATTCTCACGACGTTTGGGCCACAACACAAGCAGCCGTCCTCAGGTGAAGAAACAAAGCTGTCGGAAACAGAGCTGTCGGAAAGACAGCGTCCCAATGAACACCGCCAAGCTTGGCAGCGTATATTTAAGCTGGGTCGGGGGGAGGAGAGCGCCTTGACAAAGGAGTTTACATATCAACAGCGGAATTAAGCATTTTGATGGAAAATGCAGATAATAAACTTGCAACATTTTCCATCAAAATGCTTAATTCCGCTGTTGATATGTAAACTCCTTTGTCAAGGCGCTCTCCTCCCCCCGACCCAGCTTAAATATACGCTGCCAAGCTTGGCGGTGTTCATTTGGACGCTGTCTTTCCGACAGCTCTGTTTCCGACAGCTTTGTTTCTTCACCTGAGGACGGCTGCTTGTGTTGTGGCCGAAACGTCGTGAGAATTTTTATTTTATTTAGTTTTATTTTTATTATTTTATTATTTTCTTTCTACGTGAATTTACCGAAAGAACCAAGAAGATGAGTCCCTGCAGTCACGAAAGCTTTAAATCGAAATTTTCCTGTGTGTCCTTTTACTGGTGTCAATTAAAAATGATTATTATACTCGCCACCCCTTGCATACTGCATAATTGTGCAACCCGAGCACATTTTGTTCATAATTGAGGGTGACATTTGTCCGTGCACTGCTTCTTTGACCTTTTAGATGATAGTGGCCCGTGGCAAATGTCATGTCCACCGAGAAATGCAATTGCACAGGGAACAGCACAGCCACACTCTCCAAGTGACCTCAGGTGCCTCAAGGGGAAGAGAGGTAATCACATGCAAAAGCAATTGTTGCATTGCTTGGTAAATCTAATTGAAGCAGTAGTATGTGTTAATTAAGAAATTGGATCATTATTTATTTTGTATCATCTCTTAGTTGTTTTCTTCTTATCCTGTATTTTGTATATGACCTATCTTGCTGTTCCTGTAATTAGCGTTGTCCTCACTCTGGCTATAGTGCAACGGGCATCGCATCAGCCTGTGGTCACTTCCTCACATGAAAACGATATCAGACATCTCTGAAATCTCTGGTATATTTATTAGAATGATCTAAATCTTGTTTACATTTCCACCATTTTGACTTCTTCATGTCCATTCCGCCCGATTATGATTTATTTATCCCAAAAACGTTTTATTGGTAAAACAATTGTTTTGTAGGTTGCCATTTCAGTGACACCGCATTATTATCATGACTCATTATTTTAAGAGCCAATTCCCATTGCTCATCGTCAAATTGTAATGCCACCTATGTGCCATTCTCATGGCCAGATGTAGTTACATTTGTCCTTTTTAAAAAAAATATCCCTTATTGAACGCTCGCAGGAGCAAAATACCTACGGACGTACCTTTAAATTAATGGTTCCTCTCTCCACCAAAAAATAGCCCCCGATCTGCTTCAGCAGATTTGTGGTGGCTTCCGAGACATGAATGTGCAGCGCTGTCAAAACCAAGGGAGAAACCAAGTCAGCTGTTCGTTGGTGCATCATGATAGTACAGGATTCCCTCGTTTTTCACAAACTTGCTGTCTTGGATTTTGGATATTCAAAATCGCATCTGGAACTCTACACATATGTATGTTTAACTTCTTTCGCACTGTATGTAGCCAACCGTGCTAATTGGAGGTGTGAAAGAAGTTCACCGAGAGATACATTCAATGATTAAATCAATTAATGAGAGATAATGTGATGAGATGAAGTGATGAGATATAGTGATGAGCGATAATGTGATGTGAGAAAGTGATGAGATCATTTTCATGTATTTAATAGCTTATTTACGTATTTATTTAAGGTAATTAAGGTAAACGATTGGGTTTCGTAGGCCAATATTATTATCCACGAAATTTGATATTCACAAGCATCTCCGGAACGCAACCCTCGCGAATAACGAGGGAATACTGTGCTATTAAAGTAATCTATGCCTAGAGTTTTATGGATGGCTGCTAGCTACAATAACTAACGATTTTATTGTGAGTTGCTGCTGGCTGTTGCCAACAAAACTAGCTGGTAACTAACTAAACTATATTTTGCGTTTAACAAAGAAACATTTAATTGAAATGGTGAACTAATTTCAGAAGATATATAATAGATAGCGACATTGAAGAGGTGTTGGTAACGAATACAGGAAACTGAGCACGGTTCATTTACAATCGCTCTAACTTTCAAATGTGTGCTCCTATTAATGTAATTCTCTTGCCAGAATATTATTTATATACTAGAGAATCTTTAAAAACTCACAATAGATATTATCTTGAATTTGGTTGTGTAAAAAGCTGATTACTTTGAGTGCTCCGAGTACAGGATTGTGAAAAGAGCATTGAAAATGACAGCTGTTCATTATTTTCCATTGCAGAGCAGCTGGTTCTCGACGAGTTGTTAGAATGTAAAGGTGCATCCCTGCAATTGCTCGCTCACGCCATTGCTAGCAGAAGTAACCTCTGCTTGGAGGAGGCAGCTCTAGTGATCCTCTTCTGGGCAATCAGCTTACTCTTCCACACCAGCAAGATGTCTTTTAAGAGATGGGAGTACCGATAATTTACCCTACCACACGTGCCCTGCATCATTGTTATGCCTTCACTTACAATTATTGGCTTGTAGCCAGCCACATTGCAGCATTTAACCTCTTCAATCCGAGCGTATACTTTACAACACTATTTACAAACACAAGCAATGATTACATGAAGTGTTTTGAATAATTATAATAATAGTTAAAATGTACAGTACTTGATAATACTTGACTTCAAGCTTTCGTGACTGCAGGAATTCATATTATTGGGTCTTTCGGTAAAGTCACGTAGATAGGTTCAAAGAAAATAACAAAAAATAAGTAAAAATTACGACATTTCGATCGCAACACAAGCAATCGTCATCAGGAGTGTTGCGATCGAAACGTCGTAGTTTTTTGTTGTTTTTTTGTTCTTTTCTTTGAACCTATCTACGTGACTTTACCGAAAGACCCAATAATATACTTGATAATACGTGTATGATCCAGTCTAAATTCATACATGATATGTTAGATCCAATGCAATATACTGTATCTTCTCGAACCTTCATACTTTTGCCACTAGTTAAAGTACATCAGTAACGACGAATTGTACACTAACCTAAATGTCTCACTCCCAATTCATCGTTTTGGTACCCCGCAAGCTAAACAGCACTTCAGGTTCACATTGCATGGGGTTTTCGATCACTGCACGGTTAACCCAGCAATTGGACAGTGCCTCCTGCTGGAAGCACTTGCATGGTTACGGCTGTTCTTCAAGCGCGCCACCGAAGCCGATGATGTGCACATGTGCACAGCTGCCGTGGCATCGTCACAGCTGGCACTCGAAGAATAGTATTTATCACATTGCATTGTTCGCAAATGGCTTATTGGTGTCCCCACAGTCAAATTAAATCACTTTGCTCTTCATATGCAAGATGGTGCATGCTTCTCTCGCCTGGCTGTTTCGTGTTGAACTTATTTTGCACCGTACGTAGCCAACCATGCTCATTGGATGTGCGAACCGTGCTAATCGGAGTTGCGATTACATGCGATTCACAAATGAAGACTGGCTCAATAATTGTGGAGACACAAAATAGAGTTAAGGTTTATCAATGCTAAGAAAATGGCTGCCCTGCCCTGATAAAGCACCTCAGTGTTTGATAACAGGAAAGCCCCATAGTCTGAATGACCAAAATGTGTGTTTTTATTTAAGTGCTCAGTTATTATTTTAGCATCCAAAATGCATTATGATGGCACAAACTCAATTTCAGATCATTGTAATCGGATATTTTCTATACGATCTGTTTCAGTGCTAACAACTGCATGACGCACACCTCAGCTCATTTTTGTATTATTACAATTAAATCTGGGACAAATAGTCGATAATTAACTAAATAATTTAATTGGCCACCCTGACGTCCTACCTGCCGACGGTAGAAATCCCCGACAAGCCACATCCAACCTCAAGTGGCTGATTATGCCCATGTCATCGTCCAGTCCATGTCCATCACCTCCCATCCAGGGGCACACGTGGACACAGAGCTGAGACTCCCCCCCCCTCCCCACTATTTTGTGTTATCCGATTAGTCATACTCTTAGTTCTTTCGGTAAAGTCACGTAGGTAAAAAAATGAAATTAAAATTAATAATAAAAATAAAACGTCGTGATTTTTATTGTTTTATTTTTATTTATTTTTATTTCATTTTTTTACCTACGTGACTTTACCGAAATAACTAAGAGTATGAATCCTTGCAGTCACGAAAGCTTCAAACCTTGAATCCGATTAGTCGTTTGATGTATGTTAAATTTCTTTCGCATCGTACGTCACCAACAACAAAACTCAACGCAAAAAGCAGTTAGAAAGAAACTCGCTTTCAATCTAGCTTTGAGAGCGCATAGCTTTGAGTGTCTACCCAGTATGAATGGCGAGAATGAAAGTAAATGGTGACTTCAACAATTAATCAGATATCCCAGCTAATCACAGTGAACCACTTTCCGCTTGCAACGTAGGCGACGCAGTGTCTCCTCGTCCGTCTATCGCCGCGTGAAGGAGGGGGTCGTTGTGGGGGGGGTTGGGTGTGCTCACGGAAGCCGGTGCTCTCCATGCGTGAGGCCACGTTGACGGTGTCACCGAAGAGGCAGTACCTGGGCATGGTGTTCCCCACCACTCCTGCCACCACCGGTCCTGGTGGGGTGGGGGGGGGTATCACAGCACGAAGCTCCCGTGTCTCGCAAACCCACCCTGGTCTCGCGTTCTGCGTCAATCACACATGTGCGTGTACGTGCTGTAATTATGATTTTCTTGGCATTCTCAGTTATATTTGGAAAAATGCAAATTCTGAAATATAGTGAAGTGTGGAAGGGCTTCCACGAGACGGAGCTCAAGAGAGGCCCCCTCGAGAAGCTATTTGAGGGTATACAACGAGACATCTTGGAAGAGGTGGAAGTACCAACACTTTCATCTTGATTTGAAGCTTTCGTGACTGCAGGAATCCATACTCTTTGGTTCTTTCGGTAAAGTCACGTAGGTAGAAAAATAAAATATATATATTTTTAGTTTTATTTTATTTTAAAGTAAAATACATTTTTTTTTATATAAAATAGGTTATTTTTTGTTTTATTTTATTTTTCAACCAACACTTTGCCCCACACTACGCGCAATTTCAACTGTCTCGTACCCGTTAATACTGCTGGGTACACAGAGGTGGGGAGAATTGAAGAGAGACTTTTCGACGGAACTCGCGTTCACTTTAAAAAAAATTGCCAATGATTGGAATCGATCGCCGTTACCGCTGTTGATGCCAATGCGGAGCTTCAGCTGTTCTTGTGGCAGGTGGCGGATGCGAAAGTTCATGATGGAGCTCAAAAAGTGCAGGGACATCGTCGCAATCTCCTCCACGTGGCGCACGCCGTTGCGCACGGGCAGGCCGCTCGCCACCATGTACGCGTCCCCGATGGTCTCCACCTGCGGTGGCACGGCGCGCACTGGAACCGGCGACGTTTAAAGGGATGATTCATTCATAGGCACCCACCCCCACCCCAACTGCTGTATGAAGGCCTCCCCGCACTTGACCAGCAGTGGAGAGTTGTCTAGTAAGTCACCATAGATTCGAAGCTTTCGTGACTGCAGGAATTACTCTTTGGTTCTTTGGGTAAAGTCACGTAGAAAGAAATGTAATTAAATAATAATAATAGAATGCGACGTTTCGATTGCAACACAAGCAAGCATGTTGTGTGTCTCTGTCTCTGTGTGAGTCTCTCTCTCTGCTTGTGTATCTGTCTGTATGTCTCCGTGTCTATGTTTTGTCTCTCAAATTTAGCAATCTTTGGAAGAACGTAATCAACCAGGTGGGGTGTTGACTGTTGTGTTGGCCGACTCTCTGTGTTGTATTGCATTATATTTCCAAGTTTACTATGTTTGTTTTCTCATTCATTTGTACCAGATGATGGTTGATTGTGTTGCAATCGAAACGTCGTATTCTATTATTCTATTATTTCTACGTAACTTTACCGAAATAACCAAAGAGTACTTCACCATGTTGACCAGTGTGTTTGGTGACGATATCACTCACCACTGATATTAACTGCGGATGGGAATCAAACTCGGGTTGCAGGCTTTCTAGAGCAGTGCACTAATCTCTGTGCCACTGTTCCACTCTGGAACATGATTTTGTCAATTCATTCCTGCTACCACAGGAGCTTTTTTTTCGTCACTCAATTGAGATGGAAGGAAATAAGTAATATTTTTTAAAACTTTTTTTTAAACACTCTTTTATAAAATGTAGTAGTAATGGAAGTGGCCCCGAAGCTTGCCATAACGTAAGGGACTGTGGCCAATTACAGCCAACGTCAGTTGACCGTGGACAATTAGACCCAAGCCGAAACATAACATAGAAAAAATCATGTTTAAAATATATTTTTATGATAGAATATAGTATTGTCATCAGTATGACATAAGTATACCAAGTTTGCAGTCGATACCACATTGGGAAGTGGGTTAAAATTGAGTTACAAGATTTGAGGATACCCTCTGTTGCAATAGTGTGTTCTGTTCATGTTGTGGGCTAGTAGCGCAGTTGTTTACAAACTTGTGCTAAGAACCCGGTGGCACTGAGTTGAATTCCTGGCCAATGCTAACACTTCATGGCGAGTGATATCAGAAGCGGTCCGGGGTCTTCCCTAAGTTTACTCGGTCTTAAAATGAGTAACCCGGTGTAGTGTGTAAACATTAGCACTGGGGAGATGAGGGTGGGTGGGCATGGTGCTGGCCATGGCACACCCTCGCGTGCCATCTCAACCTTGACAGTTCCTCTACAGCAGCACGTGCTTTTCACAGTCTGCAAAGCTTATATGGGATATCTTTGTGTGTGTGTCTGTTATAATGATTCCCGGACAATGAAGGAGACCTTGTAGACATCGTATTCCTTGATGATGTCATCGAGGAGGTTGTAGAGGTCGTTGAGCAAGTTGATGACCTCCAGTGGGGTGCTGATGGCGCTCATGGCCGTGAAGCCCACGATGTCGCAGAAGAAGATGGTGACGAGCTCGTACTGCTCGGGCTGCACGGTCTTGCCAGCCTTGAGTTGATCAACGACAATCCTGAACCAAAGATGCGCGCATCCCATTCGTGAGTGTACACTGAGACAAGGGACCAAATTCATGTGGCTATGTTGCCTGTCATCCTGCCACTGCTGGGCAGACAGATGGCATTTTTTGGAAGATAATTGGAACATTGCTGCTCTTTACATTTTTTTTGCGTGGCTTGTTCCGCACCTATTCTCCTTCTACTCGTGTCACAATTGCAAGCATGGCCCTAAGCAAAGGTGCCTACAGTAATTGTAATGTCCAGCCACTCTCGGGGGTTTGAATGTTCCGGGCTCGTGGTCCCAATGACCTTGTAAACATGGCGTGGCATGGGTGCCTTACCCAGGCAGCAGGCTGGACAGCAGGCGGTCCGTCTTCTTCTTCTCACTCTCTAGCTGCGCCGTGCGGTCATCCACGACTTCCTCCAGGTGGTTGGCGTATTTCTCCAGCTTGGACACCATGTTGTCCAGAATGTTCCTGTGTTTGACGCACCGCGTTGTCAAAAAATGAATATTAAAAAAGTGCATCAGGTCATGGTATCTAATTACAAAAATACTTTCACAACTCCCCTTTTAATTAAACCGCCGTGCCGCGTAATTTCCTTCTGCACACTTAATTTTACCACGACTATTTAATAACTGTTAAGATCTAATTTAAAATAAATCAGATATTCCATCTTCATAATGGTTTAGTTTTTTTTCACCTTCAACATTTCTAACATGACACATTACTTTTCTGTGCGCTATTAATTGGGTGTGTGTGCTGATTTAGTACATTTTATATGGAACTGACATATCGCTGTAATCTGGCCAGGATATCGTGAGAAATGGGTTGTGCATCTCAAATGTTAATCCGAGTTAAATACAAATTAATTTGAGAAAGTAATATTCCTATAACCAAACCCCAGCAGATTTTGAAAGCTAAGCAAGGATTTGAGCCAGGATAGTGCCTAGATGGGTGATCACCCTGCACACACAGTTGTTACAGAATGTGGGGTTGTCGCTAGCAGAGCGCAGTGCAGCAAATTCCACTATTTTACTGCACATCGAATCTCCCTCATCTATGCTCCGTGCCTTCTCCAATAGCTCGGTAAAGTATGCACAGTAACCCCCACGATCCGCACTTCTTTAGCACCGTACGTTGCCAACCTTGCTAATCGGAGGTGCGGGGGAAGGACAACAAACTTCACACAAAAATCAGTTCTAAAGAAATTCGTTTTCAATTTAGATTTCAAAGTGCATAGCTAAAGTGGCTTCCTAACGTCAGGCTGAAGAGCGTTCCAGATAGCCACAGAAGCGCATCTGAAAGTGCGCGATGGCAGGGACCGTCTTTGTTCGACGGCTAGCCAGAAGCCGCTGCTGTGAGGATGACCGAGGGTTCGCGTGATGAATTACGCTCCTTGACGAGATCAGCAAGGCACTGCGGTTCATTTTGTGGCGAGCACGTTCGTGTGCGATGAGTGCGGCGTTATAATGTAATCCGTTCGGCAACCGGAAGCCAATGCGAGTAGCGTTGGCAGCAAGAGCAAAAGGGCCGCTGGGGTCGTTCCGCTGGAACGGTGCCGGCACCGACGCACCCTTCAGGGCTCGCCAGGCGCAGCATGCGCGACACGGACGAGAAGTCGGGCCGGCGGTCCGCAGACTCGTCCCAGCACTGCCGGATGAGAGCCTGGATGCGCGGCTCGCAGCGCTCCGTGAGCAGTGGCCGCAGCGGTGGCACGGCGATGCCGTCCCTCACCTGGTCGATGATGTCTGGAGAAGGCACGTGGTTAGCACGTGGCGCGGTGGGCCACTCGCGCGGGGTGGACGGCGAAGCGCGGGCACGTTCATGTCGTTTGCAAAGTCACGCGAGGTCATGTATGCCCTCCGCACGGGGTTTGTGTCGTGCGTAGGGTCAACACTGCGAGATGTCGATGTTCTGGTTCCGATACATCGATGTTGATCCCTTCCGATAGCATTTGGGACATTAATGTTTTGCTTTTCGTGTCCCACCCCTGATGCCGAGCGTGGTTGTAGCATGGTCATGAATCCCATGAAATTACCTAATTGATTCTACCCAACCATGTTTAGGACTACATATTCTTTGGGTCTTTCGGTAAAGTCACGTAGATAGGTTCAAAGAAAATAACCAAAAAATACACAAAAATAGGACGTTTCGATCACAACACAAGCGATGACGATCGTCGTAGTTTTTTGTGTTTGTTTTATTTTCTTTGAACCTATCTACGTGACTTTACCGAAAGACCCAAAGAATATGAATTTCTGCAGTCACGAAAGCTTTAAGTCAAGATTTACAAGTTTAGGACTGTTTTGTCTCATCTGTACCGTATTAAACCACCGCACAGCAGGTAAAAGCACGCCACTGCTTCTTTACTCAGACTCCATGACTTTGGAATTCTCTCCCATTATCTTTTTTCCTCCCTTGCAGGTCCTTACAACCTTGCTCAATTCAAGAAATGCAAGACCTGTTTTTATACCTTCAACAGTGATGTTTGATGCTGATCGCTTGGCCTTTGGGCCTGCGTTCAGCAACCGTGTTTAAAAGAACAGGGAAACAGAGGTAGCATTCGGTAACGGATCAAGCATCATACTGTCAAGTAGATGTGTCAAACGAAAAAAAACGTAGCTGGATGGAATTTTAGAGCATCTTTCAAATCAAGGGATTTTCACCGGTGGGATCCACAATAACTGTGTACTGAGCCCCCCCGCCAATGCTCGGACTAGGACCAGAAGAGAATGAAGAGATGCACACCGCATTCATTCGCCGCGTCCCTCCGTAATTCGCCGTGAACGGTGGTGTGACCGCACCGCCAACGTCACTTCGTCGAGCACCTTTGGGCTCCAGATGAATGCCGACGTAGGGCCCCTCGTCCTCGTGGTAGATCACCTCGCGCATGAGTATGGCGAAGCTGAACACGTCCCCCTTGGGGGTGCCGTTCACCGGCAAGTCCTCCATCCGGAGGAGCTCGGGCGCTGTCCAGTACAGCTCTTTGTGAGGCACAACGACAAGCGGAGGTGGGGGGTTACTCGTACACGGGGGTGTGCGGAGAGAGAAAAACAAAGAGAAAGATCCCCCCCCTCCCCCCGTGTAACCTGTAACAGACTGTTAGCCGAGCACGCGAGGGGGTGGGTGGTCAACACCACGCCCGGCCGCCTTTGTCTCCCTCGTGGCGATGTTTACACACCGCACAAGGTACTCATTTGAGACTGTGTCCGACCTTGGAGAGGTCCATGACTGGTTCACCGAGTTCGTAGCGCAGCGTGCCAATCGTTACACTACCGCTCTACGCGCGCGCACGCACACACACACCATGCTGCAAGCAGTGGGCATGTAGCGTTGCATCAAATCACTGCGTGAAGTTGATTGTTCGTTTTGACGCATGCATAGAATAATGTGTGAGAATCGATTGTTTAACGTGTATGCAAATTGTGCGATAGTGAAATGATAATATCACCGTTTGGCACAAGGCGCGAACAAAACTTCAGGGATGAAACTTAAAAACAGGAGAAACAATGCAAACGTGATGCCAAAGCGAGACAAGAATGTATTATTTAATCGAATCACAAACCGTGGTTGTCAAAAATCATTGGATAGCTGGGAGGTTAAATCATTATATGTCTAATAAGCAATAACACATATTGCATGTCTATGCTGAACCACAGTCATAATGATCATCATTATCGTCGCCATGTGTCATTTTATATTGTGCTAATACACGCAGTCATCTTTGAAAGTATACATGAAGCAGTTTGTATATTAGCATAAAAATGGAGAACAGAAACAAAAATCATGTAAAACACAGCGGCTGGGAAACAGTGATCAGCAATGGGGTTGAGCAGTCCGGCATGCGGACTATGAAAGCAATTTTTTTTTATTGTTGTTGCGTACGTTTTTAAGATAGGTGTGAAGTGTAGTCTCACTGCGATTGCAATTATCTATATATGGCTCCAGGAGCTAACAGCGCTGTACTGTTGTGCCACGTAAAAATAACGTAAATTTAGTAATAGGTTTTTAACCTTTCAACTGGTACAAAAACTGACACCTTTATACAAGGGATCATGTTTGCAATAACCACAACACAAGCAGTCAAAATGCAAACAAAACAAAACAACTCTGATAATGATATGCCTTTTGGCGTCATCTGGTCCAACACCAATGGAGACTAGGCTCTAAGAAAAGCTGTCTCGGGTGTGGACCAATCAACTTCAAGGACAGTGCATGTCATTATCATTATCAGAGTTGTTTCTTTTTGTTTGCATTTTGACTGCTTGTGTTGTGGTTGTTGCAAACATGATCCCTTGTATAAAGGTGTCAGTTTTTGTACCAGTTGAAAGGATAAAAAACCTACTACTATATTTTGCCACTGGTAAAGGAGATGTCTCATAACGTAAATTTACTTCATCAGCCTATGGGGCTTTCCAATCCGATTTAGTATTTATATCACACTACATTATTTATTTAAACAAACTCCAGTGTAAACCTTCAGGGTGCCATCAGCAGAGTCAGCCTTACAAACGCTGCTGGTTTGCCAGATGTTATTTGCAAGTGCACTTCATCTAAACCACAAGGCCCTAGTCAATGCAAACATACTCATGTATAAAAACTCGTTATACAATGGTGTGAAAGCAATAATGATTAATCATAATTTAAAGTTATTTATCAATCTAATATTGGATAAAGGCATCCCAATGCCTTTCAGTCAAGACGGTTGTTTAACCATACTTTAAGATATTGGCAAGTGAGTTTTATGAAGAAAGAGCCCAATCACTGATTTAGTTATCACTTAACCACTTGCGTTAACCATGACCAGGAATCAAATTTAGTTGGCCGGGTATATAGTGCATTGCGCTGAACCCTGTCACTGGGAAATTGTGAGTAACTAAATAAAAAGTAGTTTGCTGTTCCATGCCTGCAACCTAAACATAACATATTTGCAATGCATCAGTATTATATGCTTTCCAGACATTATCTTGAAAGCACCCTTAACATGTCGGTACCATGAACTCGAGGTAGACAAGTCAACTTTGCTACTGGAGACCTGATTAACGACAGGGCCATCTCCACACACGATTGCATGTGAGCCCCCTCGGGCGCTATGAACTTGGCGGTATGCTGTGTGACAATTCATGAGACTACACCACACACCTGGCTGAAATGGAAGATCCCCCACCTTCTTGCTTATTGATGTCCAGGGTCTTCCCCTTCTTCCCGTAGCGGAATTCCCAGATGCCGAAGCCGGTGAGCTTGATCTGCAGGCGGCTGTCCAGCAGGCAGGTGGACGGCTTGAGGTTCCCGTGGGATTTTATGGGACTCTTGTGCAGGAATATCATGCCCTGAGAACACGTTAACAGGTATGCTTCCCACATCAAACGAAATACAATATCGGTAGACTCCACAAGACATCGTGATTATGTATCGAAAGATTTCTTCATAGGACTCGTGAGGAATTAAAGTAAAATGTCAAGATTTTCATCGGTATGCTGATTATTGCTTTGGAAATGTATCAGTGTCCCTAATTATGTCTGTAAAAAAATGGTGAACTTCAAAACATTTTGATAACAGAATATTACATGTCATTAAAAAGTGTAAAGACTTACACTCATTATTATTATTCTGCTGTTGGTAACAAAACCATCCAGGGCACTCACACCTCTGTGTGATGAAATAATAAAAAGTGACCTTCAAAATAAAATGTTGCAAAATAAAATAATAATAAAATAAACCTCATGCATTGTTGGTAATAATTTATCAAATAATTATATCATGGGCTTCATGACCATTGGAAACGTAATGCCTACTTAGAGTTATGTTGGCAGAAACTACTTTTTGGCCAATACAGTATGCCAAAAAATGCCAACCCACCAAAAATCGTAAGAATAAAAGTACCAATTTAATTTCCTCCAAATTATTTTTCTCAAAAGCCATTCTTGCAACATGTGCATTAAGCCCGAAGTGATAATTGGTTCTTTACCCTTCTATCTGGCAACAAAATGACACCTTTTTACAAGGAGTCATGTTTGCATAGACCGCAATACCTGCAGTCATAATACAAACAAAAGAACATAACTCTGATAATGTGCACTGTCCAAGGACATTATCAGAGTTATGTTCTTTTGTTTGTATTATGACTGCAGGTATTGCGGTCTATGCAAACATGACTCCTTGTAAAAAGGTGTCAGTTTTGTTGCCAGATAGAAGGGTAAAGAACCAATTATCATATTTTTACTGGCAAATGAGGTTCCCATAGTAAGCCCGAAGTGTTTACTGATGAAATATGAATCATAAACTATTTTATTCTCAGCTTGCCTTGTCTGCATTTCCTGACAGGTCCACTTCCACCGCTGAGATGTAATAGAAACAACAACCGACATCGGCCACAATCCACTCTGCCTCAGGTCAGCATTCACTGGAGCTGGGTCGAAATTTGGCTGAGGAGTTGGAAGCATTAATTCTGACACCTCTGCTGGAGAAAAATGAGCTGAAAGAGTAGAAATATATTTCACAAATTTGGCAAAACTTGCAATACTAAACTAAACTATTTTTTTTTATTTTATCGAGTAAGGCCCACTGATCTATATAGCTATATTTCAGAAGTGACCTGGCCACAAATGATAGCTCAACGAAGTGGCTTATCATGTGGAAATGTATTGCAGCAAAATTATCTAAATGTAGAGGGAAAAACCGGAGTACCTGGAGAAAAATATACACAACCACAGGGAGAGAGAACGTTCAAACTCTCAAATATAGAGGCGTCAGGGTCCGGATCGAACCCACAACGTCCTACATATCAAGTGAGGCAATTAACATCTCGCCACTGCACTTCCGATTAGCATGGTTGACTACGTACGGTGCGAAAGAAGTTCAACATACATACGTATCTGTAGATAACTGGCATGTAATGTGGCCATGTTACTTAGGAGGCGTAGCAACGTTTGCCCCGCCCCTCCTGAAATGATGTCTCTTACGGTTGTTCCAATGTTGTTGATAATTAAAGAGTTGTGCTGTTACGACGTCATCCTGAGTGTGATAACCTTTGGCTATACAAGTGGGCGAGGTTTGTGGAATAATGAAATAGACTGCAGATCTGGCGTGGAGCAACAGCCCTGTTCCTAGGTCACTACTCGATAGAATTCAGCGTGAGCAGTCGGGTTCATTGACGATTCAGCACTCACTGGAGTCGTCACTGCCTCATTGGTGATCTCCTTTCAATCGCTACTACTACCGTGTTTACTATTCCCATGAGTTTCGATTTAAAGCTTTCGTGACTGCAGGGATTCATGTTCTTGGTTCTTTCGGTAAAGTCACGTAGAAGGAAAGTAATAAAATAATAAAAACAAAACATAATAAAATAATTCTCCTCAGGACGGCTGCTTGCGTTGTGGCCGAAACGTCGTGAGAATTATTTTATTATGTTTTGTTTTTATTATTTTATTACTTCCCTTCTACGTGACTTTACCGAAAGAACCAAGAAGATATTCCCATGAGCTTCATTCATCCATTTCTCCACCCGTGTTGATCCATTTTACCAAACCTACCGTTTTAAGTTGACATTTCCACGTCAGCTCACAACATTCACTTGTAAATACATTCACAAGTATCGTGCATGGCCATTCGAAATTGTGACGTGAAGTTCAGAGCTCGCTGGATACTTACATTGACGATATCGTGTGCAAAAGACGTCTTGAACATCCAGTCCAGCTCAAAGTCAGAAGTCTTCAACACATCCTGAACGTGAAAGAAAAAATATATGATGCAAGTATAATGACAGATAATTAGATAATTGTAAAAGTGTGTACTGAACTTATATCTTAACTGGGCTCTGTATTCACCGACCCGCATTGACCAGAAGTATGGTCAAGCAAGTTCCTTGAACTTCAGCCAGAAGTGGATTGACGAAGTCGAAAATATTAATTTCAAAAGTCGATGCTCAAAGCTCAATATGTTATGAAGATTGAGCTGACAATGTGGGAACAGAGGCCTTGTCTCCACCTCGTAAGTGCTAGGTTTGTAGGCTTGTATCCAAAAATGCGCCATGACGTTTTAGATATGCAGTGCTTGACCCTGTGTGTTTTCCATAGTATCCAGCGGCAGATGCAGCTCATGAAGAACAGGTGAATGTTTGTTACACATCGCTGTAAATTACCTCCATTCACAACACCTGGCTTGAGAAATATGACCACAGTCATCAACACTGTTTATGCACATGACACTCGAATAATGTCGCGCTATAATTCCCTTCCAAAAGCAATTTATGCTCGCCACATCCTTGTGAAGTGTATAATTTCACAGGAAATTATGCTCGGCTAATTTACTTTCGTGGGGAAAGCAGTGGCTTAGTGGTTTGCGCACTCTCCTATAGATGCAGCAACCTCAGTTGTATCCTGCACCACAGCTAAAATAAGTGGGGAGTGATATAAGAATGGGTCCTGGGTTCTTCCTTCACTAAAATGCCCTGATCAATGTGGTGATGTACGTTCAAACGATAACATGACTCAGACAGCATAGGGAGGCCTTCTTCCATAAGTGTATTGACAGAGGGCTGTAATATTTATAATTTATTTTATAGTATATAACTGAGATTTCTCAGTAATATTTACAACAGCCAGTGCTGGTGCCAGACACGTGTAGTTTTTATTACATTCTGCACAATATAAAATACTATTTTAGGATGTTATATTGATTCTTGTTATCATTGTGCGCATTTGTGTAAAACTTTGAGAGATGCCAGAAACAGTATTACTCTCCCAAAATGTAAAGGAACATTTTACATTACGAACGCAATAACATTATGCAATAATACAAACAAGAAATAACCGCATGTAAGGTGCGTACAGACTATGGGCATGACTTTGTGCTAAATAAAGAATGACAAATAGTAATAGTTGACCTTCAAGCTCCCTTTGCGACAGTACTGCGTCACGATGCACACGTTGGGCAACTCCACGCAGACACCGAAGAAGATCACCAAGTTCTCGTGCAGCATTTCTCGCATCTATAGCGCAGAGCGGTCGGTCATGGAAAACATCTCCCGATCAACTCGTGTTTGTTTATTTTTGGCAATAACAAAATATTGAAATATCCCACATCGCAGTGGTTAGCGCACTGCGCTATGAACCCGGCGACCTGATTTCGATTCCTGGCGGCGGCTATAATTAGAGGCGGGTGATATCTGATATAGGCCTCGGTTTTTCTCTTCACCAACCTGCACCGACTAGTGCGGTGAAGTATGATCAGGCAACTCCAATCACCAACCGGGATGCAGACGCCGTCATGCGACAGTTGAAAGGGCTGTACATTTTTACAACGAGTTCAAATTAATTTGTCACTAACAGCATTTACTGGAGTAATTTATGTCATAAAGAGTCAAGTAAGAGCTCATACTGGCGAGAAGGAACCGGAGACCTCTGGTATTGATAAGTATTGTGACCTATCAACTTTTGACCCAGATAAAAAAAAATCCTGACCAAAACAAAATAGCGATTTAAAGCTTTCGTGACTGCGGGAATTGATATTCTTGGTTCTTTCGGTAAAGTCACGTAGAAGGGAAATAATAAAAGAATAAAACAATAAAATACAATACCATACAGTATTTATTATTTCCCTTCTACGTGACTTTACCGAAAGAACCAAGAATACAAAACAAAATAGATCGTCAAAAATAACTAAATAAAAAATTAACCCGTAAAAACAAAGTTTTTCACTATAAATCCTTTATATGCGTGGCGGCTAGAGTCCTCTCGTCCTCTGGCTTGAGATGGCTGCCACCTATGCGTCAGATGATTGCCTGCCACCATTAAGCAATTGGTAATTAAACATAATTTATTTTTTCCTAAAAAGTGTAACATTTTTTAGAAAAAAAATTCACGAAAATAAATTGTCACGCACAACGAGTCTGTGTGCAAAATGTCAGCTCGATTGGATCACGGGAAGTGGGTTAAAAAACGACCGAAAGATTTGCACGGTCGTAAGCGCGCAAGCAAGTGAACTTAATATAAAGGATTTAAAAATAGATTGTTATTATACCACCACTAGAAGGAGGGCAGCATGAATGTTTACTGCTTCCATATCCAATATAGGCTGATCCCCCATAGTGGGGGGTGAAGCGAAGCAAGGCGTATGATCACTCATGTGGCGCAGTCTCATTAAATACTGTATGGTATTGTAGTTTAGAAAAATACATAAATATATTATCAACCCCTGTGGAGTTTGGACGAGTACCAGCTTGCACGCTAAAATAGGCAACCATTGCAGGGCAGTGATGTCTGTTGGTGTTCCTGATTATGTGATATATTTGCCAAATTGCAAATGTTAGGATCAGTCCATGGCTCGAACTTTGACCCGAGAGGAATAATGATCGTTTGTATGGGTCGTGGTGCATGGGGAGGATACAATCTGCAGCTCCTTCAGCATGGACTTGCTCTTGAGGTCGGGTGGATGAGTTCTCTCAAGGAACTTCAGGGCCACCTGGTTCCCCTGCACACCACATATTCTCCTCCAGTTAGGACACAACTCATGGCCGGGGTTTTTTTCGGTGTGCAATGTTTATTTCCGTATTGTTGCAAAATCTGAATTTTCACTGAATATAAATCAACGTTAACAGTGACCCGCACAAGTCTGATAACAAGCTTGTAAAACATAAAATCGGGACCACAAATTACAACACATAATCATATCTTAAAATTGTGGGGGGCGGGGGGGGATACGGACTTCTAACATTACTCTTAGCAGTGCTCAAGTTCAATTTCATTTATTAGGTATAGCCCTGTGAGCCATTCGGCTCTTGAATCGGGTGCAACCGCAACAAACAAAAAAATTAAAACATGAACAAGAAAACATCTTAAAGTGACTAAGTGCAAACAGAAAATCCAAGAAAAGACAGCAAAATATTGCAGAAAAAGCACCGTACACCAACACTAATGATATAGAACATAGAAAAATAGACAACACTAACAAGACATTTAAAAGAACAACAACATCGATTCTTAAATTAAATTATGACCACAAATTGTGACAATCCATTACATTTCTGTTGGCAGTGCCATTACGGTTGACGTATGAGTCCACGTATGCTTGGCCTATTGCGGTGTGACATATGTTTACTGGCCTGGTAGATGCCGATGGGAATCTCCACCCTGTCCGTGCCGTGAACATCGTGGTGAACGTTGCTCTGGTTTCCAGAGACCTGCTTGCCGGAAGACCTGTAGCTCCCGTTGACCAGGGGAACCTGCAAAGACTCCGATTCCACGATGTCTTGCTGAACAGCGAGCGTGTGTGGTCACCGAAAGGAAGAGCACAGTGAGTTTGCTTAAAACGGGTAGAATACATTGTTCCTGATCAGCAACCACGTAAGTGAATTTCATGGGTTAAGCAATCGTTCATATTGAAATTAACGAGTGCAAGCTGCTATGAAAATGCCGATTCCTAAATCACCCAGAAAGCGCCAGATCATGCCAGATCTCAAGATTTAAGCTGGGATTAAGCCTGGAAAGTACATTTAGATGTAGTGTGCATCCCTTTTTTGTCAATCCACCGTTGGACTAAATCCCCCATGCATTTCAGTCATTGGGTTGTTTGACCATACTTTACCATACCAATCAGTGGGGATTGGTAATAGTGGGAGGGGGGCTGGGCGAGAGACAGATTAAGATATCACTCGCCACTGATGTGACCAGAGATCAAGCGCAAATTTGAGGATTCACAGCGCAATGCGTGAACCACTACATCGCCACTCCACCCGAATTTGTACGGTGGCGTTCAATACAATCCTGGCATGTCTCTGACACGAACAAGCTGCTGTGGTGGTTATCTCAACCTTGCTTGTGCTGACCAAAGTGATGTCTTCGAAGTTGATCTTCCACCAGGTGGTGTCCATGCTCTCCTGGAGGCTGCGGCTCTGCACCACCAGGTAGGTCAGGAAGGCCACGGTACCGATGACGATCAGAGACAGGATGCTGCCGACAAGCACCAGCGCCAGGTCTGGCTCGCCCGACAGGAAAGCAGAGGGCGCACAATCACGTGACAGCGCTAGTAAGCAGCCCGTCTGCACTTTAAACACACGAAAGGATGCTTCACTCGACGCTGAATCCCTTAGGAGAAAAAGCTGAATGCTCTGTGGTTTGTGTACTGCTAGAAGCAGGTATTTGTCTGAATTTTGTTGGGTGCCCCCGTGATTAGCGCACAAATGTGGAAAATCAATAGTTGTTCTATGGGTATATTAATTGTCACAATACTGTGGAATTTATGCCACTGGTTCAGGCTTGTAATGAGAAAATGAGCGCCACCCCTCGCTTATTTGAGCAGGAAACCACTTTGGCGTGTTTTTTTAAAACTCCTCTGTCATTCTCTGTGCTACAAATATGATATGTCTTGGAAATCACCGAAAACCCTAGGACTATATTTATAACCCACACCAAGTATGCATAATAGAGGTGATTGAATGATGAATGTTTTGTGAACAAATCACCCGGAATGCACCCACTGCCATCAGTCCTCGGAAACTAGGCAGTGTTGTGCCTGGAATGTGCTTGGATGGGTGACCACTACGCATGACATGGGTATAATAGGCATGAGAGGGCAGTGCACAAAAAAGTCGCTGTTCTGTATTTCCCCTCCTTCAACTTTGAATGACCGGTGTGATGAAGTATGTGAAATAGCCCTCATCAAGCAGTGGATTGACAAATGGGCAGCACACGTGCGTGTATGATGTTTCATTTTCAGTTTCCAATTGAAGTGCATTAGCCAAGCATGGGCAGACATTAAAACACGGCGCACACAGGGCACTCTCTCCAAATTGGACGCACATCTAACCTCTCCTGCACACCTGTCAGCCCGAAAGAAAAAAGTGAAGCAAGATCAAAGACGTAACCGATCACAAGTGAAACCATTGTTTTTTGGTGCCAGTGACTGCCGGTGCCAGCGCTGAAGAGGTCGGCTTTGTTGGTGGGTGACGTGACAATGACGACGTACTGATTGGTGCCTCCTGGCATAGCTCCCCTGTGAAGCCACACTCTGGCATGTCGGAAGGGGGCCGACCATCTGGCCAACCCATCTTCTGGTATTCCGGGGTAAAGCTGAAAGGGAATGACACGCTGATTGTCATATAAATGCCCTGGAAGTCCCGTAGTTATATCAGTCTGCTTGAAACTATGTTTTTTTTTTAAACTTCTTTTTTATTAAATTCGCTTGCTTGCTTACGACCGTGCAAATCTTTAGGTCGTTTTTTAACCCACTTCCCGTGATCCCATCGAGCTGACATTTTCCACACAGACTCGTTGTGCATGACAATTAATGTTCGTGAAAAAACTTTTCCAAAATTGTACACTTTTTAGGACAAAAATATTATATCTAATTACCAATTGCTTAATGGTGCATGCAATCATCTGACCCATAGGTGGCAGCCATCTCAAGCCAGAGGACGAGATGACTCTAGCCGCCACGCATATAAAGGATTTATAGTGAAAAACTTTGTTTTTACGGGTTATACTTGTTACTTCTCAATTTACAATATATGCAATGCTACGTCTTTATTATATATGCAGGAAACTGCATATCAACATATGCATTTGTTCCGTACAATTTCTCCTACTTACTAAGTAACTTTATTTTCTATAATGAGCTTTAAAAATGTATGATGATATATCTGCCTTGTTTATATACGTACAAAAATAGAAAATAAAATTATCGAGAAGAATAATTTCTATATGTATTACGTGTTACAGGCTCTAACTGTGGAAAAGTTACTCTGAACATGGACATTGCCGAAACATTAGACCATTGTATAATTTGTAGTTATAGTAAGACAAACTTCATTACATTAATTGCATTGTAGTGCTTGTTACTGTAAGTGCTTCGGTATTGTTTAAGAATATTTTTCATAGGTCTAAATATTCTTAAAGCCATATTTTAACTTAATGTTTGACTTATTAACGTTGACCATTATGAATGTGGCTCTCAATAATCAAGTAAAATCTTCTGCATTTATCTCAGTAAATTCCACAGCACATTCGTCTATATGGTGATAACTTTCAGTCTTCAGTGATTTATGATTAAACATTTTACCTACGGTATGAATTTTCACACTGAATAATTGACATGACCTTATCTGCAATTCACATCACACAAAGGTAGTGTGTACAATAGGTCCATTAAATATTTGTCAATGACAGTGCCCTCAAGAGAAAGATATAAATGGCAACAATACAGGCAGAGTAGAGAGAAGGACGACAATTGCCTAAAATATCAACTATTATGTATTTATTGCGTATTCTTAGGTGTTTTCGGTAAAGTCACGTAGGTAAAACATCAAAATTAATAAAAAATAATAAAATAAAATAAAGATCACGACGTTTCGGAGGCAACACAAGTCTCCGTCATCAGGTGGGACAGTCACAGCCAGATCAGCTGTATCAAGTGAGGCAATGATTCAAGATGTAATCCCTTAAAAGCGAGTTGAGGGGGGAGGAGAGGGGGGGGGGCTCATCAGAATGTGGTAGCCAATGAATGGAAAGTATCGGGAGAGAGGGGCCAAAAAATATTTTCCATACTTTCCATTCATTGGCTACCACATTCTGATGAGCCCCCCCTCTCTCCTCCCCCCTCAACTCGCTTTTAAGGAATTACATCTTGAATCATTGCCTCACTTGATGCAGCTGATCTGGCTGTGACTGTCCCACCTGATGACGGAGACTTGTGTTGCCTCCGAAACGTCGTGATCTTTATTTTATTTTATTATTTTTATTAATTTTGATGTTTTACCTACGTGACTTTACCGAAAACACCTAAGAATATGATTCCTTGCAGTCACGAAAGCTTCAAGTCTAGAATTATGTATTGCGTCTTTCCATAAGTATTATTGTGCACCACTGCCAATGCAGTATCGTCATTTTTTGTTCGATTAACTCATCTATTGAAAGGAAAATGCTGTAGAACCTGAGGGCCTTCTGGAAGGTGTCGAACACCATCACGGGCAGGAACTGGCTGGCATTCCCCTTCTTCTGCAGGTCAAAGACGGCGTAATCCAGGAAGCGCTCTCCGTTCACATCAATACTCACCTGCCCCGATGCACCTGACAACAAAATGTGTACAGCACAGTTTAAAAACCTAGGGATGAACTTATTCAGGGTCTCGTTAAAATGCAACATTCAATTTTTTTTATAAACATGTAGCAGTCTCTAGTAAGAATGAGGGATCATGCAAACTTATTACGTATGACATATAAATCTAAAGAAAACGTTATTACTGACAAATGCATCATTACACCTCTATTAATAACTAATGTACTCGGCGATGCCACTATCACCACGATTGTGCCTTTGAAAATGAAACTAATGTGGCTGATAATTGTGCCATCAGAGGTATAGTTAATTGTTTGACCAGAGCTTTCATGCCCAAATCATAATCACCCGTGTCTAAGCACAGTCTAACTCTTTGGCATGTTGTTTAACCATTCAGTCGACACATCCTCTGGTTATCCCACAGGTGCTATGCATTACGGTAGGGCCAATTCCGATTTGCACGGACGCTCACCATAGAACTTGATCTTGTTTGAGCCCCTGATGGTCCTTATGACCGCCCGTCCATCGCGGGGGTTGCCGCCCTGTCTCAGGAGCTCGCGTACGGCCATGGCGTACAGGATGCCCGCATCGTGCAGGTATGCAGCGTAAGGGCTCACCTGCAAGCAGTGTCACAAGTAATACACCGCAATGCAATGAAAACAACAAAATGTTCGTTCGTTAGTAGAAGCTGCCTTTGCAATGCAAGGTCTAGCCACATGGGGCGAGGTCACCTTTGGTGTTGCCACGGTGCTGAGACGTTAAATACCTCGCTTGGTATGCAGAAGGTCGTGAGTTCGATCCCGATCCTGACGCATGTATATTTGGAGTTTGCATGTTCTCTACCCGTGGTTGTGTGAATTTATCTCCGGTTTTTCCCTCCACATTTAGAAAAATACGTTTAGAGTATTCGGCTACTATACATATCCACATGATAAACCGCTTCGTTGAGCTATCATTTGTGGTTATATCTTAGTGGGCCTTACCTGGTAGAATAAAAAAGCTCAGTTTTATATAACTGCGTGTGCTTTCTTAATTGAGCTGTATAGCTCTCCCGATATGTTTTCGAGTTAGACTGTGTGTTCGGTATTATGTCCGTCGTGGAGCGAAATTGACCCTGATTAACAAAATTCAGCTCCCGAAGAAACCGGCAGCACTTGGAGCGAAGCAGCAGACATCATGCCAAACGACACGTGGTGAAACCTGAATATGTATCAGAAAGCCGATGAACAAGTTCATTTATCCACCATTACTCCCGTCCTTCAAACAGTAAATTGATATGGTCACTGAAATAACTGAGCTTTATTTGAGCAAGCTACAAACTCTGCCTCAGGGTTCGCAGTCTCAGGCGACAAGTACAGGTGGATTCGTTATATTTGCAGCGCGAAGACAATTTGTGATGACCTGCCAATGGTGAGCTCCCACCAGAGTAGCTCTCCAGAGAATCTGCCTGGACTTCATGCATGAATCTGGTGGAGAACACACTCGTGTTGAAACTACAGTGTTTGCTTCCAGCTACATGCACTCAATTAATCCATCTGCACGAGGCACCTGGAAATGGAAAACCCAAGGCGCGGCTGCTTCCTAACGCAATCACTGGTGGAAGGGCCTCCGCTAAAGGAGACTTTAGAAAGAGAGCCCCGTGAGAGGGTTACTATATTTTGTCCTACTCTTCCATGCTGTTCAGTCGTCTTGAAGAGTTGAGAGGTGGCAGTATGAAAGAATCCATAATAGAGGTTTTTGGGTTAGATCGCGTAAATATATAAATGTATCGTTAAAACCCGCCACCATCCGACACAGCCAACTAGTAAGGGTTGTCACGTTTCTGTTTACGTGACAACCCTTACTAGTTGGCTGTGTCGGGTGGTGGCGGGTTTTAACGACACATATATTTACACGATCTAACCCAAACACCTCTATTATGGATGATATTGGTCGCGAAAGCCTACGTGTTAAGTATGAAAGAACATTGCCCATAGCTTCAAATGCCACGTCAGGAGATTGGATCAGTCGCATATTCATCATCAACAGCAAAATCCAATGCTCACGGACCTCTTTGTAGCTGGAGAGATTGCTGTGGAAGGGCGGCCCGGCCAGACGGCGGCGCACCTCCTGCAGGAACACGTCGTAGTCGTAGGTCCCGTACGCCTTGATGGCAAACAGCAGCACCGGCTCCAGCGCCCGTAGGGCCATGGAGTCCAGGCCTTCAGCCACCACAGACTTCCAGAAGCTATCCTGCCCGAGGGACGGCACCGGTTATCAAGGGCACTTTGAGCTCTGTTCATAGTAAAGGTTTTTTTTTTTTGGGGGGGGGGGGGGGGGGGGTATATCACGTAGAAATAAATGTGTCGTTAAACCCGCCACCACTCGACACAGCCGATTAGTAAAGTTTGTCACGTAAACAAAACCTGACAATTAGTTGCTACTTCAGCACACCGCTGTGTTGGAGAGTAAACCAAGGCCGTAATTATAAAATATATTGGGGGAGACACATCCTCCCCCAATATTCAAATATGCTCAAAATGTCCCCCCCAATATATTGCTATCAAATAGATTTCTGTTTATATAATTGTGGTTATGTTTGTACTTTATTTATCCCGAATCTCTGCCATTACATACAATGAAACAAGAAAAGGTAAAAAAGAAAAAACAGAGCAATGTAATACAAGACACTGTTAGACATTATTGTAAAAAAGTAAATAAAAAGTCCATCATATGTGTTAGTGATTTTTTTATATTTTAGGCAGGAAATGAGTTTTCAGATTTGGATTTTTTTTTCTGGGGGGGACCCCCAAACCCCCTGTAAGATTTGGTCTCCCCCAATGTTGACTCCATGGCTACGGCCTTGGAGCAAACCCACGACATCTACAATTTGAGTACACCTGTGTGCTCAAGTGGTAACTAATTGACACGTTTTGTTGACGTGACAATTTTTACCAATCGGCTGTGTTGGGTGGTGGTACGTTAACGACACATTTCTATTGACGCGATCTAACCCAAATTTGTTTTATTATGAATAATATCAGGCGTGAAAGCCTACGCGTTAGATTGAGCTCTGTTGTTTGGAGTGTCCTGGATGGTGAAAACACTGCAAATTCACAGCTGGGCGTCAGCAGAGCTACTATTGCGTTTGTTTTTTGTTTGTGGTTGTGCTATGCAACTCTCTCCGATGTGTTGTCGTGGTGTGCCGCGTGCAGCTATTTCTTCAGTAACTGAATAGGAAGCTCCCGGCACGTGGAGCTGAAAGTCAAACATCACGCTGAACAACCCTGGGCAGCAACCTAAAAACACATTGGAAAGCTGATCAAGTAGTTGACTACTCCACTCTTCACGGTTCACTCTCACCTCAGTGTGCGTTGCACTTTCAATGCATTTATTTTTTTATTAACTCGTAGATCTACTGAAACCATGTTGATGGAACGTTATAGGTTGACGTGGAATTCAGGAGACCTGGCGTGGATTGTGAGGACTGGAGTAGACACTAACTTTGGTAGCCGAGAGTCCGACAAAAAATAACAGCAAACATGCTGTAAAGGAAACTATAAATACATGCATGTCTGAAAAGTCATGTCTCTATTCTGCAATAAAGAGCACAGCACGCTGGTCCAGGTCATAAATACAGACTCTGTCTGTCTACTATGTGATGCATCCTTCCAATGTGAAATGGAAGAGCAACACGATGGCGAGATGTGAACTACCTTGCCTGGTAAGCAGGAGGCCATGGGTTCGATCCCGACCTTGACGCCTGTATGTTTTTAGTTTGCATGTTCTCCCCGCAGTCGTGTGGACTTTTCTCCGGGTCCTCCGGCTTTTCCCTCCACATCTAGAAACATGCATTTTGAGTATTTGGCTACTAAAAATGTCCACGTGATAAGCCACCACGTTAAGCTACCATTTGTGACCAGGTTGCTTCTGAAAAAGAGCTATATAGCTCAGTGGGACTTACCTGGTAAAATATTAAAAAGTAGTTTATTGTTGTCATAGTAAATGTGACAGTACAACATGAACGAATAGTACGTGGCTGCCACTGGCTCGCTCACCTCAAATTGCTGCACAACGAGGAAGACAAACTTTCCCGTGGTGAGGCCAAGGGCCTGGGCCTCCAGAAGGATCTCCCGTGCCTCATCCGAGCCACACATCAGGATCACGACTGCAGGGTGCACCACACAGCAGCTTATTAGTGTGATAACTAAGTGTGCCCAATGAGGATGGTTTGTGATGCCATGTGGTGATACTAGCCTGTGTGTTTTAGGTCATATATGAAACGTTTGCAGAGTGGTCGAGAAGTTAGTGGTATTTTGGATCCTTAATTTCCGTGTGCTAAACGCAAATGTATGTTAATTTTGCGGAGATGTTGTTTTGAAAAATTAAACATGGTAGAATACCGAGTAGAACGATGTGTTAAATCCTGTTATCAAAACATTTATCCACGTTTATACTTTATACTATACTTTGCGCAAATACAGAATATGTTTTATATCCCCACACCTCCAATTAGCACGGTTCGCTATTGCGGTGTGAAAGAAGTTCAACATTCATACATAATTATATACATTATATTATGTAAAAACTGCGATTCATGCCTCAGTCCCTTATTCACATTTATTTCAAGTAAATATCTGCTATCACAGTGATGTTATTTTTCATTTTCATGGATATAGATTTTTTTTCATATATTTGTGCATTCAGCTTAAGCTTTTCGGGTTATTTTTTTTTAAATACAACCGTTGCAAAAATGTTGCCAACCAAGGTGCCATTCAACCTCATCCTGGGCTGTGGTTTGGGCAGTGATGACTGGCGGCGGGCAGGCTCGCTCACTCACTCCTGGCCTTCCTCGAGACCTCCTGCAGGTTCTGGCGGTGAAGGCGCAGGTTGGACGTGTCGTACTTGATGCGCGCCGTGATGGTGACGGAGCGAGCCAACTCCCGCTCCACGCTCGCCCACAGCTCGTCAATGTTGGCCCACGTGCTGTTCTGAGCCGTGCCACCCAGCATCGCGGCTCGCGTCCACCCAAAGTGGCGCATGGTGGCCTCCAGCATCTGACCCATGCGCTGCAGCGGTGACATGATGCGGACGTACGTGTCGTACACGGTGGTGCGGTCCATGCGCTGGGTCTGGCCCACGAAGCCCAGCATGGGCACGTTCCACTGAGCGGCCAAGAGGCCAGTCACCTGCATGCGCAGAGTAAACCGGTAAGCAATATACCATGCTCGATTCACGCTTGTATCTACTCTCCAGTACATGCTGTGTATTCCTGTAACATGGTTGTAGATTTAGCGTCATGTAGATTTCATTTGTACTTATGTTTTCAAATCAAATTTTATGATAACATGACCTGCAGTATGCATGAGACCTGCAACATGCAATTTCAGTAATGAGATCGTTAACTTACAAAACCTATGGGAAATACACATGACAAATACATAGCATATACGCATTCAACCACCAGTAATGTTTAAGTTTGAAAAATAATAATAATTGGTGCCTCACTTGGAAACATGAACAACTCCATGTGTCAGTTCTAGATTTGAAGCTTTCGTGACTGCAAGGATTCATACTCTTAGTTCTTTCGGTAAAGTCACGTAGGTAAAAAATTAAATTAATAAAAATAAAACAATAAAAAGCACGACGTTTCGGAGACTTGTGTTGCCTCCGAAACGTCGTGATTTTTATTGTTTTATTTTTATTAATTTCATTTTTTACCTACGTGACTTTACCGAAAGAACTAAGAGTATGAATCCATGTGCAAGTGTTGCAGATCTCACCTCGGACGCTTCGGCACAGACGGGTCCCAGGAGCGCGATGATGCCCTGGTCGCGTACCTGCTTTATGAAGGAGTCGAGGGACACCTTGGGATCGCACGCGCAGTCGGCGTACGTGAACGCGAACGTGTGATTGGGCAGGAAGGTGGGGTTGGCGTTGAGGGCGTCGAGGGCAATCTGCAACCCTGCGCCGAGCCGCAGGGCACTGAATGGGTTCGAGAGAGACTGAGGGGCCTGCAGGCCCATGAGGAATCGCTCAGCCAGAGCTCCGAGGCCACCGATCAATAGCATGGTCAGGATTCTCACCCGAGTGGTGGCCATCCCCATGCAGCTATAACTCTGCCTGGATGCTGCACGCGAAGAGACTTGTTTTAAAAGCCTTAACAATTTGCAGTGGTTCACTCACTTCGAGTACATACTGCTGTATATTGCGAAGTTAAGAATAAAGAGGGTATTTGAGATTGTTATTTCTTGTAAACAGTTCAACTGCTGTTTCACAAATTCAATCAACAGCTAATAAAGCAATAGCCCTTGAAAAGTAAGCCTTGGATTAATGCAAACATTCCATCGTATCCATTAGCTTGCAATGACTGGCGTATGACTAAGAAAACAATAAAAGTGGAACTGTCAATTATTTTCACAAAGCAATCCCGACTTTTTTTTCAGAATGGTATAAATTCAGAAAAAAAACAGACAGCAGAGCTACCCATGACATCCGCTTCAGATTAACTGCAGAGGTGAATGTTGCAACGAGACAAGGTTACCTAGGCGCTTGTCACCTCCCGACTGAGGGCGGCACTTTTATACCCAAAATCTGTACTGATAGCGGGTGGCCAGTTCGCCACGGGTGCCGAGGGTGGCATTATGCACATCCCAGATGCACGCGGGAACAGAAGCTGTGTTCTATTGCGCCATCCCTGCGAGAGACAATTGGTGATGATATTTTTTCCACTCCACCCAGGGATGCTGTAATTGGTGTGCACTAGCTAGGGATCACACCTCAGCCTGGTGACTTTCCTCTCACACCCGGCTCAGTAATATCAACACTGCAATGATAACGTTGAATGTCATGTATGTAACACATAACTGTGGAAGGTGGCTCTCAAGTCCATACAGTTAATGAAATGCGTGGGGGGGGTGGTGGGGGGGGGGCATATAAGAAGTGAAATTAAATATATATTTAACAATTCCTGAGAAAAGTTTAAAACATCTTTTTTTCAAACTACACTCGCCTCAGCACGACAAAAATATTAAACGAATTTCCAATTTCCAGTCTGCAATTTCACATCAATTGTCAATTGTCAACTTACATCATACTGTGTCATTGATTCAATGCTTCACCAGTAGTTAGGCATTCTTTTATTGGTTTTGCACTGATTAAATGGATTTTTGCCAGGCATGGCATTTAAGTTGTCCAATGCAGCAGTGCATTATCTCACTCCCTTGCCCAGCAGGACAGGTTGTATGCCCAGCTGTAAACTTCACCATGAAGATATTTTCATTGAAGCAGAAATTTGAAGCCTTCCAATACTGGCTTGGTCAAGTACAGTACTCGGTCAGGCCCTATTGATTATCAAATAGTAAGTAGCCTATATACATAAGGGCCGTCCATAAATGATGTCACGCACCTAGGAGGGGGGGGAGGGGGTCAGACATTTGTGACGATGTGTGACGAGGGGGGGGGGGGGTTTCAGAAATGTGACGTCACATCAATATGCGCAACTTTAAATGAATATAAACACGTTCTACTTAATTAAATATACTTTTAAATAAATGTTTTCTCCTACAACATCAGAGTGCAGCGCCACATTAAATACGCACTACAATGACAATAGTTTAAAGCGATTTGAAGCATGTTTTATTTTGGGGGGGGGGGGGGCAGAACTTTGTGACGTCATATTTGAGGGGGGGTCTGACTTTTTGTGACAGACGCCGTGTGACGATGGGGGGGGGGGGGTCAAAAATCGTCCAAAATCGCGTGACGTCATTTATGGACGGCCCCTACGTATACTTTACTTAAGACACCATGCATTCCAGTACTGCATTTAACATTCAGTAATTATTTGAGTGTCCATTTGAAATAGTTTGTTCCCATGCCAATAACCTACGTCATGTACTTATCTGGGGTTTAAAATATGCCTGAAAGAATTGTGTTGTGACAAGTAAAAATCACTTGAAATATCCATCAGGTTAGATAAATGTACTGCATTAAATGTATGTGCCCTGAATGTGAACGCATTGTGCATAAACGATTACGTGCTAATTAACACAGCAAGCAAAATAATGGCAATGTTGCTTCAAGTGCTGTAGTCCAGCAGAGTAAACATTGCGGAAGGACATTGATGGCTACACCCACACAAGAATTACTATAAACAGTCACGATTACCAAGGAAACTGCATAACCAGAAAAGCAGCATTGAGCCTTCTTTCAGCCAGATACAGATATTCAACCCCTAGGATTGTTTTACAGCTCACGTGAAAGGGTTTCTAAGTAAAGTTGAAGTTAATGTGTGTTTTAGTCTATAGCTCTACATTCTCAGTATAGTGATTCATCAAAAAGGTGTGATTGCCTTTTGCATTGGGCCAACATTACAGGCCTGCCTATCAGCAGAGAGCTCAACCATTTGAATCCTTTATTTTTTGTATTGGAAGCTATTTACAATATATATAATGTACGCCATTATATTTCCTGGAAAGTACTGTTAAATATGTATTTCCACTTCACCAATGACATCAGAAAAAAAGAGGCAGGTCATTTGACCAATTCATGAACTAAATTCGTGAAAAATTGTCCATGTGATATACGGCAGTAAAGTAATATTAATCCCCATGTGAATTCACTGCTGAGTTCGCTGAGCATACTTCACCATACTAGTCAGTGCGTGGCAGTTGAAATTGTAAAGTTTCTTAACTCTTCCACCTCTGTCCACCCAGCAGTATCAATGGGTGAACCAGAGTCGCTCCACAGGTTACGCGTGGTGGGATAAAGTGTGGATATTCACCCCTTTTCCCCAGCTGTCTGACCAGTGTCAAAGAGTAGACCAGATACTCCGATGGAGCTTTCTAGAGCGCCTTCGAATGGAGGCCCTTCCGCTAGCAGTGGCATGATTACAAAAATTATGATTTACATGGCATTGTTTTAACATGAGGGTCGTCAATCAGAATATTCTATTTCATAGGCAGCAACAGCTGAAACGTGTGACAGCGGTAAACGACTGACGACCGTAATTTATTGGCACATAAACTCAAAGTGATGGGTAACATGGCAACCGATTGATTGTCTCACTGCTGGCGCGCCTCGAGATGTACCACATGGGAGGCACGGTATAAATAATAAATGATGTTGATGATACTTGCATGAGATAACATTAAATATTTTGCCCACCAAGCATACGCTACAGGAGTAAAACAACAGCCTCATTATACCTGTAGCAAGATTCACTAATAGGCTGCCCTCGTTTGCAGCTAATTAGTGCTCACACGTTCCTAACCTTTAATTAGGCCACTCCGATCTCTACAATTTTCGCCCACTTTGGTATATGCCCGTGCATCTAAAATGTACTTGGAACAATGTGGATGAGACAAATCTATTCAGAGTCCAAGGTTAGCTTTATTAGGTTGCCTCTGGCTCCACAGGCCTTGCACGAGTGTATGAAAGGTACACACTGCGTATCACACAAGTTACACATGCTTGTGCCTCGGTTTATATTGTTATATATGTATATAATAGAACTTTGTAAATCCACTGCTAAATGAATACTTTTCCACACCGTGTCAGTTATGGGTGTTGTTTGACCATACATCAATCACCACGTTGGTCAGTGTTGGTTTATTTATGAGAAGGGAGTAGGTGAGGGGTGGGGTGGTCCAGAACTGGTTCAGATTCAAGTTGCCCCTTAGCTTTGGCTGAGAATGAAATTCAGTTCGAAACCTTCAAAGTCCCGTATACATAATGCAGTATAGAACACATGATTCTAATTAGCATGATAATTTTGCATATGTTATGACCAACTAATAAGAACTACTGGGAGGAAGACCTGTGCATTGTATGTTGTAATTCGTTGCCTTTGCAACTGCTAGATGAAGGCTTTTTTCCATGCCTTGTCACTTTCCACAATACAATAGTGGTAAAAATGTATTTGCATAAAAGTGTATTGTATTTTACAATATACCTTTACCTAAACATGGGCGATGAAAAGGCTTTCCAGTATACAGTGCTGTTTCACTTTTTCCCCCATAGACATCCACCCTAAACGTTCAGTGCTCGAAATACGAACCTCCTGAGTATGTTTACATGCACGTGACGATGTAAAATTCACATGGACCACAGAAAGACTGACGTTTTTTGTAATTGTCGTTGTTGACTTTTGCTCTTATTTATTTGTATTTTTTAACCAGTGTCCTTGAACACAGTATCATTGGCTTACAGCGAATAAAACAATTCCATTAAATGTACATAATCTGTAGCTTCAATACAGTGGATTTATATAGCACATGAATGCAACCACAAGATGCTGTACGTAAATACTTAAGAGAGGATATTAATTTTAAAGACGGGCAGTCATGGGTAGAAGTAAAAACGCAAGGTCTTGAACCTGGATGGCTAGGGGAATATAATTCCTGCAGCCATCATATAAGAAAGAGCAACTTCCCACTGAGTGAAGGTTGATTGGGAGCTTCGATAGAAATCCTTAGATGCATCCGCAAACTGGCTTTTGAAGAAGAGTACAGTCCTATATTGACTACATTTAGCTGCAGGTTAGATCCAATTCAATATGAGACCATGTCTAGAGAGGACGTAAGAGTGGAGAGTGAGTTTGGGTTCATGCTGTTAATGATAACACAGATATCGGTGCCATCAGCATGAAAATAACGGAGATGATTTTGTCCAGAGAGACAAGATATACTGGAAGAGCAGGGAGTTCAAGGATAGAGACTTATGTGATACCACATCACAGGGGTTTCTGATAATAAGACAGTTAAATGAGATCACTCCAATCCTCATACACCAAGTTTTTAAGCTAAGTGTAAACTTGTCTTAAGATGTACTTTCAATAATGATTAAATGTTATATAACATTCATACAATTGCACCTCAAAACGCTGTAAAATTATAATCTATTAATTATTAATAAGTTTACGGCAAATTTGGTACTACAACCCCATAGAAAGACATTAAGAGAAATATTCTTTAAGTATGGAGCGCAACAAAATACATTTACTAGCCCTTGAGGAAGCCTAATAAAAATAACAAAAGTTGTTTATAGTCCATAATACAAAACCTGTATTATGAATGATATTGGGTCGCGAAAGGCTATGTGTTAAAATGTTGTTTATAGTGTTAACCAAGTCAAACTCTCCGTCTATCACATCAGCCAAGAGCATCAACCCACTGATCGATGCCCCGGAATGCATTCCCAGCTCCTCATGCCAAGATGCCTCCTCTTTTAACATATTTTCGTCTCAGGTTATTTTTCTTCAATTCCTCTCTCATAAAGTTAAGACGTGTGCACCTGGCTTTCCAATCAAATGCATTAGTGCAGTATCTCCCAGTCGAGCAGTGTCAATTTTATACTTTTGTTGAACCATTCAGTCACTGCATCATCCGAGCCAGTGTTGGGCCCTAAAAGCAAGGGTGGTTTTCCAATGGCTATTTGCGGTGCTAGGCCGAAACAGAATCACGTTACGCTGGCCTTACAGAACATCTGAATCTGCCTTGGAGCCAATCTAGTTATGGTAGGGGGGAGAGGTGGCTAATTTTGCATCCACGGTGTGTGACATCAGTCATGTTTCAGTTGTGTCTGACAAAAATTACTCGGAACTCAACCATAGCATCCTACCACGTCATAAACATGCATCTCGAATTGTTTATTGTGTGAAACATCAGCAGCACGGCTCTGCTTCCGCAGTGAAAAAGAAATACCTGACACCTTCTGAGCCGCACCAGGGCTGGCTCAGCACAACCCCCTGTGATGCTTAATTGTTCGGAAGAAAAGAGGTACATGAGGCCTGTTTTTAAATCCTTTATATTAAGTTCGCTTGCTTGCTTGCTTAGGACTGTGCAAATCTTTCGGTCGTTTTTTAACCCACTTCCCGTGATCCAATCGAGCTGACATTTTGCACACAGACTCGTTGTGCGTGACAATGAATTTCCGTGACATTTTTTTCCCAAAATTTTACACTGTTTAAATTTTTTTTTTAAATATTTATTTACCAATTGGTTAATGCTGGCACACAATCATCTGACCCATAGGTGGCAGCCATCTCAAGCCAGAGGACGAGAGGACTCTAGCCGCCCCGATGCCACGCATATAAAGGATTTATAGTGAAAAACTTTGTTTTTACGGGTTAATTTTTGTATGGATTCAAGCTCCAAAGTTTGGTAAATGGTGATGGTGTTTAGCTTATAATCGGTGAACTTTCTAAAGAATACAAAGCATATGTTCGAAACACCGGCACTTATTTGGTGAAGCAAGTACCATTCGAGTGTGTAGAGGGCATTTGAAACAATCCCATTGGTTAACAGTTGGTAATTAATAAAGCAGTGCATTCAATTGTAACAAGTACAAATTGGCACGGACAACGAGAGAAAACAAATTAAAGGCTATGCCCAATGCGATTTCCAAAAAAGGTTACAACACTTGTGTAACACATTTATAATAATTTGTGCAGCATTGGTGCTGCAAATGATTAGTTTTCTGTTTCACCCTCGGGTGTAACATGCCACAACCTCATGTTCCAACCAATGTCAATATGATTTACTTGTGGGAAATTTAACAGCCATTCAACATGTATGTTCTTCTCCACGTCTTTTTGTAATTCAATCATTGTCAAACCAGCTGATTTGGAGTTGATTTGGTCTTTAACAGGCTCACAAGACATACGACATTATTTGGTCATGGAATAAATAAGTGTCCTCTTCTTACCAAGTAAATCATCACTTTCGACATATATCCTGCTACCACCATGGTTGATTAAATCAGAGTTGCACCGCAGAGATGGAGCGTTGAATTCAAGTCTTGTACAGTTGCTAGGTGGATTGTTGCTTTCTAGGGCCATTAGATGGCAATAGGTTGAGGAGGGCTTCACCTGGCACCGGATAAAATGTGGCTGATACTGATGACAAAGGAATAAATGTTCAACCGTTTCACAGACAGTTTGCAAGTGTGATTTAGAACTCTTCCATACAAGACAAAAATAAAGAGTATGTGAAAACAAATGTGGTTGTAAAATACGTGATAGTATATGACTAGAGTACTCAGGTATTTTTGTAACAGACACCAATTAGAATGTATGATTTTATAAAAAAAAAATGTAGACGCTTAAATTTCCACCCAATTTGGGGTGTTCAAGTAGCATTTAAAACCAATGATATCTGCAAAGCTTGCCAGGCCCCACTTCCCACAAAACTCAACCTACTTTTTAATGCTTGCAAATCCATCATAAATCCGTCATGTCCATCTTTTGCAAAGACATAAATGTATTGTCATTCCTGTTTAACACGTAGGTTTTCACGACCAATATCATCCATAATAGAGGTTTTTGGGTTAGATCGCGTAAATATATAAATGTGTCATTAAAACCCGCCACCACCCGACACAGCTAACTAGTAAGGGTTGTCACGTAAACAGAACGTGCCAATTCGTCACTAGTACAGCACTAACCGGTGTGTTTGAGAGCCAAGCCCCAACATTTACAAACTGAGTCCGACGTTTCGCCAGTAATTACAACAGCCAGATTTGTGGAGAAGTCTTACGAAATGCTGTGGCTTGGCTCTCCAACACACCGGTGTGCTGTACTAGTGACGAATTGGTATGTTCTTTTAACGTGACAACCCTTACGAGTTAGCTGTGTCAGGTGGTGGCGGGTTTTAAAGACACATTTATATATTTACACGACCTAACCCAAAAACCTCTATTATGGATTGTCCTTCCTGTTTGCAAGACTTCTCAGATTGTGATGTCCCCAATATTCTTGCCTTCAGTATAGGGTACCATTATGATTATCTAATGGTTTTTACGTGTGATTTGAAACACGTGTCGTTATATCTCCGAAAATAACTTTTCTATGATTAGATTTGTGTGCCTAGGGAAGCCTCACTGAGACTCTAACCTAATTTCAGGAGGGTTATGTGAAGTCAGTTGTAAGTTACGATTGCCATGTACGTCTCAAGTAACTTGTGAACTATTTTTAAAATGTAGCAAATTTCGACTGTTATGCAATCACACATGACCGACTCTTTTTTTTTTCTTTCAAATAAAGTCATGAGATCTTTAACGTCCAGTTCATGGCAAAGCAGATGGCGCATTTTCTTATGGTTAATACACTCACGGTATCAACCAGGGCGGCAGTGGGATTTAACTGTGAACCTCTGCTGTAGCAAGCAGCAAACGTGCTGCCACTGGCCCATGTCAACGATTATATTGTTTTGCCTTTATACATTTACACATGATAAGCCACTTTTGTTGAGCTATCATTTGTGGCCAGTTCGCTTCTGAAAAATAATAGCTCAGTGGGCTTTACATGCCTGGTCAGATAAAAACAATAGTTGAGTTTTATTTGTATATTTTATATGATTTGTTTAACTTTTCTCTACTTTGCACTCCTATGTTTGTTTTGTTTGTTGTTGTAACATTGACCCACCCCTATTGGACACCTGTGAAAAAGAGCTTGACATCTCATCGGATTCCTCCAGTATACATATCTGATTCTGCCATTACGGATTGACTTCTAATGGCAAATTTGCTACATTCATATAGGGAAAAGGGAACATGCAATTTGTTAAATATATCTGCAATTAATTGGATCTCTGTGGGCTCATGAAGGTCGACCTTAAATTGTGACATGAACATGAAGCTTAGGTAAATCATGTCAGCACTGCCATGGCAACACAGCACTTGCGTTAATCTTATATAGCAGTGACATCGTCATGATGCCATTAAAACTCCATAAGGGCTCAATGGACATAACCCTCAAGTAATGTATTCCTCATTAATGACCCTTCAAACTCAGGTCAGAGTCAGGGGGACACACCATCGGTGCATATCTACAACTATGGGTCTCGTTCTCGTTTCAGTTCTCTTTTAAGAATTTAAGTTATGTTTCTTTTGTATGTGATCAATTTCTGCTGGTTGCACCATGCCGATGTACCATCCGTGCCATTTAGAATATGACAAAGCAAAATTGTTTGTGCATTTTCTTGGTTCTTTCGGTAAAGTCACCTAGAATGGAAATAATAAAAATAAAACATAATAAAATAATTCTCACGTTTCGGCCACAACGCAAGCAGCCGTCCTCAGGTGGAGAACAGGCCTGTCGAGAAGACAGAGTCTGAATGACAATTATTTTATTATGTTTTATTTTTATTATTTTATTATTTCCATTCTACGTGACTTTATCGAAAGAACCAAGAAGATGAATCCCTGCAGTCACGAAAGCTTTAAATCGAAATTTGTTTGTGCATTGTTTTGTTCGCGGTTTTTTATTTTTATGTAACCAGGCTCCCATCGAGAATGCACATTTATTGCCCATATATTTTTACCTATGCTAAAATAACCTAACCTCTCACGAATTCCAATTAAAAGCCAACGCTGCCCAGTGTGTAAAACTATAAAACTACAAATCCAAATTTTGGCGCCAAATTAGGAACGGCGCGCGACTGCCCCGAACGCGGGGTGGGGGGGGGCCGGCGACCAATCAGAGCGCGGGCAGACCCTCCCCCTCCCCACTTCCCCCCCACCCCCGCTTTCTCGCCCCCCCCCCCCTCCTGGCCCACAGGATTGGGCGTGGTGGCACATTCCGCGCGTGCATTAACCCCCTCGTTGACCAATGACAACGCGAAGCTGCGGGTGGGCGTGGCTAAGTGGGCGGGCGCGGGGGGGGGGAACTCAACCGTGTCACCCTCAGGCGGTGAGAGGAGGGAGGGAGGGGTGGGGGTAGCGAGGGGTGGAGGGGGGGGGTCTTGTTTTTTTTTAGTAACCAATCAGAGACGAGGGATACGATAGGGGGCGGGGCGAACCCGGCGCTAAGAGGGGTAGCGCAGAGAGGCGTCGGCACCGCCACGAGCACGCGTTGTGAGGTACTGTACTCGCCAATGTAGCTGCTGCTGCACCACCACCATCGATTTATTGCAACATTAAACGTGACACGTGCATGGTTAATACTTTATACGAGCGTGTATGTGTGTGCCGGTCTGCGCGTGTGAGAGTGCGGCGGTGCAGATTGATTTAGCCGTCTTAAATATTTTTTTCGGGCAGTGGCGCCAATGTTGAAAGAGGGCTTTCTGTGCCACGTGCAAAGATGCAAGTTTGTGTATTGGCCATGTGCTTAGAAAGAGCTGGGGGGATGTGTGTGTGTGTGTGTGCTTAGGGTTTTGAGAGTTACCGAAGGGTTTTTAGCGAACAAGTTGAGACGGGTTTTGCATTGAAAAGAGTTTTTGTTATGAGCCATTGTTTGGTCAATGATGGCCAACGCTGTTGCTTCTGAGTGCCATGTGTGAATTCGTTTCACTGGTGCTCTGCAACATAGCTGAAGTTGCAGTAGCCAGCTACGTTGTGAATTATTCCATGTAAGTTAACTTTTGAGATGCTAAGAATGTTTTGTTAGAGGCAGCTATAATCAATTGCGTGGTTCCCCGGCCCACACTTGGACATGTTACTCAATTCATCAAAGTGCACGTCCAAGTCTCGTGGGCCAAGATACAGGCCACCTGATCACTACGACAAGTTTCCACTAGTGAATTTACTAACTCTTTTAAAACATCAGTATTTGCAGACAATACCACGTTTCATGTAGCTTTCACATATGCCATTTGTAGTGTTTATGGTCACTTTAATAACGTAATATTGTTGAAAAAATTGTTAACTTGACCCATCATGTGCACACATCCCAAACGACATCTGTATCCAAGGGCATGTTTGTATAGCCAGACCTGCAGTTACAGTACTTGCAACCTTGGCTATGCATTTTCAGGTGTTGACGTTCCCATTATGGCAGAAAGTTTGCACGTTTTGGAAGTTGTGAGTTGATGTTGCTCACACTGCTCATGATGGAGGTAATACTGGATGGAGTGTATACATGATTAGTCTGGCATTTGGTTCCATACGTTCATGAGCCTCTCAAAAGCTGCATTTCATCATTGTCTGAAGTTCAATATGAGTTATTTGGGCTTAAGACATCTTTGTTAAGGTATTTTTGAGCTTGCACGTTAATACCCAGATTTCCAATGTAATGTTTGCATGTTTGTTTGCTTTGATATGTAATGCGTGTGTGTTTGCCTTGGTCACATAGCCCAACAAGCGTACAATTTGTCCAAGTTGTGTTTATAAAGCACAGACTCAATGTCACATGACCACAGGAATGGGGGTGAAGGCTTGTGTTTATGGGTACACGTATATTTGAGTACATGTTTCAGTAATTGTTACGTCTGGTTGCAGGCTTGGAGTGTTTCGGGGAAAATTTATGGTCATTGTTACGTGAATTCTAGCTGCTACTTGTCCAACTTTTGATGAAAATACCTGTGTTCATTTTCACACTTTTGTGTTTTACTTAGACGTCACTTAAACTTTGCAAATCCCTTTTGCATTTAATGTGTTTTTGTTCCCAAGGTTGTCTGTCAAGGCGATGTCTACCGTGAAACGTAGGCGGCGTAATGTTTTAAACAATACTGTAGAAGTTGGATGGGGGAAAGGGCAACTTCTGATACAAGCACGCCTGGAACTTACTCCTATGGGGTGTGCTTTTATCGGGCTTCTGCTGTACTGCAAGTTCCGCACTCCACCAGTTTGATTTTGTTAGACAACTGTGATGGTCGTTTCAGGTGGTGGAGTGCTGGGAGAAAGGCCACAAAGCCCATACATGCAAGTGTTTTAACTGAAGTACATGCAAGGTTTTTATAGTGCTTGCACGCTCCAGTTTCAGCAGTCCCTTCAGTGAGCTGTTATAACGGATAGCCGCGTAAATAAGTTAACTGTCAGGAATTTAATGAAACCACCAATTGACGGGTTATGCTATTTTAAGAATATGGTTACAAGTAGAAAGTATTTTTGTTTAATCCTGTAAAAGCCCATCTGTCAAGAAAACTTCGAAGTGTAGTTCCTCACTGATGGAAAAAGTTTAAATATCGACTTGTATGACTTTGCTTGTTATACTGTATATATTATTATTCATGAGTAATTTGTCCAGGATGAGCAAGCATTATTGGGGTTTGTAGTGTGGCAGAGAAGCCAACTTAGGCCAAGTTTTATTTAGTAAGCATTGTCTCTTGTTATTGCTAATTAGAGGTGACCTGACAACTGCCCACCTAGACTGGCTCCACAAGCCACTCCACAGTATTATATCTGACACGTGGGGTCACCCAAAGCGCGGGGCCCCCCAAAGCGCGGGGCCCGGGGCGGTCACTTTGATTCGCTGTACCCTAGGGACGGCTCTGACTGATATAGGGTAAGTGAAAGTCAGGTTCCGTTTTCGTATTGTGTTATCTTAACATCTAAACACAAACATTACATTAGCTCTGTAACAATGAATGAAGCTCAAAAAAGCGGTGTGCTGTAAATAGCTTTTCATCTGAACTCCTGAACTGGGATTACTGAAGTTCAAATGGTTTCGAATGCTAGTTCGTGCCACTAGGCTGCTTTAAATGTTATATAATTTTGTACTTATTATTTGACAACTTTGCACAAGTATTTTACGATGCATTGTGGAATGTGGTGTATGTTATTTTCCATTACAAACAGTAATAAAAGAATACAGTGCTATAAATATTTATCATTTTGCTGGGACCAAGGTTCCAGGGTGTATGCTTGGCATTACATTTAGAGACAAAGGAGAACGTGTATTGGAGAACATATACACCTGCTTAAGAGCTCGTATTGACTTAAACGTAAGTGGGTTTGGGCTGTCCATGCCCCTACAAGAGATGATGGTTGTTGGTCAAGAAGAGTGATGATGGAATGACAACCAACGGGGAGGGTGTGGACTCAAATGTTGTATGTCCACTATGAAGATAAAGTGATGAAATCGGCTTGCTGGGTGGAGCTGCGAGGTGGATTATTACATCACAACAATCGGGAAGAGTGGGGGTTGGGGGCTCGTGGAGGCATACATCCAGCAGTAGATTATTCGTTTTTTTTGCCGCAGAAGATGTCACAGGCGTATGATGTGACATTGTGAGATGACTTCGCATGCATTTAACTTGTGATAGCATTGCCTTGGACAAAAAAATACTTTATTTATCGCCGAGTGCATTTATCGGTGAGTTTTGGGCAACATTTTATATACATTTCCCCAGTATTCAAAAGGGTAAGTCCTCGATAGTAATGCTTTATAATAAAGTTAATTTCATATTGGATCAAGAGTTGTCGTGCCTCCCTCGGTAAAAAAAATATGGCCCCATTTGCAAATTTGAAAAGTTTTGACTTCTACGTTTGTTTAGACACAACAGTGCCCACTTCCCTTAATTAGCCATGGTGAAGTGTTTGTATTTTTCGATTTAAATTTCGTGACTGCAGGGATTCATCTTCTTGGTTCTTTACGTAGAAGGGAAATAATAATTTAATTCCAGGGACCTTGCTTTGGATATTTTCGGTAACAGTTATCTTGTCAAATCATCTGATTTGGTGACATTCGGTAGCAGCTTGCCAAATTGACACAACCACTCACACAGGGGTCAGCAGACAGGTTTTTAAGGTTTATTTTTAGACCTCTTAAATCCTTCTCCCAAATCCAGTGGTGGGCTAGGAGGCGGGGCTGGTGTTGGCTTACACTTCATGATGCCTTGAATTGGGGCAAAGGTGACCCACAGCCTCGGGAAAGAGTGGAGGTGGGAGGGCAACTGGGAGAATGCGAATTACTTGTGAGCAACAATAAAAAAAGTCGTAGTTGACTTACCACTGGAGCGTCTTGAGTTGCGGTGTTGCAAGACTGTGTTCTGTGTGTGTGTGAACATTTTGCTTGCTTGCAAATGGCCTCGGGTTGTAATGTATATAAAAAAAGCCTTCAGTAAGCCAACATGAGTAGAATTATAGGAAATATAGATCATGACTTTTTCACCCAAAACTCAGTTGAGTGGGTTATTAGTGTATACTGGTGTCTAGTAAAAAAAAACAGGTTTAACGTTCAAACTCTTTTTTTAGTTTATTACACTGCCATGCAAATACAGGGTAATTAACAATTTAATATCCTTGGTAATTATACGGTTTGCAAATCAAATGTTTACATTTTCCGATGTAAGCAACAACTTCCCGTTCTTTTATATAACTTGACCTAACCACACATTTCAAAGCTGTAAGAAAACCATTTTTTGATGAGCTCCAATCTGCAGGTGGTAAATAATTGATGATCTGCACACTGCACGATGCCCCCTGAAGGTCACCACAGTTTGTTGGATGCTGGGTACGCTCAGAATAATCTGGAGTTTTGCCCCCTATAGATAGCTGACCTCTCCGGCTATCTGTCCAAGCTCCACCAAAGGATAATGGATGCCCCAGCATTGGCACGTCTCTTGGAAAAGAGACTGCATTTTAGATTCATTTTGTTAAACGACCGTTGTATACTTGGAATGGGAAGCAGCTGTTAATGTGTGAAGAGACATGCGAAAGGAAAATGCGTGCTTCTCATTAAGCACTGTGAGTTGATTAGAAGGTGCTGTGATGCTGACTATTGGTGTGGCACATTGCATACGTATGATGTTTCTAAGGGATGAAACAAAGATCCTCCTTATAGCCTTAGCAGACTGTTGGGGCAAGTGCTTATTAGCGAGCACCTATTAAGGCCGGAACAGTACACGAGGGGGTGGGTGGCCAGCACCACGCCCGACCGCCTTTGTCTCCCTACTACTAATTTGAGGCCGAGTCGACCTAGGAGAGGCCCAGGATCGGTTCGGGTAATAGTCACTGGTGTTGGCCGTGAGCGGCAATTGAACCTGGGACTCCGGGTTTTTACCGCATGTACACGGTGTGCTGTGACTCGTTTTATCGGTTGGCTTGAACTTTTCCCCTTTGTCAAAGTTTGCGCTCAAAAATGTAAGCGATTCGTTTTTACATCGTATAAAATTACAGTGCTCACCGCTATAACTCTGGA